TGCCACTAAAAAAAAACCAAAAAACAAGAACCCTAAGTGCTTTAGAAATGCTTTTAAATAAACAAATCTCTGTGAGTGGAATATTAGCAAGGCTCCCAGTCTTGTGAAAGATGTGAAGAGCTTATAACTGGAGTCATAGATAGATTTGACAAAGGCCAAAGGCTGCTGTGGCACTTGAAAAACTAACAGATTCCTTGAGGCATGAGGTTTTATAGATGGATCTCTGTAAACAAGTCTTTAAGGTGTCATTCCTCTGGGAAGGGAACTTTGCCATAGTTAATGGTTTCCATTGGTTTTGATGGAATTTAGCCAAATTTTACGTTCTGCTTGTTTGGATCCTAAGGATACAATCCAGGAAAAGTTTGCGGCACCTAACCCCCACTTAAATAAATGGAACTGCAGAGCTGCGTTACAATCCTGTAACCGCAATCCTAAGGACACTTGCTAGAGAGTAAGGCACATTTTAACTCAGTGGGACTTGCTTCTGAGTAATCATGCTCAGGATCATCCAGAAAGCTGTGCTGATTTTAGTGAGACTTAGGTTTACCTAACACATCTTGGATTGCATCCAAAATCCTCATGCCTCCAATTTGGAAAGAAAAATCTTCCTCAAAACCAGAATAAGTTATGCACAGCAATCAAATGTATGTTCAGAGTCTTACGTCACAGAAAAAACTATTTTACATGGGTGTTCCTTTGCACAGAACTTTGAATGCACGACTCTCCTATCTCTTTTTGCTATTTGCTGACCAAAAATATGTGAGCTATGCTTGGGATCGCTGTTCCAAGCAATAACACTTGAGAATGTTTAAATGCTATGGGGTATCTCCTGTAAAATTTTGTCTTTGCTTAAATCAGTGGGATCAGGATTTTTCTTTTTAGTGTGTAGACATTTGGTTTGTCTCACTTGGGGAGGCTGCCAGGTTTGCATTTGCTTCATCCTTCACTTTGCCCGAAGATAGTTTCACGTGGCCCAGAGCAAATTCCAGATTAGTTCATTTCAGCCCATCTCTCCTTTTTTATTTTATTTTTTTTAAAAACCTTTTGTCTTTGTTTTGTGCTTTAATGTTCCCAGGGATCCGATGAGACTATACGTGTTGTGTCAATGCACAAGGATTACCATGTGGAATGTTACTGCTGTGAGGTAGGCCCGCTGTTCATTACAGACACAATATAAAGTAAATACAGGTAGCAAGTATATGTAGTTTTAAGACAGTTGTTTCTTAACCGCTAGAGGATATCCTGCACTGACCATTGGTTTGATGGGAGTTGTAGTCCAAAATCATCTGGAGAGCGACCAAATTGGACACCCTTGATCTGAAATAACTCAAAAGCAGTAGTTTGTAATTCATTTCCAGATGGGACACCAGTAAATAAGGAGGTGATCCTTCTCACATGAATAGGATGTACAACGGGCAATTCTTACGTATTTCCACAGTGAATATTTTTTTGCTTCGTATGGGGTTAATGTGGATGTCAGGCCCTTGATTAAACCCCCCAAGAGGCTCTGTTCGTTTTAGTTTGACTAGCTGAAGTCAAGGCATAACACTGCCAGTGTCATAAAAACAAGAGATTGTCTTCAGTAGTCAGTTTGACATGCCTTTCAATAGGTCACAGAAATTCTGTCTAACCCCAAGCCATGCCAATTGTTAAAATAACACCAAGATTAAAGATTTATCCCCTAGTACATCGCTCAATTTTACTCAGACTTAAGTTGGTCCATGAATTTCAGTGGGCCTAATCTGAATAGGACTAACTTGGGATACAACCTTCTGTAGTTTTGTCCACGTGTAAAGTCCAAAACTTGCACGTTCATAACCTCCTGAGAGATTCTCCAGCCTAGGCATCCTTGCTGAGTTTAGAATTAAAAACACACACACACCTGTTTCAGCATAGGGTAGTTGCACGGAATCTCACTTGGAGCGAACTGTTTTAAATCCTCTTTCTGTTTTGTTTCACGGGGACAGAATCAAGTTTTCCTTAACTGACAGCTAGGAATTGACTATTAATCTATACTGACACTCTGGGCTGGGGCTGCCGATCAGAAGATTGTGCATAAACCTTGGAAAGGCCCCGTTTTATGGCTGGTGCGTGTCCTGAATAGCAGTTCTGTCCCTTTCGTTTCTCACGTAGGACTGCGGCATGGAACTCAACGATGAAGATGGACATCGGTGTTACCCCCTAGATGACCACCTGCTCTGCCATTCCTGCCACCTTAAACATATAGAGAAAGGCACAACAACTCATGCAGATGCCTACGTACACCATTTCTAGCCAGTTCTGCCAAACTTCCCAGAAGCCTGCCAAGGGAAAGGTTTTCACAGCTGTCATTTTTGAGGTGCGTATCTACCTCAGCGGGCGATTTGCAGCGAGAAGATGAAGGAAGAGGCTCTCTTTTTTTTCTTTCTTTTTGGCCTTGTGCATTGCGTGTGTGGCAATTGCACACAACAAAGGATTTGTTTTCGTTTTGGACAAAAACTTAACAGTATTAGCTGGAATGATTTGTGGCTCCTTGTGTGCTTCTCCCCCCCCCTTTTTTTTTTGCTGGGAGAAAGTGGTGGGAGAGACTGTTTTCTTCTCGAGTCATTTGAGAGGAATCTTTAGCAAGCAAAATCACAACAAATACCCTTTAAAGGACACAAGAAAGTGCCAGAAATAAGTGACAATACACCTGCACGTCTCATCTTGTGGCTTCTTGTTCTGATAGTCAATCAGGGAAACACAACGTCCAGCCCTCCAGCGAGTCTACATACTGAGCAGACTCTCGTGATGTTTTTAATTTGTGGTGACCGAGACGTAATCACCTGCCTTTCCTTACATTGGTGGAAGTTATCCTATTTTCCAGGAAGTTATCCTGGAAAAGACCCTGATGTTGGGAAAGATGGAGGGCACAAGGAGAAGGGGACGACAGAGGACGAGATGGTTGGACAGTGGTCTCGAAGCTACCAGCATGAGTAGCTTTCTACCAGTTCCCACAGCTCAGCCACCAGCAAGTGTTGTTGTGGAGTAGGGACAAAACATTGCTGCTTAACTTCACAACAGGGATGGTGATGAGATCGTCTCCCGGGATGCTGCTATTTGCTAATCCTCTGCATGTCAGATAAATAAGCTTTTCTGTGAGGAAAAACCCGTCGAATAAGGCAAGCCGAAGAGAGAGGCAGATAACGTCAGCATGCAAAGTGAAGGGTAAAACTACCACTCCTGTTTTGAAAAACCCCATAGCTCCGTTGTTGTGGCCAACTAAAATGTCACAAAACAGGGAGCCGAGAGTTCACTGTAACTCTTCCATCAGGCTGGATAGTAAACAAGGTAGCAGGGGATGTGGAAAATACTGGCTTCGTATTGAAACCATAATAGCTGCATTGGTCAAATACTCGTTTTTGTTCTATCGTCTTGGAAGAGGTTGGCTGCAGAGGCTGTCACAAAGAGGGCCTGCACTTCAGAGTTTACTACGCCACTGGCATTGCTGTGAAATAAATAGTCACAGTGACTCAAGAGCACAAATTTAAGGTTAGCACAGCTTGCTGCTCTTTAATAGCCTTACTTATTTTGAGCACTTGGAACAATTTGAGCCTGGGTAGAGCTTTAGGGTCTGTTCTACCGGCCACTGCCTGACCAGGCTGCCAAATAATGAGAGATTATTTTCAAGACTAGGATCTTGTATACTGTTTAGGAAGAATAGATTAACACCTGTATTTGTCTTGGAACTCCTGTGCCTTAAATCTTAACTTTTACAATTAAAGTATGTGTTTAATACATTTGACATGGGCTTTGGAATATGTGTATGTGTGTACACTTTAGTTACTAATTCTTGGGATAAACTGAAGCGGATGTTAATTTAATTAATGTTAATTTTAAAATGTTTGCCCCAGAAGTCAAGGAGTTGATCACCCTAATGCAATCCAAGCTTACTGAGTGCCAATAAACTAATTCTGCATCAGTGCTTTGATGTGTGCTCAACTTTTGAGAGGCCTTTGTAAATATTTTTTCCCACTGTGAACTTATAATTGCGGTTATAGCTGATTTTCCTCCAAGCTCTGCCCTCTTTTAACGAGGCTGGTAAGACCTGGTGCTTTTTTACATACTTGGTTTTCTGGTTAAGCTGTAGCAGCTGATTGAGCGCCATATGCAAACTTGCGGATCACAGATCTTGAATTCTCTCCCTTAGGTTGCACAGTCACTGTTGTGTTAAAAATAGAGTGATTTCCTGTAGCAAAAGCAATTGGGCATCATGAAAGCAGGTGGGTCTGGTTCCTTTATTACTTTCAACACACCAGCTGTTGTATCTGAGAAGCCAACAGATCTGCCGAGATGCTGTTTGGATGCCAACTCGGTGTAGCAGGCCATGTCATGGAAAATGTTCATTACAGTTGTGATGGGATGCTCTTATTTCCACCTTCAACTGCTTGCCATCTTATCCATCTGTATGCTCAGCCATGACCTTAACTCTCTGACTTCCATTCTCAATCCTCACATTGGAGTCCTATAGATACAGCTGCATGGTGTAGTTTTATATTGCATCCTAAATTAGCAAAGTAGAACCCACAAGGAAGAAAGGGGTTATTGTGATTTCAGGGGGAACAAAAGCAGTTCATACTTTCATTTTCAGATATTTCATAAATCCATGCAACATGAGCTTTGACACGGTGCAGCAGATGAGGTGCTCTTTGTAGTTCAACTTTAAAAATGATTTAAAAGGTATGTGCTTTTGTTTTATTTCCTTCACATTTCAACTTACATCCTAAATGCACATGATCTACTGTTGCTTTTATTTCAGTCCTTCAGCTAAAGTCCTCCATACATGATTAGCTAAACATTTTGGGTATTTTGCAGCACACATTAAAATGCTTAAAATGGCTGCATGTGGAAATGGGGTAAGTTGGAGGTCATGCAGAGCATTAAAAATAACTAAGAGTCCATGAGTATTTTCACAACAGTTCTTTCCCCCCCAAAGATGGCGAATTACGTAATATAATCCAATGATGTCTAGCAGAATATGGCTAGTCTGTAGCTATTCATCTTCATTCTGCCTTTAACCACAGTCCCAATACACATTTTGTCCATTAATCAATCAGGATTCAGAGACAGAATTCAGTATTTAGAAAAGATGGAAGTTTTATTATTGTTTGAGTACACTGTGTGGACTTAGAAATGCAACCTCTTTGCAAAGCAATGGAAAACAGACATCCTTCCAAACCTCAAGCCTACAGAAATTTAGTTCTTCTCTAACAATGCTAGCTGCCCAAACTTTCTTCTTTGTTGCAACAAGTTCTTAATGGGAAGTGCATCAGAAGGACAAAAGCAGGAGTCACTTAAAAAATGATCTGCTAATGAACATTAAATCAAACATTTGATGCAAGACCTTTTTTATATTTTCCACGCATTGAAGTGGATGACTTGGATTTTAGTTTTCAAACTCTGCTGACTGTTCCTTCCTCTACAAACAAAAACTGTGTATGTTATTACAAGGACTGTGAGAATAATATTGAAACAAACTCAGAGACCCTCAAACATTCAAAGGTTAAAATGAACAGTTGCTGTTTCCATACGGTACAGTATGTTCAATTGTCATACAATGAAAAAACTGCACAGCAAGTTGTGTTTTAGCTTGGAATGACCAATTGTATTAACCCCTAGTTGTCTACATGTCCGCCTAATACTTAAATTCATAATTGCAATCTCGACTATACAGCTGTAATTACAGGAAGTATAATTAAACAATTCACAGTACCTGAAGCTGATCCGTGTCTGGTTCTGAACGCAAGTAATTAGAAAATGGTTGACAAAGTAGTTTAAAATTGGTCCTTGGATTTAGATCATCTAGTTTTTAATATAAAGCTTGGAAGCACTAAAGTTGAGACACACATTTATTGATAACCAGCACAAGGCTATTCTTAGAGCTTAGTAGTTTCCAGAGAAAGTTACATTTGTAGAGAAATATAATTACGGCATGCACAAAAAGCAAGCTGATGTTGATCCCAAGTGCAAATATGGAATTAACTTCACCTCCCCTCCCCTCCCCCCAAATGCATCAAATAAATGTATATTGTCTTCCACAGATTACCCCTCCTAAAACCAAGGCAGCATAAAGCAGCAGGTGGTTTGCCAAATTAATAAGAAATACCTTCTGCGTTTGAGACTCTTCGGAAAGAAGCAAATACTTTGGACCTTTAGCGTAAGAGGGTTCCGATAAGTAGCTTTACATTCTTTGATTCCATTTACATCTTCTTAAGAGACAAAACAATCTTTAATCACACTGAAGTTTGTCATCTAAGTCTTCTAAGGACTGTAGTAATTAAAGCAGCACAGGACACGTTCCAAACAGAGTGAATCCTCCCGACAATGATTTAAACAGAATATTGCATCAGCAGTCCCAGAAATGGCAGGAGAGACTCGCCTTTAGATAAGGGAGCACGAGGAGAAAAATATATTGGGGGAGACACACACAAATACATACAACCCTGCGCTTGATACATCGACTTTCATCCTGGCTACAAGGGCACTCAACAGAAGTTTAATTAAGCAGCAATTGTTGATATTGTTAATAAGCAAGGCTTTTTACTAGTATCAGATATTGTAACCTGGTTGTACCCTAGTAGTGGCTAGATCGCTAAGTAACGTCAGGAGAACAGCATCTTTTTTTAAAAAGAAGGCTGAGACATCTCAAAAGATTTTACAATACTACATTCATGGGTTGTGAAGCTTGGCACACCCTTTTTGTGAATCCAGTTAACACCCTGTGGGACGACGGTGCAAACTGGCTTTCATCTCTTAATCCTCCTAACGGTTATGTGCGCAAGCTCTCCAGTAAATGCAATACTCCTAAGATCATTGTGACTATAGAATCAAAACGGTGAATCCCCTCCACCAAGTAGTAAGTTCGATTCAATTTTTCACCCTGCAAAGATGAAAGCTAAAAAGAAAAAAAGACCACGAGCTTGTGTGGAAAGCAGGTCAGTAGAGGCTCCAGGTACTGGTTGAGGAGCCATCCCTACCAAGCTGTTTTCCACACACACAAATTCAGTCCATCTTCTCCTTCTGAACCAGCCTGGGCGCATCTACAAAATCCTTGCCGTTGTAAAGGATGATAGCAAGAGTTCCAAAGCTTGCGCTTCCCCAGAAAACCACGTAGGCCAGGGTCTCTGTCCAGGTGTCACCTGTGGACACAATAAATTGCTTTCAGCTACGTACAAGGACTATTAAGAAACTATATTAGCGACCAGAAAAAGAGAAGCCTGCTAGAATTCTGAAGTGCAATTTCAGATCTACAAATCTCAGTGTTCTTCCCCACACGCCGCCAACGTATTTATTAGCAGAAGTGGTGAGAATATTTTCATATGTATGAAGGTGACATTTGGGAACCTGAAGGGTGACGGAGAGTATTAGGAAAATATACAGCAGGTGGTATGGGCCTTTGCAGAAAATGTATTGTGAAAGAGAGCACATGGCACAGCAAAACACCAGAATGCAAGTCTCCCACAGCATCAAGGGTGAGGAAATGGGCTGCATGCAAAAGCAGCCAACCCTCCGTGGGCCATTTCAGACAGGCAAGTGGGGTCCACCTACCTAGCAATCACCTGGCACCAGGTGCTCTTAATTTCAGCCCGCAGCTGCAAAGGAAGAGTCGGGTGCACGCTAAGGGCACTCCCCATTCTTTTGCAGGCACCGTTAGGCACTTTGCAGCAGCCATGGTTTGAATTTCCCACTGACTGATGACATCAGGCATAGTAAAGGTGTTCGTCATTTGGACGCACCTGAAATGCTCCAGTCCCTGTAGCTTATGAGGGAGAATATTTGATTCAGCGGGGGATGCCGTTAAGTGGCCCATAAGCTATTGTATATCATTATAATGCATCATCACTGCAATTCCTCCCTTCTATTTTAAAGAAATATTAACTTTCTTTAGGAAACATGATTTTGACCTAGGACATAGCACTGATAATATGTATCTGAAAAGGTAATGGGGCTCTGGTTATTTGGCCACCTAATCATGTTTACTAAGTCATTGCAAATACAGAGGTTAAAATCGGCTCTACTATAGTTGAAATTCAGCTCCTAATACTTGAACAATATGAATTCTTGGCCACAAAAGTTTTTCCTGCGTGTACGTATGATGTCCCTTTGTTCTTGCTCTACATTTTCAGCAAATGAGGATTTAGGCAATCTCGGTGTGGAAGATTATGCTTTGGAGCAAAGGACCAGCTTGGGCAGGCTGCTGGTACCAAGGTCCAAAGATCCTATGCTGCTTCAAGGGGTTTTTTCCTGGAGTACACTGAACTCATAAACATGAGGCTAGCCATCAGTTTTTGTGACTTGTTTGCTACGATGCTTGTAAATTCTCACCCACAAACTGCCTGTGTCTAGCTCTGATGATACCCAATTGCAGAAAGAGCTCCTATAAAAACCTCTCGTTAACTTCCAAGAAGCTGCTGCCATTGACTTATGTACACTATTGCTGTGAATTTCACGCACAGGTCAGATGATCACTTACCAGCCATAAGCAAACAGATAATGCACATCGAGAAAGCCACCACCATAATAATAGGCAACTGAGAAAGAAAATGGGGGGAAAACAATTAAAAGGCAATACATAATACTGTTTCACAGCTCAGTTATACACAAAGTAGAGAGTATGGTGCTAGCACATCAGTAATCTTAACATGCCAATCTGATCAGAAACAGGAGTTATTCTGAGCATACCCCATTTTCAGAAATGTTTCATACACCAACAAATTTATTGTGGCATAACTCTCAGGGTTGTTTCGTCAGATGCAATCAGCTTCAGCCAACAAAACCTTACGCCATAATTTGGCAGCCTTTAAAATACAGGAGGAATCCTCCTTTGTTGCCGGAAAAGCTAGTCACCGCATCTAACTTGCTGCAATGTATTAAACCCTGTTGTGCAGCACAAAGGATATTGTATGGGACTTTTGGACATTAAACGTGCTACAGAAAACAAAGAACGTTCATTTCTGCAAAGTTTGCATGAGTTGCAGGAACAGGTGCAGGCACTGGTTCCAGAACAGCTTGGTTGTATTTGGCTCTATGAAAACTTAGTGAAGTTGGGCGAGGAACAGGATTTTTGCCCTCTAAAAGTTCTGCCAGCCCTTCTGATTCCTGCTCATTTCCTCCCTGTGCTATTTTCACCAGAGTCCATCTCACTCCCACTGTTTCTTGCATTACCTGCTCAGCTCACAAACCGTATTTCCAAGCACCAAAGAACAACTCTGTTGGTGGAGCAGGATCTTGGGGTGATGGGTTTGAGCCCCACATTGGGAAAAAGATTCTTTGCATTGGAGGGAGTGGACTAGATGCCTCTCGTGGTCTCTGACACTCTACAATTCTATGATTCCATAGCGTGGCCACACAGGCATTACTTCCCACACCCCACCTTTCTATGCCTGGCAGGATTGTGATGAGCCTTAGGCTTGCATGCTTCCTCTCACACTATGCAGAAATGAATGACTGCCTAGGAACCCTGCATACGCCATATCGACTTCGGAAGAAAGGTAGCACGTATAAGAAACAAAAAACAGTGCGTTTGACTTCCCCCTGCTCTTCAGATGTACAGAAAAGTTTCAGTATTGCAGTTTACTGCCTGGTGCCTGTAAAGGTAAAGGACCCCTGGACAGTTAAGTCCAGTCAAAGGCGACTATGGGGTGTGGTGCTCATCTCGCCTCAGGCCGAAGGAGCCAGCGTCAGATCATGTGGCCAGCATGACTAAACTGCTTCTGGCGCAAAGGAACACCGTGACGGAAACCAGAGCGCATGGAAATGCCGTTTACCTTGCCGCCACAGTGGTACCTATTTATCTGCTTGCACTGGCATGCTTTCGAAGTGCTAGGTTGGCAGGAGCTGGGACAGAGCAACGGGAGTTCACCCTGTCGCGGGGGTTCAAACCGCCGACCTTCTGATCAGCAAGCCCAAGAGGCTCAGTGGTTTAGACCACAGCTCCACCCACATCCCACTGGTGCCTGTAACTGTGTAGGAAGATGTCTGTCTTTAGCCCATGACAGCAAAAACTAAAGCAGAGCATCCTCCTGCCTCCATTTGCCTGGATTTCCAGGGGGCTACAGAGAGGTCACAGCACTAGGGTTCGCCAAGTGGGCAGAGGCTACAGATGACCAATCGCCTTCCTATCTTATCTTCATTTGGTTGCAAGTGGCCGATAGCCAGGTGCAAAGTGCAAAATGTGCCTGGTGAATTTCAAACACCGCTAATTACAGTAACAGAAATCATGTGGGTCAGGAAAGCGCACATCTCAGGCATCACAGACAGGGGTAAAGAGGTGTGTGTAGACCAGCCCTTGCTAACCTGGCGTCCTCCAGATGTTTTAGATGACATCTCTCTGCAAGCACAGCTGGCTGAGAATTGGGAATTGTGGTCCAAAACATCTGGAGGGCACCAGTCTGCTGAAAGCTGATCTCTGTTCTGCCTGCCACACATTCTGCAGCGTTAACAGCAGCTATTGTGAAATTCACACACGCAAAAACCCCTTTGCTTGCTTCTCCCTGCAGAAATCTCTACAGAGAACAGCTGCTGATACTTGCCCACAATTCCAAGTGCACCTGAAGTTTTGCTAATAGCGCTTCTATTTTTAGCCTCCTTATTGATCACGAGCAGAAAACAACAGCTAGCTCCCCGATGCTCACACAAGTACTGTGACAGCTGTGAAACGCCGCCTGCGGGAAGCCAGCCAAGGAAGAGCTGGGCTCTCAGTCCCATCTTTGTTAAAAGTCACACCTGCAATTCCACTGCTGCACTGCTGGGCCATCAGAAAACTGCCCAAGTGGCAGGGGAGAGTCTGGAGGTTCAAAGAAGGTCACCGGTAGCTCATGCCCCCCCCCCAGTACACTTTACATCTCTGAGGCTTATTTGGAGTGCTGCTGAAACAGCACAGGCAGTTACTGCCTCAGTTTACGGTACAGGGAGCAGCACCAAAACAACAGGGGAAAGGCGCCTCTTGTGGCAAGAGCCTAGCACGCCATCCTATTCTGCTCAGCTGCAGAGAACAGGATCAGTTCTATATCTCAGCCACTGTATATTGTAGGATGGTGTCATAGCTAGGTTTTACATGCATGAAATCAGAGTTCAGATCCCTGCTGGACTGTTTTGTGCGTGCACTAAGCCTTGGTCTAGTGCTGTGTGGACAAGTTCTGGGCTTGCGCACTTCCAGCCAGCCAGGAGGAAGATTTCTGCCCAGTTAACTTTCAGCTTCAAAGAACACCAGCATTGCATGCAAACCAGAAATCCTTGTTTAAAACCAACAGTGGGTTCCTGCCAAACAAGCCAACATCATTTGTTTAGCAATTAACTGCTGTTTGTTTTTCAACCAGGATTTGGGGTATACGGAAAGCAAAGATTCTGTTTCGAAGAAAATAAACTCGGTAAAAATCTTCCCCATAGTTATGCAAGGGGAGGAGAGAACATTAGGTGAGACGCTATCCTCTGGACAGCAAGTAACTATCTCCCAAGTCTGCTTGATAGCCCAGGAACAGAGGGATACAAGTCCAATACTGGACACACAGTTTTTTTTCACTAGCCCCAAACGTAAGCCATGAAAGTTGCTCTACTCTTTGCAAAAGCCAAACCAGGGCTTCAGTTCCAGTAAGTAAAATGTAAAATACATGCAACCACAACACATTGTTAATCTTAGCCTGATTCAACTAAGTTTAAATAGTGTTATATAAAGATAAGCACACAAAAATGGAAAAACTCTTACAGCCAAAAATTTCCAGTCTTTCTGCACATGAAGAGGACTGAGAGAATCGACTTCATCCACCGAATAGTTTCCAAGAAAAAGATCTATAGCGTCCTGCAAAGCAATCCAGAGTTAAACGGTTGAGAATCAAGTCCCATATTAACCTACTCGGCACCACCAAAACCCACCCTCCAGTTACTGTACTCTGCCCATTTGTCATCTAAAAAGTTGCGACTTTTCTTCTGACAGCTTTCCTTCCCCACTTGCAGGCCATCTTTCCAGTGACTTCAAGGTGCCTCTGATGAAAGGTCTCCTCTCCCAGTTCTATACATTACACCTATGCTTCTCCAAATGCCGGGATCCGCTTGCCATTTGCTGGCTTGTCAAATGTCACGTCCCTCTCCTTTGTTGCCTCCCTCCTTCCAATTCTTGGAATCCTTTTCAACATGACAGTAGCCAAGTCCTCACTGCAATTTTTATGACTGCCTGACCTCACCACACCGGAATCTCCCGCTTCCATAAGCCCTGGAGCAGAGTGACCACGGCATTTTTCGTTCCTTTCAACGCACAGCACATTTTTCAAGCTAAATAAAAAGCAACCGGAAAAGCCAAATGCTAGGAAGTTCTTACCTGTCTAAATCCATCAGAAAAGTTGTTTTTGTAGTAGCGAATGAGTGAGTTCCAACCATCCATCAGGAGGCCCCACTGAGTTCTCTTCCCAGTTCTATTAAAAAATAATAATAAAAGCAGACATTTTCAACAGGGAAAATTGAAATCTGTTGCTTATAAGGAACTGGTCTAATATTGGTAGTGGTAGGAGCACCAGGGAGGGGTGTGTATCTTCACTCTCTACCCCCAAACTGAAAAGGTAGGCCTCAAATCGTCTAGCCTTTCTTTTATAACCAAAGCACTTTTTCCAGTTCAACCCAATTTCCCCCTCCCCACCACCACAAAGAGTTACCAAGGGCTCCACAGTAAGGCCTCGTGATTTCAAAAATAAACCCTTCAGAGAGTTCCTCCCTTTCACACATTTGCACAAATGGTCCAGATACTAGCATGGACTCTATAGCGATGTTTTATCCTCATTTATTCAGAATCTGGACTAACGATTCTTATCAAGGTTGTATTTAGCCTGAGAAAATATGCAACTGATGGAGGAATTTAGCTGTGGAACAGCTGCCTGTATAAACAGCATACGACAAAGATACTATTTTCATTTAAGATTGTAGCAAGGGAAGTTGCCAAGAGCAGTAAAAACGTGGAAAGTTACAGCCGTTCACATTATAAGCCTAAATCAGGGTAGTCCAATGTGCGGCCCCCAAGGCCTTTTGGGTGGCCCTTGGTAGCATTTGACAATCCCCAGCCCCTGCTTCGCAGCGCTCATGCTACCTTCCCAAAGCTGGGAAAGAGAGTCGCTGGGATTTGGGAACGATGCTTGAGGGCTCTGACAGGGTCCTAGAGTCCACCTCCTTCCCAAAGTCTAGTTAGCGCTTTGCCAGCTTTGGGAAGAAGGTGGGAGGGCTTTAGGACCCTGCCAGAGGTAGGTGTCAAATTTTGGCCTCACTCTCTACCCCCACAGGACAAAGCAGTGTGCAGCCCTTGGGTCCCATGTTGGAAAACTCTTGTGGCCCATTTGGTATGAAATGTTGCACCACCCTGGTCTGGATAAATAAAACAGAAGCACTAAGTAACAGAGGTAGTATTTTCTACATAGCATATTTGCTGGCTTTATGCTATTTTATAGTTTGTTTGTTTTTTAAAAAAATAATATTTATTAAAGTTTCAAAGGGAAAAAAATCACATTAATAAAAAAAAATTAACAATAAAAAGGAAAAATACAAAGAAAAAAGAAAAAACAGTTAAAAACAATTCCATCTTTTCCTCACTTCTTTTACGTTTACTTGTTTCCCGGACCTCCTCATACCTCCCTCTTTTGTATTCCAATTAAATTTGTTAATCCAACAATTCCTTTCCCTCCTTTTTAATCCTAATCCTTAGTCTTGATATATTGTAACGTTAGATTTTTACCTATTAAAAACCAATTTTTCCATATTCTTTTGTACCTATACAACTAGAAACCACTTAACTTCAATCCAACATCATTCTAACATTCATTAATTTTACAATATTTCTGTAAATAGTCTTTAAATTTCTTCCAATCTTCTTCCACCGACTCTTCTCCCTGGTCACGGATTCTGCCATATGCTATTTTATAGTTTTAGTCTGCTTTTATTTTAGTGATTAACGGCTGCACACTGCTTTGAGAATCCTAATAGCTTGGCTGAACGAGATACAATTTTTCAAATTATTTCTAGATAAGCCTCAGGGTCCCTTCCCACTGTATGATTCCATGTACGGTAATACGCAGCAACTATGGAAGCAAGTTCAGAGTGTCTGAACAACAGGTAACTGCTCTTAGTGAAGTTACAATACATTTTCTCCCAAGAAAGATTGGTTCAAACTTGCCTCGTGTAGTCTGTCTTTAAGGCACCCGTTCCGGCGTATTGTTTGGCACATGCATTCGCATTATCGGCCCAAGCTATGAACAGAGAACATTTTTTTCCCCTTTAAAAAGAGACTCCAAATAAGATGCTCATAAAAGTAAAGTCGGCTTGGTGACTAAAACCAAAACCTACCATTTTTATAAAGCTTCTCAAATTCTGCTTGTTCTTCAATTCTCTGGCCAACATGCAAAACGCCTAATCTCTGCAACGACAACAGAAACTGTTACTGTATGAAAACGGGACCATTTTAATGTGCCAGAAAAAGCACGTTCCAGAAACATAAACTTGAAATAGGAGCTTCACATCTATGTAGACGTTTGCACTATGTAAATATAGAATATTTTGTTTTATCAAATTTCTAGAAGGCCAGCAGCATCCCTTTACACGCAGCTTTTAAAGGGAAACGGAGAGACTAGGAGGCAATCATCACCTGAAGTTGTGCTTGGAGAGAGCGCCGTGCCAGAAGGCTTTGAATCACATTCGTCCGGTCCAGGCAGTCCATACAATTACTGCGGAATGTCCCTTCTTGCTGCATCACCACCTTCCCATCAGAATCAACCAGAAAGTAGCTGAAATACACAAGGGAGCTTGCCTAAGAATTCACAAAATACCACTTTTACATTTTTTGTTGAAACGCTACTACAGCTGTAGCATCAGCAAAGAAAAATATTTCTGAAGGTTTTCCAGAATATTTTTTTTTAAAAAGAAAATAATCCCAAAACAATCTCCTTAACTTTAGAGTTTTCCCACAGACTCTGAAGTATCGCTGGTTAAGTGCACCATGAACAAGTTTTGCTTAGATCACAAAGGTTGCAATCATCTAACTATTTAATCATTCTACTTTTCATTTCTCTTACTACAAGCACCTGCCAAGATGCGCTTTTTAATATCTTTCAAGACCAGATGTCTGAAATGACTGCCAGGATCCCCAGAGAAGGAAAACTGTTCTACGTGCCCAAGTGATTCTGGACTTGTTTCTTGAAAGCAGCCTCCAGGCCAGACGGCAGGCTATGTTCAAAATCAAGGAGAGACCCAAAAGCTGCTTGCAGTACAGCATAAATGTCTGCGAATTGAAGTAAAAAGATCACATGCTCTTGGCCTCTAGACCCTGATTCACTAATACTCAGAGCCTGTTTTAGAGGAGAGACAAACTAGGGCAAGGCAATAGTTGGCTGTTGCCCACAACGCATCTGGAAAATGCATTTTCTGATTCTCATGAGAAAACAAGGTTCTCATTACAGAATCTGGATTAACGTTTCATCCTTTTCCTTCTATTGAAATTTATAAGATGTCCTACTAAAAGCTATGTGTATTATTTATTATGACTGATCTTGAACATCCATACTAAATTCTTATTCAAAGAGCAGTGTTTTAAAAGGAAGTGTTCTGTTAATAATAAACACGTCCCAGGAAATCAAAGGGCTTCCTGTTCCGTAGAGATGTTTTAATCTTGTTAGGACATGGAATTCAATTCTGAGATTTCTGCTGGTTAGCCTTTGGAGATTTATCCATTCTCAGAAATCAAAATGTGCTAACTTTGTAACCAAGCGCAGTTGTCTCTGGTTTAAGATTTTAAATGGAACACATCTTTGCAGTGAACACCAGCTTTATATTTAAAAAATGGCCAACTATAATGATGCCGTATTATCAAGATCCTTATACCGTTGTGTAGAAATGGAAAAGGAGCCACACAAGTTCAGAGGATCTAGTTTAGGTAAATCCAAAGGGAAGTTAAGTTTCTATTAAATCAATGCAGTTAATTTCAGCCCAGATCACTGATTGTTGATATAATCTTCCTTAAGAATCACTACAACCATGCAAATTTCTTTGGGACTAAGGCAGCAGTTTACTTTCAGTGTCTGCTGTGTACAAATCAAATTATTATGTAACGTCCACTAACCACAACTAAATGCCTGCACAGTGCAGTTGCATATGACATGACTGTTGTTGTTGTTGTTTAGTCATTTATATTACCTCAATTCATCTTGCTGTTCAGCTAGTTGATCCATTAAAATCTGGAGCCGATCCCACCTCATATGACTGCATTCTTTGTGGAAATCAAATGCTACATATCTGGGCAGAGAAAGCACATGTGAGTTAGGAAGCTATTCAGTGTCTGAATTGGGATCGGGGCAGCGGACAGGGTGGGGGAATAAAAGGTCAGAAAAATAAAAACTTGCATTATTAAGCAGTATGAGGTTCCCCTGATAAAGCATTTTCTCAAAACGTACCAGGCATCATATTAACTATGAAACAGGATTTTGTCTTTGGGATGGACAAAGGTCTCTGTTAGCAGGGGAGAAAAGTGGGGCTCGGAACTGTACAAAAGTTTTTAAAAAGCATGCTCTGCCCACCTAAAAGGGTTAGTTGTTGAAAGATAACTCTTGCCAGCTTCACATGAAAGTGTAATGTGTTTTTTTTCAGAGTTAAAGGTTTTTGTTGGTGGTTTTTTTTTTTTTTTACTGCAAACTGTCCAGTGAACTTACGCTTTTTAGGTTGTGGGGTGGGAGGTGTTCAGTTTGCATTTTTCTTTCCAATTCAAACAAACAAACAAACAAACAAACTTTTGCCTGCAGTCTTCTCCAGCAACAGGCTTATAATCCTTAATTTCACCTCCCAAATAAACATTTCCAAATCAAAAGCCACACAATGGCACTCTTGCATCTTGCCTCTCCTACTGTATGACGTAAAGGTAAAGGGACCCCTGACCATTAGGTCCACTCGTGGCCAACTCGGGGGTTGAGGTGCGCGTCTCGCTTTATTGGCTGAGGGAGCCGGCGTACAGCTTCTGGACTGTATGACATGACCACCCTTATATTTGACAGTTTGCTTGGAGGGGATCTTCCTCCATCCCAGGACAGCCAGCTACCTACCATCTTCATGGATCTCTCCACCCGGCCAACCATGAACTCTTGTAGCAACCATTCTACTTCCATTTCTTCCTCTCTCATCTCTGAACTCCGATGGTGGTCTTAATATGGGCATGCTTAGAATCTGCACAGGTTTATTCTTTATTTGTCGTGGTCCAGAAAGGGGATTCAATCTTTCTGGAGCAAGTTTTGCCCTAGCACATTTGTGTGTGTGTGTGTGTGTGTGTGTGTGTGTGCACGCGAGCGCAAACACATCTCTTTATCCTGTCCTTTGACAAGAGAGAGTTGTGTTTCTGGGGCCCACACGATTCCTGTGACTGATCTGTTCCAATTGTTTTTTAATTTCTGCTTTTAAACTATTGTAACCTGCCCTGGGACCTGTGGTGAAGAATGGGTGATAGACAAATTAAAAAGAGGGACAGTAGTAAGCCGTGCGGTTTCATTTAAAGTCCTAAATAAAATCTGTGCAACTACAGAAAGCATGTTATCATTGAATTCACACAGAACTTGACATCTTCACATGCAGGTACAATTTTATGTCTAAACCAGGCAGTTGTTCTGATACTGATGCAAATACTATTTCGTTTAGCATGTACCTGACCATTCCATTTCCCAAGCTGTTTACCATTTTTGAAAACGTTTGCTCAAGCGGCTTTTCTGAGCCCTTCTGGTTAACCTGCAAAGGAAGAAAAAGGTCACACGCAGCAGCGATAACATTTTCCTGAACTCAAATGTACAATTAAATTCAAATCTTACCAGGTTAACAATTATTTGCTTTCCATAGCTAATAATCTGACTGTCAAAGTGTCTTTGGAAGCCATCCATCTGAAAAAGAACATGGTACACTTTTTATTCAAAGTTTGGCCAAAGCGTCATGTTTTTGAGAATTTGTAGGGGGGAAAAGGGGGGGGGACTTGCTCAATATTCAGTGAACATAGCAAAGGAATATTAAAAAGGTTCAATATGCAGCTCCAGCTGTGCAGAGTTAAAAGCAAATGGCAACACGTTCATGACTACTACAGATGTTAGATCATGCATTCATTGTTGTTATATTCTGAAATTAGCCAGAAAACTCATCAACCATCTCTGCCTGCCTACAGCTTTTTATCCACTCCCCTCCACAGTTCTGCGTATACCTGCTCTGCCTCTCTTGATGTTGCGGCCCAGGCGGCTGGGGCAGAAAGACAATAGGGAAAATCTTTTGATTTTGAACTCCTAGCTCTATTGACAGTTTAAGACACTAACTAATGTGCTTTTACACAAAAGAACATTCCAACGGCTCTTTGTTGGAACAGATCACTAGGACTGGGCAATATCTGGTTTTCAACACTGTGATACATCAGCAGCTAAACATCATGATTCACTGATATATAACAATATCTAAAATAAGGATGGAGCTATGTGGAGGCATTAGCTGGCTTCATGGTTTTTCCCACACTGTGATTTTTGCATAGGATACGCACACACAAATGATGATTTGCAATATATTGCCAGATCAAAATTTATGAAACCAATATGGATTTCAAACCAGCCCTATAGATCACTTTTGGAGCATTTCTCAGAAACCAGAAACTACTTGCTGCTTACAAAAGATTGTTAGCCTTTCAATGAGCAAACAATTAAGCAGGTAAAGTTCTTGAGTCCACATTAAATTCAAGTGTTTGGTCTTGGTCTTACCAGGCACCCTTGCCTGCTAATTGGCTTGCATCAAGGTTCAGACATTCCCAACCAAAGGACCTTGTGAGGCAACGCCAGCCATCCTGTTCTTGACCTATGGACTGGCCCCAAGCTTTCTTGGATTAAAAAAACCCTCTTCAGTATAGAGTATAGAGTGGTTCAGGGAAAATTAAGGACTAAAGTCTGTCTTTGAAGATGAGAGGACTGCTGCTTCAAGAGAAAACCTTCAAACCATATTGAGGAATACCTTAGGGAAAAAACACTCTGCAGAAGAGCAGCAACCACCTTAGGGATTTTTGCAAATGCATACAGCCATTAGCACCATATTAATATTAAACCCTAACCCTAACCCTCGCTGCAGATGGACAGGAAAAAATAAATAAAACATACATGATTTACTGTTTTGCTGATCTGTGGCTTTGGTTTATATTTGAGGTTTGGTCTCTGCGACCAGAAAAAAGGAATTGATCCACGTGTCTGGAAAACAAATAGAACAGAAAACTGAAGCATACAATTGAATTGAAATACTTTATTGTCACTTGTACAACTTGTATACAATGCTATGTTGTCAACACAACCTCCCAAATAACCTCTGCATCACATCTTTGAGCAGACTTGCATTAAGAGGGTAGAGGCAAAGACTAGTTATAAAAACCAAAATATAGGGCCTCAAACTTACTGGGCTTTCTACACCAGATCAAAATGTTATCTGTCCCCCCAGGCTTTTGGTTAAATTTTTCAAGCTGCCTCCTGTGCTCCTTTTAAATTATCATTTGACTATGCTCCCTTAATTGTATTGTTCATCTTGATTCCTTTCTGATGAAGGACTGTTGAGAAATTTCATAAACGTACCTGAACAAAAGATGCCTTGCTCCCATTGTAATGTACTATCTGTTCCGTTTCTACGAAGTTTGCTGCATGTCCTTCGGAATCAATACCTGCAAGATTAAGCAATTCAGAGTTATACCTGACTGCCTATAGCTCAAAGCCTTATTATCCACATCCTTCCATTTCATCATTTCTGCAAACATCAAGTACAGTGAAACCAAGAACTTCCAATAGAACACCGTGTCCTGCAGAGGATTATTTATGTTGCATTTTTGTGCATTCATAAAATATTGCATAGGAAGTGTGTTTCTGTTACTGGGTACAGCAGCTCTCTAGGTATTAAAGGACAAGTAGTGGAAGATACTTCGCCACCAATGAACCCACTTCAAGAAGATAATCATAGTCCAAGGAAAAAAACATGCAGTTAGCTCTCTGTATCCACTGGGGCTTTTTGTTTCACAAAAACAGTTTGTTAAATAGCAGCAATTGCAGAATTGTGAGGGGTGCTGTTCCAAGGTGGTTGGGGGGGGGGGAGATCGCTGCATTGAGTTGCACTTGGCATGGAGGGACAGAGAATGAATGAACCGCCCCTTTCTTCCTTCCCCAAACAGCAACTATACAGACAAACTCCCTATTTATGTATGTTCAAGGCACACACGCACATCACCACAAACTGGCATGAAAAGGGGCAAAAACGGCACAAAAATAGCAACCCCATAAGCCTTTGCACCAACCTTTGAGGCCTGCAGAGAGTTGTGTTTGAGCAAGGAGGTTTGGAGGGAGAGACTGTGGTGGATTTTTTGTTTTTCAAAGGGTTTCTCAAGGGTGTTTTTTAGAGGGTGTTTGCAGGCTTTTTAAAAAATATATATTTTTATTTTTATTTTCACAATTAAACATTATCATCACATAAGTATAAAAGAAGAAACCACACACAAAAAAAATAGAAAATAAAACATTTCCCACACAATATTAAATCCATATTTTGGGATTACTCAGATCCCTCAACAAAATGCAGGCTTTTTCAATGGTGTTCCCAATATATGCAATTTTACTTAAACGGGTTGTGCCTTGGAACATACCCCCCGTTTAAAGGGGTATTTGCCTATAGATTGTTTGTGTGTACACACACATATTTGCTGGTTTGTTTATTTTTAAATGTGCATTTTCCTTCCTCCAAAGAGATATACTTTTATACACAAGCAACTTGAATCTGCATCAACGTGTGGAGATAGTAGAGGCACTTGGAGAACTTTTCAAAACTAAATCTGCATAGTATGTGGTAAAACACAACAGTTTCATCCTGTTAACAAGACTGCCTTTGGGGGCCTGTCCCACTCAAAGCAACTTACACAGAAGTGGGAAGGAGTCACTATGCTGACTTTTCAGCAGGTGGGTCACTGTTGCTTACCAGAAGGGGAAAAGAAGCAGGAAGGTTGGTGCGGTGCAAATGCACTAGCAGAAGCACTGGATTGGCTCTGCTGGAACATTTGCACCCTACCAACCTCCTTGCCCCTTCCCCCTTTGGGTAAGCAACAGGGACTCACTTGCCAGGGAACTAGTATAGCAGTCCGGTACCACTCAGTGAGTCATTTCGGGCCTTATGCATCATTAATATACACCTTCCCATCACCGAGGTAGCACTACTAACAACCATTTGCGGTGCATGTGTCTTACCTCTTACATAGTAGCGCACGCCTGCTCTGAAACAACTTCTTCGGGAAATAAGAATCCAGTCAAAGTATTTTCCATTAATGGAACAAGAGTGCATGATAATAACTGATTGAAGGAGATGTGTTAAGGAATACACATGTGCACATTGACAACAACAGTAAATCCGAGAAGGGAGCGATATCAACAACCTTTCTCAGAATGGTTGAGATACAGGAATACGGACACAGAGCTGGAACACATACCATTACTTCCTTGACAGTAAAGCTTTAATCAGCTGAACGAGGAGAGAGGCAATGTTCAGGTATTCTCTCTTCTCTGAACTTCCAGATCTGTTCCAGAGGATTGTGGGACTCTCCAGAGCAGATTTAGTGAATCACTAAAAATTGCTTATCTCCCCTTTCCACTGATGGGAGCCTTATCATCAGCTAAGAGTCAGTGTTGGATGCAATCCATGGAGAACATATTTTCTCCATTTCAAACTTCTTAACACTGAAGTTAAGAGCAAGCAACTTAATATCTATGAGTGCATGCATGATTAAAAAATACTGGGGGGTTTTTTTGTTGCTTTTGTTAGGAATAGAGGGGAAGAGAAATTTGCATTTGCCCTAAATTTCCAACTGGTAGGGAAAAAGAGATCTGTATAAACATTTTTATGAAGAAGCCATTATGTTGGGACTTCAAACCAAACCTGATAAATAGTATTTACTGCACTGCGCATACACCCACACACTAACTAAAGTGAACTCCAAGGGCATATTATGTAGCCAAAATACCACAATGCACACAGAAGCAGGTGGTGCAACCATGCTTGGGGGATCCCACAATACTTCAGAAAATCTGCAGAAAAACCCTAAGAGGCATCCCACCCCATTCCAAAAAACAAAAAACCAACCAACCAACCCACCCAACAGACACTACTGAATGGCCATGTAATGCTGGTCAATTGTTTGGGGGAGAGGAGGGGAAGCCAACTGAAAGCTAGAGTGGGGATTAGAAATGAAAAGCAACGGAGTTTTATGGAAGAAGGCTTGGCTCAACACTGAAGAGCAGCGCTCCACATGTCAGCATTTTGGTCTCACCGGCTAATATCTTAAACACAAATCATGACCCCTCATTACATTGGCACTGAACAGCACAATTTTTTTTTATGTTCTAGTCAAGAAACAGTAAATAGTATTACTCAGCCAGCTCCTTTTCTCCCAGTCCCTGCAGTGCCTGGATGATGTTGTTTTTGGAGGGGGTAGCTTTTAGGATGAAGTTGGAAGTTTTAGAGGAGGCATTAAAGATTGTATATGCTAAAAAGCTTTGGCGTTTCCACCTTCAAGTTGCTCAGGTACCTCATTTTGTAGAACTAGTGTGGAAGCAGCACTCTGCCAGGGCTCTAAATATTAATCGAATTGTGACAGAATCATGAAAAGATACATCCATGCATCACTGGAGTGGCAAACCTATGGATCTGTAAAACAAACATTTCACAGTTGAACCACCGTATTTGAGTATTTGAAGACTTGCCCAAGCACTGGACATTGGAATGTTAACCAATACAGAATTTGGACAAACTAACAATACAGCATTTACAGCATTTATTTACAGTAAAATGTTCTGTACTCACACTGTATGTACTTAGTGCCACCTGCTTGTAGCACACAGATCAATAATATACCTTAATTTTATCATGCTTTAGATTTTTGACCCTCGCACATGCATTGTTTCCGTATCCTTTCAACCACCTTGCAAGGTAGATGGAACTTACTCCTTATTGCATATGCATGGAAAGAAGGTGGCCACCTGGCATATTCCTACCAAAGTTGAGATTTGGCAGACAAAATGTGGAAGGGCAAAGCAAAGTAACTCCTTCTCACACGCAAGAGAAATAAACTTATACCTACACAGAAGAGGGATATACAAGGGAAGAGTCTTGTTCAAAGTCCAAAAATAAGCATTCCTTAAAGGAACTTGTTTTCCGGAACTTATGTTATAAGATTTGGGATTTGTAACATGAAACTGTTTGAAAAACACATTAGTTGTTGTAACTACAGTCGTACCTTGGATCCTGAACGCCTTTGTACTCAGATGTTTTGGCTCCCGAATGCTGCAATCCCAAATAATTGTTCCAGTTTACAAACGTTCTTTGGAACCCAAATGTCCGATGGGGCTTCCACGGCTTCTGATTGGCTACAGGAAGCTCCTGCAGCCAATCAGAAGCCACTCTTTGGTTTCCGAACATTTTGGAAGTTGAACGGACTTCCGGAATGGATTCCGTTCAACCACCAAGGTACGACTATATGTACTCCACCTTGAGCACTTTGGAAGAAAAGTGGGATATAAATGGAGTAATAAATAAAATGAGTGGCTTTGATGCTTGCATTTTCTTCTCTCTGAAGTGAAATTTAGACTAAGAGTTTCCCCAATTCTCTGCTCAGGTTCTTAGCTACAATGCTACACTAGTTCTTGGTTTAAGAAAAGGTTTCCTATTACCTACCAAACTTATGGCTCAGGCAAAACTTCAACCAGGGACTTCGCGACTCTAAGCTATTGGTAAAGAATGCTATCTGCTCCGTGGCTAAATGCCGTTGGCTCAAAGCGTTAATTGTTGGATCGTACTATAAGGCAGCTAATCGCAGAACTAAGCATTTGTATGAACATAAAGAGCACAGGATAGGTGAGGTTTTTCCCCCTCCAACTGATAATAAAGCTGCAGGCTAGAAAGAGATTGTTTTCATCACTAACGGTTTCACAAGCTGCTATTTTGTTAAGTCGACAGTCTTAATGAATTGTTTGGCTCTCGGCAGCTGCTGTGACATCTCAAGGGAGATTTGTAGTATCTCTTGTAAAGGCAACATTCTGGGAGCCACCTCACCCGGATCAATTGGCAAACACTGTATTTGCAACTTGCTTACTGTCTGTTCACTGCTGAAAGGAATTAGGGTGGTTAGCTGACCTGCGAGGAATTAATACCACGTCTTGGCAAGGAAAAACTGTATCCTGCATGCATAATTGAGGACTCTTCTTATCGAGCTGTGCAAGACGTTGATTGAGTGAATTTGCTCTACACACGTCTTAATAGGAGGATGGCTGACAAATTTAAGTTCTGAACCAGGGATTTGCCAAACATGTTTGATTGGGAAAGATGCCTAGCAACCCCCACTTTATTAAGGTCTTTTTCAACTAGCACAAGCACTAGTGTCTCTGCTCCATTTAAAATAAAGGCTATTGGTTTCTGTAACAGTTATTACTATATAGTTTGCTACAACCATAAAAGACTTTGCATTTTATCACCAGCTGTTCTGGTCACATGAACCCAAAAGCAGGCCAGCTTTTATAGCTGTGCTTTCACTATCTTCAACATTATGGAGATTATGCTCAGCAAAATGCATATACATTACCTCAGGCTGAGCAGCGAATTCTCTAAGGAGGTGCCCATTCCATACAAACCGAGGATCTGCCTGTAAGGAGTTGCATCATAGGGTAAATTTTAAACACCAAGGATCTTGTTTGCTTTCAGACAATGCTTTCCTGAAATGTGGCAGTAAGCCAATCCCTTTCCCCTACCATCTAACAATTAAAGAAACACATGCCTCTCTTCCTCAAAAAGAGTAAAACAAATCAGGTGGTAGATCAGTGGTTCGCAGAATAAATCCCCAAACTATCAATCTAAATTTAAGATCAAATGGCTTTTGTTGCAAACAGGATATTACATAATAATACATTGCAACTTTTACAGTTTAAATAAATATTAAAAAGGTAAAGGACCCCTGGCAGGTTAAGTCCAGTCAAAGGCGACTATGGGGTTGTGGCACTCATCTCACTCTCAGGCCGAGGGAGCAGACATTTGTCCACAGACAGCCTTCCAGGTCATGTGGCCAGCATGACTAAACCGCTTCTGGCGCAACACAACACCGTGACGGAAATCATAGCGCACAGAAATGCTGTTTACCTTCCTGTCGCAGTGGTACCTATTTATCTACTTGCACTGGAATGCTTTCGGACTGCTAGGCTGGCAGGAGCTGGGACTGAGTAACGGGAGCTCAACCCATCATGGGGATTCGAACTGCCGACCTTCTGATCGGCAAGCCCAAGAGACTCTGGTTTAGACCACAGTGCCACCCGTGTCCCGACAGTCTCTATTTACAGTTTAAATAAACACGCTATCATTCAGGTACTGAAAGACACATATCTTGTGTGTGTATATATATATATATGTATGTGTGCATATATATATATATATGTGTGTGTGTGTGTGTGTGCATGTATATATATGTGTATGTATATATATATATATATATATATTTAGTTGGCAATAAACTGTATCCTTTCTTACCCTTTCTAGCAAGCTCATTTCTTGGAACTCCGGGCTGGTATTAGCCAACCGTTGTAAAGTGTGCGTTAAGTCGTATGTCGTAGAGAAATAAAATCCGTCCACACTCAATACATGGCTAATCATTGATAAAAAGACTTTATTGTCCTGTAACTGTTAAAGAGGGAAAGCATTATTATTTGCCACACTGTCTCTAATTTCCCCTCCTGGTTATTACAAGTTTCCTACAATATCCGACAAAGAGCTCACAGAGAAAGTGTTTCAAGGTTCCTCTTTTCAAGATAAAGCATTCTGTTGCTAAAATATAACCCAATTCCACCATACCAATGCACAGCTGTTTATGAGGAGTTAAGAACTTATGGTCAGGAGTAAAAGAACACTGTGTGCTCCTAACAGCAGCTCCGAGTGCAAGCAAGAAGGAATGGGAATGCATCAATTTTACCCTCTTAACTGCACTAAATTTTGTTCTGGAGGATGTCTTGGCCTTCAGAAGCAGCTCTACAGTGAAAGGAACATGCTGCAATGAGAAGGTATCCTCTGAGAAAAAGTGTCCCCTTGGACCCCAGCCTTTTTTGAATTCATGAAAATAATGCTTGAACAAGTCGTATTTTTTTAACAAAGAGATCTATGCTCATTTCATCTCAAACATATTTCAAAGTAGCCGAAAGGTGTTTCTATTACCAAATCTATTCCTACCTGAATATCAGTTAAATGTAGCATGGTCTTTTTGTAAGAGAGGATGTCAAAGTCTGTTGCTTTCCAAACAACATGATTGAAAAATTCACCTACTTTTCTCTTTTTTGTTATTACAATAAGATACGTGCCTGTAAAACAGAAGGACTCTGGTTAGCAATACTGATTTGTCTTCTACTAATATAAGGCAGTTCTAGCAAAAAGGAAGCAGGGAAGTTGGCAGGGACACTGAACTTCATGCCTTGCTTCAAATAGTTTGCAATATTTGTCATCACCACTACAATCTTGAGAGCTGGAATCTACCGCAAAACATGACGAAGCATGTTTCTGTTGTACTGCTCCATGTACCAGTTTTCAGGAGATTCATGGACACTGTGGTTTTTAAATGATATTCCGGCTGCATGTACTCATCACAAATCGCCATTCCCAAAGATTGTCAAATAGGCAACCACAAATTTGAATGCTCTTTCACTTCAAAAACCATCATTGGCGGGGGGACGGATTGTGGCTGAGCCCTCAACATAATGTGCTGCTTTTATAAGCCATACTTAAAACACAAAGAGGGAACATTAAAAATATGCAATGCCACACATGCAGCCTAAAATGATGACATTCCAGCAGAGTGGTACCACATAACAATTCTGAATGTGCACCATGCTCTTATTATAAGATCTCAAAATATCTGTGAGACATCATAAATAATACTTCTTCATAACTGAAATTCTCATACCTGCCACTAGACGGATTGTCCCCAAAATGCCATATATTTGCCTAGTAACTGCTGAAGGCGGAATATCTTTCTTAACTGCAAAGGAAAAACAGGATACACTGTCTCAGTATACCAGTATTAGATCTATCACATGCAGCCAAACACAATCCAATAAGATTTAAATGACCCTGTGTGCATAATAAATAGTTTAACATTACTAAGATCAAAACTAAAAACTTGAAAATTTAAACACATGGAACTAACACTAATGTTTATTAGATGAATTTGGAATCATTCACACATTAGATGAGATTCTTTCCCCAACCCCCCGCCAATACAGACTTGATTTACTGAAGCCTTAAGATCAGTGCTGTATTTAGCAGTTCCTGACTTCAATACTTTTACCTGTCTCTGCAGGTAAAAGTCCCAGCAGAGTATTTGTGAGTATGGAAAGGTGCATTTATTTTAGAAGAATTACCATCAACACTGGGGGCTACAGAGTCATAAGAACCAAAACACAACCAGGAAAATGATGGGAGTGGGGGAGAATTATTTATTACCATCAACAGAAAGTAAGAAATCAAAAATATGCAGCAATGCCACTGCTTTTAAAGCATGCAGATAGTTGGGGGGGTTAGAATGTTAGAACCACCTAGTTTAAGAGGTTTAACTATATTTATTGACTGTTAATTAAACAGTCAGTCCCAGGGAATTACTAGTTCAGCAGTGGGTCTGGGAATCTCTAACTAAATTGTTACCTCCTCATCAGACTGCAATTTCTAAAATTCTTTGGCGGAAGCCACAACAGTTATATGATAGAAATCAATGTAATGTACCAAAGAATTTTGAAATTACTTTTAATTGTTGGAGTAGATTCGCTTGTTCTTAGGTCCCACCTCCCTTTTTAGTGGCTGTGTGGAGTGGTAGGATTCCATTGTTTCTGTTCATTGTTTGTTTTGGTTGGTCTTTTTTGCCGTTGTTGCTATTATAATGTTGTATATGTTTTTAACTGATTATATCAGATACTGTAAATCACCTTTTTGAATAAACAAATAAATAAAGATGCTCCACAAGAGCAGACTGGAAGCAAAATTTGCCTAGCAGGTTTTAAGCTTATTCTACCATGGAGCATTCCTGCCACCATTTGATACATACAGGAAAAACGTAAACACAGAAAAGTTCTGAGTCATTACTGCTTCTTTCCTTCCTTCACCAAATATTGATTCAGTATTGAATTGTTTCTTCGACTAGAGATGTATTGCAACCAGGAAGTGTGGTGTTTGTACAGCTAAAGCCAACTGGATTCATATACTGCTACACAATAAACAGAATTTCCTAAAAGTTTCTATTCCAAAGCTCATTGCTTGAATATAAGCTTGAGAAACTTGAATATACATAATAATTTTCACAAACACACACTAAATTTTCAGAATGTACAGGTAAATGAAAATAAATTTGATCAAGAAATGTATAAACAGATACAGTATTACGAAGGAAGAAGGATAACTGATGGGTTTATGAGCCAGATTTGTGATAGTTTTCAGGTTGCTGGCTAATTTACTGTGTAGCTTAAAGGAAAACAATTTAAGGCTAAACTACAGCATTTCCAAAGTGATGATGAAAAATACCTGTAAGAGTGACCTCTGTGGAGACTCTGTCAATGGAAAGTACGTCATTGGCTCCATCATCACAAGCTTCCACATAAAATCTTTCTGGCGTTATGTGCCTAAAATGCAAGAAATGTGCAAGATCACCACCAGACAAGCAACATCACTTTAAAATACTAGGGCTCGCTGGAATTCTTATCACGATCACCCATAGGAAGAAAAGCTATATATACCCATTATGCAAGACAGTAAACAAAGACAGGAAGTAAAAAGCTCTGGTTTGGGGAAGAGCTATAGTGGTAGAGCATCTTCTTTGAATGCAAAAAGTGCCAGGTTCAAACCCCAATATCTCTAGGTATGGCTGGGAAAGACTCTCTGTTTGAAACCATGAGAGTGTTTCCTAAATGTACTACCGAGCTGGTTGGACCAATAGTCTGAGTTCATATAAGGCAACGTCCTATGTTTAGCATCAGTATAGTCAAACATCAAATCTTACTACTTTGAGGAAACTTTGAAAACAAAACTTAAATTTGAAAGGAAGAAGCACTCTTCCTAAAAGAGGAAGATCTCTCACATGCGTAACATTCAATTTTTGATGTAGCTGAATTATCTCTGCACCATCCAGTCCATCTCCCAATGCTTCATTGTGCTTCTCTTGATTTTTCCTATACCTCCCCACTTTCGCCATGTGTTCTGGGCACTGGGCAGAACATACAAATTACAGGACATACCACAAAAACACTCAACTAAATGTAGATAACCACAGTGGATGAGAAATATGATTTAAGAAGTCTGTAGTTTAAATATCACTTCAGAGCAAGACACCAAGAATAAAAAAATCTACTTTAAGTGTATTTGCTTTCTAACGCTTTCTTTAAAAGAAAAAAGACATTCTGCTCAGAATGGCACGTGCTAATAACCTAACTAAATTACATTATTAGGCACAGACACGCATGACATGCAAATGATGCGAGATCAAACAATGGAATCACATTTCCATATTCACAGCAAATGGCAGCTATCCAGCAAAAGGAAAGAGCAACCAATTCACTTTCATTTTCAGCAGGGAAAGCATATGGGAGCCCATATTTTTTATTAGCAAAACAACTTGACAACTTCAAACAGAGCAATGCAAGATAAGAAGTGGGGGAAAGATGCCTTTGAGCAGCTGATTTAGGAGAAGGGACAAGATATCTATGCACTGTTAAGCAGTGAGATTGGCAAAACAGGGTGAGAGGAGAGAAAGGGAGTGCAAGCCTCAGATGCAGTCATCCATTATGCTGGCAGAGGCCAATTACAAGGCACTCAAAACTAAGGACTGACAACAGGGAGGATCTCTGAGCAGGGCGACTAAAGTAGGTAAGCCATTTCCATGCTTATCAGCTGGAAAATGGATAGGGCCCCTTGCTGCTTGATGTTTCAGCCACCTGACTCCACACACTGTTTTCACAGCAGCAAGGTTTTTCCTCCCAGATAGAAATCTTGGAAGCGCAGAAATGTTAACTTTCCCCTCCTACTGCCTTTTTCCATTCCTTAGTCTAAGGTAACAGATATTGCTAGAACTTTAGACAGGCTATCAAATAGAGATACAAAGAAGAATGAGAAAAACCTGCAGAGCATCTTACATTAAAAAAGCACTAAAGAAGGATAAACTAAAATCTGAAACTGGCTGGTGGGTCTAAAGACTGAAACCTCTTCAGCTACTTGAGTATTAAGACTGTTCCATGTTCAGATCCTATTTCTATAGGTGCAGTACAGCTTAGGGCTAATTCCTGCACACATACCTTGCTTGCAGTCTAGCACTGGATCTGTTGCAACTGAAAAGACAAGTGCTGCTTATGGTGATATTAGTCATAAGAGCATTTTATCCGATGTTTAGCCATGCCAACCAATTCAGAAATGCACATCATTTAATGCTGGCATCATAAAATAAAATGATTGTGTACGAGCAAACACATGTTCCAACTGTTTGTTCTTTGATTGCAACACATTATGATTGGATGGATTAATACGGAATTTCTCAGGGACTTTGACATACAAAATGCTTTACACTCCATCTCTCTTATCCTTACCAAAAATATAATAGAGCAACAGAGTCTCATGACTCCTTACTTAGAAGAGAACGTCACATTCCCAGGAATCCTAAAGTTTGGCTCACTGCTCTCTCTCCCAGCCTGATCACCCAAACTCCAAAACCACATAACCCTCCTAACTAATGATCAATTAGCATAACACAGGGCATTTACAAACTCTCTTTAAAATCTTCATAGTTATTTTCTCAATCAATTGTACTGCAATCACTTTCTGGGTTCATTAACTTGCCACAGGAGTTTAACTCCTGGCATGGCTCATTATAGCATCTGCCTGGAAAACAAAATAAGATCAGATTGGTGCACCTTTGTAACTTCCTTTGCATATCAATCTACAGTTGTTGTCAATCTAGATGGCACAGGAGACAACTGAATTCCCCAACTATTCCGTAGTATTTTCTTATTGTTGCCTGTACGATCATGGTGCTTTGATTCCAAAGCTGTGCATTTCTTTATTTTATTAACAAAGGCAATGAGGGAATGGAGAGGCCTTGTTTCTCATTGCCCTTGAATGCTACTGCTATAAATTTGATTCTGCTTGCATTTAAAGCCAAATGTGCAACTTCTGAAACAATACGAGAATAGAACTATAGCCATCCTTCAAAATTTGCACTTATCACAGTTTTGCAATACCAACCAATGTTTATAAAAATGCATCAGCAAAAGAGGATATCCTGTCTCCCTAGTGCAACCTTGACTTGGTATTTCTTTGCGCCTTCATGTACTTCATGCCTAGTTCTTCTCTTCCTTCAAACTTCACCAAAATTTCCAGGTTATGGCCCTTTTCTGCCTTTCCACTCTATCTGTCTAAATGAATCTATCTCCAAAGTTATCCAGCAACAACTAGTAAGTTAAATAAATAAAATTAACAGGATACCAACAAAGGCTTGCTTTAAAACAAAAACAAAAATCAACATTTGTTTCTTTTAGCAATATAACAACAGGCAAACATGTTCTTTAAAAATGAAAACTCAAAGTTATTCAATCTTGAGTTACCTAGATGAGCCAGTTTATATTTGAGATAAAGATCTTGCAATGAGGTCTTTTTTAGTTTTATGGTTTAGTTTCCTAGGCTGCCAAACATATCTGGACGCATTTCAAATCACAAAATCCATGTATTATTTTCTCACTTGCAACCATCTCACAGAACGGGTAGACAATTCAGAGATAGACCTTACTGAATGCTTAATATTAATTTGGGATTTGCAGATGTAAGTCTTCTCTGCAAAAGCACCTTGCTCTTTTTCCAATTAGGGGGAAATACATTATGCACTTAGTATTTGATGCTCTAATGGCATCTAAAGTTAGCATTGCATTCAGCATCCACTATCATTTCAGAATTCTTTTATACAGTTTCACTGCTCCAACCTTGATTTCAGTAATGTACATATTTCCATCATGAATGCTTAATATTATTCTAATACAGGAAGCTACTCAATGCCAGCAACCACAGATTGTCGAGAGAAGAATTCAAAAAAGGCACACATACTGTGCTGAGCAGTGCATCACCCATCCATCTTGACATTATCCTCAAACTAAAACGAGAATGAGGGCAGACAGGCCACATTACACTAACATTTATGCAGCACCCTGAACAGAGGTGATTCTGCAAATTGTATAAAATGTTACATTTCAGTTCTACTTACGCTGCTCTGTGCTTTAAGTTGCCTCATGTCCCAATCAAATAATTTTCAATTGCATAACCCTTCTAAGTATCCCTCTTAACATAACTAACCATTTTTTAAAGCAAAGCAGCAACAGCTTTCTTTAAAGAGAAAAAAAATCATTTCTGCATGTTCTCGCTCGCTATTCATCTGATTTTATTAAAGCTGAGATGCTGCCTGTCAAATATACAGTGATCAAAAGAATGCCTTTTTCTATATGTCAGCCTACATTACTGAATGGCAAAGGCAAAAGGGACAGCTCCCTGTTCCAAGTCATGCAGGATCTGGGTAGACAGCTACTTAGGGAAGACACTGTCTACGCTTCATGAGAACTACGTTTAAAAGTGAACTTTCATCTTCTATAATTGATCTGCTCACATTTAAAACACAAAACCTGCAATTGTTTGGGTTGTCCTTGGGGTTCCAACTAAGAGTCAAAGGTAAAATCTCTTGAATATTGTTCAAAAAGTGAAGGTCATAGGATAAAAATTCCATATTAAGACAATACCTTTATCACTGACATTCATCCATATGTACATAACATACTTATAATAACTGACTGCAGTACTTTCAAATTTTCATATTACTGGTTTCCAACAGTTTTTTCTGTTTCTGTAAGTTTCTCTTTATTTGCATGCCTACTATTTAAATACAAAAGACTTTCGTTATTAAACAGTATACAGTATAAATATTTTTAATAAGTAAGTAGATCGCTGCTGTTTGGTTTTATTAATGTGTCCTACTGAGCTGGCTTAATTATAAGCTTCATTGTTAAACTAATAGCAGCTAGGTGGGCACTTGCATATATTTTTGCATGCTCTCATCCTCATTTCTGCTCCACAAAGCAGCCCATCAATTGATTAATCTACATGCTCTCTTGAAATATTTCACAACAGAATGCAAACATGGCTTGAGAAAATAAAAACAGTAAATATAATTCCTGAGGAACCTGTAGCTGGTATGGGGTACTGCAACAATGAAACAATCTTTCTACACTTTGCTTTAATGCTGGCACTCTAAAATCAGGGCCGGGGAAGCTGGTGTCCTCCAGATGTCATTGGTCTGGGATGACAGGGGTTGAGGGCACCAGATTTCGCATGCCTGCTCTAAAGGAAAAACAGGATAGCCAAGGAACAATTGAATTAGCTTGTTGAAATTAAACTAAGGACACATGTAAGAAGAGGCCTGCATGCGCCTACCACTTGATCAGATAATGTCACAACTGAAACATATATCAGGTTACACAAGAATTAAATGCCAACAGGAAAAGTGACTTTAAATCTAATCCCAGTGGAAGTTGCAGAAATTTTTGCAATCCCCAAAGTACTTGAAAGGCCTATTTGAAAACACAACCACCTATTATTATCTTGAAGTAATACAAATGATGACCCAGGAACAGAGTTCGATTTCGAACGATCCCCATAGCGATTAGGCACTTAATTATTAAACACACAGAAGACTGCGGAAATTAAATGTAACAGCAACGGTATACCTGAGAATTTAAACTCTAACCTTCTAATTGTGCATATTTAGAAGAAAATTCCACTAATTTCATAGGTCTTCTTTCCATGTAGGTATGTTTTAAGATGAGGATGCTAGATCTCTTTTAACCAACACTAAAGATGTTTACAAAAGAATCTCCCTGGAGTGTCCTGAGTCATCTTTCCACCCAGAACCATATGTTCCCTTCCGTGGCATTTCTCATTTTGCTAGGCTAACCTTCACTTCAGACATCGGTTATCTTGTTCCTGCAGGCTACAGTGTTAGAAAGAATGCAACTGAGCCCCCTTTTAACTTCATTATGAATAATACAATTACTAGAAAGACTGGCAGAGGTTGTTCTACTTTTCAGGTACACAGTAAAGGCAGAATCACATTTGCGAAGAAACAATGACAGGAGAAAACAAAGAATGGGCATGCAGAGTGAAAGTGGACAGGAAGTTTAGGTAAACCAAGAAGCTGCTTCTATGTAAGAATTTACAGGAACTGTATGCATTGCAACGAGAGGACAGACAACAAAACCCTGAAATTACTATTTCTTACACAATGTAAATTTTTACATGGAAGAGCCTCCATATTTGTAAGGAATTATGTCTGCTTTACTTTTTTTTTTTTAAACTGTCTTACCCACCTCTCTTCTCCTTGGAGAAACAGGCAGAATAGGCATTCAAAAAATAAAATAAAATAAAATAAAATAAAATACAGTAAGCAACTCATTTCTACCAGGAAGTAGTTAGTCCCCAAGATGTTGCAGCCTAGTTGTTAATCAGAGTACATATTATTCAGGTGCAGGACCCAGGGTGAGAAGAGCAGGTGTGTGATTAGCGATCTGAGGGTCAGATTAGAGGCCTGGGATGTTTGTTGTTGTTGTTTAGTCGTGTCAGCCATGAAACTCTCTGGGTGACCTTGGGCCAAACACCTTCTCCTCAGCCTCACCTATTCACAGAGTTCTTGGCGAGCGTAAAAAAAAAAGTGGATGAGAGAGACCTTGCACGAAACCTATAGGCTGGGGATAGTTCAGTGGGGTGGAGCATGAGACTCAATATCAGGGTTGTAAAACGGAAAAAAAAATTCCTAAATTGCAAGGGATTGATGACCCTCATACAGTCCCTTCCAACCCTAGGGTTCTATGAACTCTCTGGAGGAAAAACCGCACCAGAAAAAAAGGAATAAATGTTTGTGTTGTGGGGGGGGGGGGGGAAATACCCACTGAGAAGAAAAATGTAGGAAAGGCAATGTGACCCTGTGGAAACGCCCTCAATGAGATGAGCAACTATATAACCTTTAGAAGATGCGCAATGATGTGATGTGCAATGCTTTATTAATATACTGTGTGTTGGAAGCTGCCCAGTGTGGCTGGGGCGACCCAGTCGGAGGGGCGGGGTACGAACAATAAAACTGCTGCTGTTACTTAAGCAACATGGGGTGAGAGGGGTCGGAAATAGAAAAATAACCCAAGCTAGTCTGGTCGCGTCAGAAGAAATTTTTGGCGGGGAAATGAAGCGACAGGGAAGATGAGGCGAGTGGGAGGAACTGTTTTGCCTGTGCAAAGCGGGGGGACAATTTGGAGCGTCGTCGGAAAGAGGGGCAGCCGAGGAGGGAAGCTCGGAAAATGGCCACGGAAGGGGAGGAGGAGGAGGACGGCGGCGAGGAGAGGCCGGCAGGTGGTGGGCACTGCGGGTCTTGCCATTGGGACGGGGTGGCCTGCACTGCAGGGAGGGTTTTTTCCCCGCCCTCTACCTCCCTCCCTCCCTGTCGCCGTCCACTCACAGCTTCAAGTTCTCGTAGGCTCCTGCCGCCGCCGCCATGGCTGCCCCCTCAGCCGCTCGCCTCTGAAGCGCCGCCCGGCTCCTCCGCGTCCAGGACTCTCGCCTCACCTCTCACCTGACGCGCCTGGGCCTTTCGGGACGGAGCGCCGCTCGGGACAAAGCTACTCGGAAAGCATTTCGGCGTCGGGCGCAGGCGGCGGCTGATTGGAGGAGGCCGCCGCTCAAGGCCACGCCGGCCTTACGCTCGCGGAGAGGGAGGGGGGGGAGAGGGCGGGCGGGAGCTTGGAATTGTGACGCTGCTAAGGCGCGAGCAGCGGGCGACGCCGAACGCAGCCCGAGCCCGGATTGGCCGCGAGATTCGCTTGGGCTCCGCCTCCACATAAAAAATAAAAAGCGCTTCTCGCTGGCTGCTGGCCGAAGCGAAGGTTCCTGCGAGGGTTTTGATTGGCTGGCTATCTCCTCGCCCATCCAGTTGAGAGAGAGGAGTAAGATTCTGCGGCGGATGAATTTAGAATATAGGAAGAGAAGCGTTGTGTACCAGCGGGGCCAGTGGCGCAATGGATAACGCGTCTGACTACGGATCAGAAGATTCTAGGTTCGACTCCTGGCTGGCTCGGCCTTGTTTTTTCCTCCTACTGCTTATTTAGAGTTTTGAGCAGTGGGATCGCAAAATTCACAACATTTTCTGATTCAGTTGGCTGCAGATCCACTGTCGCAACTGCATTTGTTTTTATTTGATTTCATATTTCTATGCTGCTTTTCATTCAAATGAAACCCAAAGCAGCCTACAAACAATAAATAACAGTGTCATTATAGCACTTATATAACATAACAGAACATCAGAAATACAGCATAGACTAATTAACAAAGAATCAGTCAAACAATTGCAATCTATAAACACTGTTAACAAAGCAACAACAAAAATTAAGCTGAAACATCACAATTAAAGCAAAAGTCATATGATTAGCAAAGCAATACTGCATTTGTAATCCATAAAACAATATTAACGATGGTAAAATAGCAACTAAAAGATGAACTAAGCACTGTTCAGTTCATATGCACACTCTCCACACTCCCATGACGTTTTATTGTACTGTGTGACATACCAAAATTCTGATCCAAAATAAAGCTGTTAACTTTTGCCCAAAGTGCAGGTTTTGCAAATTGCAATGCGAGAATTTTCTCAAAACTATGACCACTGTATTAACTACTACGCTGCACTATTAGTTTATGAGTCCTACCCATCTTTATACAGTGGTACCTCGGGTTACATACGCTTCAGGTTACATATGCTTCAGGTTACATATGCTTCAGGTTACAGACTCCGCTAACCCAGAAATAGTGCTTCAGGTTAATAACTTTGTTTCAGGATAAGAACAGAAATCGTGCTCCGGCGGCACTGCAGCAGCAGGAGGCCCCATTAGCTAAAGTGGTGCTTCAGGTTAAGAACAGTTTCAGGTTAAGAACGGACCTCTGGAACGAATTAAGTACTTAACCCGAGGCACCAGTGTATAGGGGTAGTTCATCCACTGTTGGAGGCTTGGCGTTGGGGGACGGCGACAATAAAAATTCCAGCAGTTTTCAGCTTCTACTGCCTCATGTTGGCTGCACACCTGAGATTTCCTGCTGTGCCACCCTTATAACAGCTGGGCAGAAGGAGCCTGGGCGTGCACTTAGACACTGAAGAAGTCAGCAAAGACCCAGATCTTTAAGTAGCACTCTATGGATTGGTGCAGAACTGGGGGGTAAAATGAGTTTTCTGTGTGTCTTGTTTCATCTATAACTCTTGGGTTTTGAGACAAACCTCCTTTCTGCAAAACTTTTTAGGGCCTAACAGTAGAAAGTGAATGTGGCTTTGCAGGAAATGTATGTTCTTAGCAGGAACCTCAAGACCTCAGACCTGCACTCCAAAGACGGCACCCAGAGAAGATTGTGGAAGCTGGCAGTATCGTCTGGGTTATTTTCAGGAATGCACATGAATCTCTATGTTTGCCCCAAAGGAGTCCTGTCTTTGTGGATGTCCCATGCAGAGCACACCCAAAGGCCTGAAGATTTTCTGGACACTCCCCACAAAAATCTCTCACAGCACCCACAGCTTTGTGGGTGCCCTTGATCAAATGCTTGCAGAACGCCTGGAGTTCACTGTTAATAAGCAGTAGCTCATAAGAGGTCCTAAGATACACAGTTCAGATATAGATGGAGAAACACAGATAGAGTTTTGTGCAGAGTATACTGCAGAGAAGATCCAAGTGGAAACCACTTGAAGCTGAGCTGGTTTAACTAGGGCAGACAGGAGGCTGGGAGCAGGTCACTGGCTCAGAGGCCATGGTACTACCTCCATACAGATGGAAAACCAACCCTCAGAAAGCTCAAGGGCTTTTTAGCCAGGACCTGTTTGCACAACAGCCATTGCAGTTTTCTTTGCGCAATGTTTGCTAGTGGTTGCTGCAATGGTGTGTGTGTTTTTTTGCAAAAGGGTGTTCCTCTTAGCAGAAGTGCACTGTGTGCAAAGTGAAAATGCCATTAGGGCTTGCTTTGACAGCAATTTATAGACAATGAACCACCCCTCCCCCTCCCACCTTGTTGCACCTTTGTACACACAGTACAGGGACCATGAGAATGGTGAGCAGCAGCAACAGTGACAACCACAGGAGGAGCCCATGTTGTCCCAGGAGAGACTGCAGGATCCTGAAAAGGGAGCTTTGGGCATAGGTGGCCAAGGAGCCTCAAAATAGCATCAAGTTGTACTCACCTTACACAGGTTACCCTTGATGAATGTTTGGGATCAATAGTGAGAAGATGCTGCAAGTGTCTTGTATTTCTGCTTATGTGTGTATGGCGTGCATGTTTATTAGTGCAAACCTATCAGTGAAATTCCCGTGCAGGGAATCGTCAGAAGACGTGCAGTGTGTGCACTTTGCATGCCACTGACTACCGCCACAAAGTTACAGTGGACAAAATGAAAGCCATTCCTGTTATAGGTAACTTTCTTCCCCTGTACTGTAATAAGAGTTCTGTTGACATCTATTTTATGGGTTAGCTCCCACAGCTGAACAGTTTGTTGCCCTCACTGTGGACCTATTATGTCAGCTTTCACTCCTTAGAAGGAGAGTAGTAAGCAAATTCAACTGGTTGAACTGAAGATCAACCAGAGATGGATGGGATACTACTACTACTACTACTACAGCGGTACCTTGGGTTACATACGCTTCAGGTTACATACGCTTCAGGTTACAGACTCCGCTAACCCAGAAACAGTGCTTCAGGTTAAGAACTTTGCTTCAGGATGAGAAAAGAAATTGTGCTCCAGCAGGAGGCCCCATTAGCTAAAGTGGTGCTTCAGGTTAAGAACAGTTTCAGGTTAAGAACGGATCTCCGGACCGGATTAAGTACTTAACCCGAGGTACCACTGTACTACCAGTAATAATGATATATCATCTACAATGTTCATTAGAAATAATACTTTTTAAAGACTTTGTTTTATGTTGATGGCTGTTTGGAAATGCAGTTTGTTTTTAGTTAGTATTTTGATTGTGCGTGTGAGTTTAATTTGGACAGGTGGCTCGTTTGCTTTAACTCATTTTGCTGTTCATTTATTAGCTGCCTTGTGTTTCTTTGGAAAATTAGGTGGTTTTTTTCAAAAATCAATAAGTCGAATCTGAAGATTGCTCAAGGTTCAGTACCAAGTTGATTCAAGTGATTGTTTACTCCTTTATTTAATAACGCATCCGTCATGCGGGGGGACAAACCGGTGAGGTTCAAAACTTGCCCTAGTCGTGATGGCAGGAGGCTACTCTGACACCCTCTTCTTTTTCTTTAAATTCCTCCTCCGCATCCTTTCCTTCCACTCGCGACGACTCCTCCGAGCCTGAAGGTGGCGCTCGCTCCCCGACAACCTTTCCCCTTCCCGCCCACGTGCTTTCCACTTCCGGGGCCTAGAACAGAGCAAGGGGCGGGGCTTCCGGCCATTCACAGCGCGCTCCTGAGGGAAACGCCACTCGGGGTTTCTCTTCGGCAGCGTCGGGAGCGGCCTAGTTTTCGGCTGCCTGCCTGCGGCTGCTCCTCCTCCTCCGCCGCGCTCGGTTCTCTTCCGTTCCCCCCCTCTCCTTTTCGCCTTCGCCCCGGGGGAAGCTGCGGCCTCAGGTTCGCGCCCGACGCCTTCGCCGCCATGAAGCTCGTGAGGTAAAAGGACGAGCGCGTGGCCGGGGAGGGAAGGGGCGGGAAAAAGACGTTGGGCAGACGCGGCTCGGGCCTGGGCGCGGCGTCGGAGCTCGCGCGGCCGGCGTCTCCTCCCAGGCGCCCTTGCGCCCCCCTCTGCTGCTGCTGCTACGCCCCTCCCCCCCCCGCAGCATCACCTCACGCAACGGCCCCCCTCCCCCGCCACTCTGCCTTTTTCCCGCCTCTGGCCTTTGTCATATAGCAGGTGTGGACGGTGGGGTGTTGCTTGCTTTGGTTGTTTTTTAGGGGTGAGGTGCTTAGCCTCCAACAGTAACCCGATAAACATAGGGATGCCCTATTCCTTTTTTTAAATATATATATATTTTTAGTTTTCAATTACAGCAACCCAATAATAGCCTCATCATAACAATGCCAAATCATAATACAGTGGTACCACTGTAGTAGTAATAATAAATAAAAAACAGTGCACCCTCCCCCTCACACAGAAAATCTCCCCATGTTCGCATGGGCAGTCTGAGGAGAGGATTTGGGTGACGGCTGATTGCTATGGCGCCCTCTGCATGGGTTGAGCTATTGCCCCTTCACTCCAGCCTATCGGCTTAACCTGAGGTACCACTGTAATAGCCTCATCATAACAATGCCAAATCATAATACAATTAATAATACCAATCACTGAGATGGCAAATTAAACAATTTAGGTGCCCCCCCACGTGCTGGAATTAACGGTTTGATTATTTTCTTTGTTTCTGCGTTCCAAAGTATTACAAATTTCAAATACGTTCCAGTTCAAATACCAATCTGGGACGTCCTATTCCGTAATAATAATAGTCATGGTAATATGGTGACACATATGGTCACATGGTAATACGGGTTACAGACACTTCAGGTCGCGTTTTTTCAGGTTACGTACGCTCCAAAACCCGGAAGTACCGGAACGGGTTACTTCCAGGTTTTGGAGGTCGCACATGTGCAGAAGTGCTAAATTGCGCTTTGTGCATGTGCAGAAGGACTGAATCGCAACCCGCTGCGGGTTGCAAACATGCATCTTGCATGGATCACGTTCGCAACCCGAGCATCCACTCTAATATTCTGACTTGCAGTTGCCCCAGCCGCTCTGGGAAGCTTCCATTAAAAAAAATAACACCTTGCCTATACAGGGATGTCTTCTGAAGGTTGTATAGCTACTTATTTCCTTGGCTTGGGGGATGCACAACTCCATGCCCTTCAATATTTATCCCATGAAAATAGGGACATTCTGTTCCATAATAATAAGAGAAATAATAATTTTATTACCTATATCCTGCCCATCTGACTGAGTTGCCCCAGCTGCTCTGGGCGGCTTCCAAAATGTGTGTGGGGTGGGAAACTATAATAAAACATTAGACATTTTAAAACTTCCCTATACAAGGTTGTCCTCAAATGTATTCTAAAGGTTATTTAGTTACTTTTCTCCTTGTCTTGGGACAGGAGTCGCATAACTCCATAGCCTCTAACATTCCTCCGATCAAAATAGGGGCATCCTAAGGAAAACTGGGACATTCCGGGATCAAATCAGAAACCAGAATGGCTTCTGTAAATCCAGGACTGTTGCTGGAAAATAGGGGCAATTGGAGGGTCTGGAGGTGGGGTTGAAAGGTGGGATCCCTAGCCCCAAATGAATAAATGATAATTTGCAGTGCTTCCTTCCCCCTTTGTAGTTTTAGGTTATGAACCTCCGTGAGACATATGGATGAAGGGCACTGTACAAATTTAGTAAATAATAATAATTGACAAGTTGCCTAATAGAAACTGTTCTCTGGGCAGCAGTAAAACGGCTAGCACTTTTGCAAAACTAAGCAGGATCCTGCATGGTTTCAGGTAGGAAGGGGGAATTCCCCATGTGTTGAGATTCCTGCTTCACAGGGGGTTGGACTAGGTGACCCTCAGAGTCCCTTCCAATTCTGTGATTTTAGGATTCTCTGTTTAGTAAACCGGAAAGGAGGAGGAAGAAGAAAATTGTAAATTAATCACATCCAGCCAGCAGTGGCACAAGAATAAAATTAGTTGTGGACAGGCACAAATCAATCTCCAGCAACTGATCTAGTTAGCATAACAAGAACCTGCTAATGATAAGCCAAAACTGGCCAGGTTGCTGTAGTTTTGCAGAGACTGTAATAAAATACTGCTGATAACAAAATAGGTATTTTTAAAGGCCTGGGAGAATAATAAATCCCTGCCTGGTGCTGATAGGAGCCGAAGTAAGCCTTTCCAGGGAGAATATTCTATAGGTGGGGGCACTGCAAAAAAGGCCATCCCGCTTGTAACTTGTCATCTAGGTTCTTTATGAGGGGACCTTTGGAGAAAGGCCAGTTGATGGACTTGTGGGGGGTGGGCCAGGCTGTCCACAGGAGAGGGTGAGGACCCAGGGAAAATTGCACTAGTTGCAGGGGTCTCCAGAGCACCTGCTTCTGCCCCTCCTCTTAATGGCACACCCCTCTTTACTTCAAATTGTTCTGTTGCAGCTTTCTCTCCAAGGAAGTGGTGAGTCCTTTTTCAGGGCAAGACATTCTGGATGAAGTGGTTCAGGGGAAGGACTCCTTGAGAGCAAGGGGAAGTGAGTGCCACTGCAGCCTCTGCATTACTAGTAGGAAAACAAAAGTAAACCAGGGACAGGTGTGCAGTGCATTGCCCTGACCGTTGAGGTACCATGGAGTCAGCATTGGATATGGGAGTTTAGATACTCTGTGCTCTCATAAACTTCCACAGCTGCCTCTCCTTTTTTAAACCATATCCACTTAACCAAACTTGCTGGACTGGAGAATCCCTAATTTCCACAGATAAGTCTCATTGGGACTAATATGAGGAGCTGCTTGCATGTTAAGTTATCCATTGGCTGGTGGGGTGGTCCAGAAATAATTGTGCATTTTTTAAACATAGCAGACCAAGGTCTCTATAATTTTAGCAATTAATACCAGCGCATTGAGTTGGAAATGTTATTGTTTCATTTATGCATTGCAGGTTTCTAATGAAACTTAGTCATGAAACTGTAACCATAGAACTGAAGAACGGGACCCAAGTACATGGAACTATCACAGGTATGGTATTTGGGATATCTTGAATGTTAGATTCCTTTTGTGAAACATTAGGCAGTTCTAGTCTTTCATTTAAATGTTTGATTAGTCCACCTTTCTCAAGAAATTCCAATATGCTTAGGTGCACCATCCCATCTTCTTCCCCAAAATCTGTGAATCAGGTTAGGTTAATGAAGGCTACTCCACTGAGTTTCATAGCACAGCAGAGGGGAGGTTTTTCCTTATTGAAATCCAGTGCATTGAAAATATATCACACTGGCTCTCAGAGTATGCATTTTTGCTCGGCTATAATGCTTGCATAGCTGGTGTTAAATAGAGCTAAGTGATTGGGGATGAGAGGTGGTTGTTTAATGACTTGTAACTTGCCTAGGTGGAATCTGTCTGTATATACTGACATCTTCATTTATATCATCACCAGAATAAGGGAGAGGGATAATGCTTTGAACTATGAGTGTATGTGTTAGTTATATCTAAGTACTGTTGCAGTAGGCAGAGGTAATAGTGAATTACCTCTGCACTGACTGAATACTAAAAGGGTCCAGTGGTGTAGGCAATGCAGATAAAATGATTTAAATATAATAGCTTTTTATGAATTGTATTTTTCTTCTGGTTTTGAGTAGCAATTTTTCTACAGCTGTGCTATGATGACTACACATGTAGGACATTCATTTTGCTTTCCCACTGTAAAGCACTTACCGTATTTTTCGCTCTATAAGACGCACATTTTCCCCTCCAAAAATTAAGGGGAAATGTGTTTGCGTCTTATGGAGCAAATGCGGCTCCTTGGCTTCGGCGATAGCAACGCAAAGCCTCCGAAGCGCAGTGGGGGCACTCCTGCCGTGCTCCGGAGGCTTCGCGTTGCTTTCGCTGAAGCCTGGAGAGCGAGAGGGGTCTGTGCGCACTGACTCCTCTCACTCTCCAGGCTTCAAAGATAGCCGCCTGAAGCCTCCGGAGCACGGTGGGAGGTCCCGCTGCGCTCCAGAGGCTTCAGGTTCCTTTCGCTGAAGGGTAGGTGCCCCTTCAGCTAAGGCGCAGCGCCCCTTCAGCTAAGCGGGAGGATAAATGGAAGGGGCTCCGTTTCTCCTGCCGCTTCAGTGAAGGGGCGCTGCGCAGAGAGGGGGAGAATTTTTTTTCTTGTTCTCCCCCTCTAAAACAAGGTGCGTCCTATAGAGCGAAAAATACGGTGATGTCTTTTAGATGGCATGGCAAATGTAGTACAGTACCTTATACTACTCTCCATTTAGAAACTCTGTAATTATTAATATAAGTCACTTTGAAAACAGTGTAGAGGAAGCTTCCTGTTCTTTATGTTTCAGGAGTGGATGTCAGTATGAATACACATCTTAAAGCTGTAAAGATGACTCTGAAGAACAGAGAACCTGTCCAGCTGGAGACGTTAAGTATTCGAGGCAACAATATTAGGTATTTCATTCTGCCAGATAGTTTGCCTCTGGATACCTTGCTGGTGGATGTTGAACCAAAAGTCAAATCCAAGAAAAGGGAAGCAGGTTAGTGATTTGATTTCAAACCACCAAGAATGTATTTGCTGTCTATACATGAGCACTTCAGTTTGCCCTTAATTGCAATATGAATTCTCATGAGGGGCTTGGGGGTGGTGGCAGTGGCTTGTTGTGCAGGAGGGAGCCAGGAAAGCCTTGTTAGACAAGCATATGACTGGATCTAACCCTGATCTTTTGTGGCACCAACAAATCCAGATGTTACCTGTTTCATATTGCCAGGTTTAAAATTATTTGGTAGGGAGGGATATGAAAATTTTCATGTTGAACAATAGAGTTGTTCATGTTACACTCAGAAGCCACCAGTTTCCTGTAGGCAAAATTCTTAATTCTGTTGCTCTTTAAACAGTGAAATCTACTGGACGAACTAATCTGTTCTGGAATCTATCCTTGTCCCCAAAAGGAGATGTGGAATTTACAGACTTTATTCCTGCTTAACGTATTTATTTGGGCTTTGACAAAAACTGCAGCAGTAACCTGCCTACTTGTAATGGCGCACACAACACGTAACACATCTTTTTGACTTCTTTAATGAATTGATTTGTTATCCAAAGTGGGAAACAGAACAGTAGCTGTATACCATTTTGCAACCAAATTACTAAGATTACTTCAATAAAAAGTTAAAACTAAATGTTTAAATGATAGGTGTTTTGAGTCCAAAATCTGGCATGACCTTTATATACTGCAATTCCAAGTTTTTGAAGGAAGTTTTTTGTCTTTGTGTTCAGTTGCAGGGAGAGGACGTGGCAGAGGACGTGGGAGAGGCAGAGCACGTGGCAGGGGGAGAGGAGGTCCAAGACGATAATTTCTTTATAGCCACTAAAAATGTCGGGCAACTTTGGATATTTTTTGTACAGGTTTTGTTTCATTGTCCATTTTTAATAAACAAATGTGGGAAATGTTGTGTCAGTTAAGGTCAAGTTATATACTTCAATCTTACTGGAATTTTGATTATACATGCCTTTGTAACCTCTAGTACTGTTCAATCCAAACTTTAACTTCCTTAAATTGGTACATACTAAAATTTATTCAAAATTCCCATAAAGATATGGAATGTGCTCATTGTGGTGTAGTCCTTATTCCCGCCACATATTCTGTTATAACAAAAGACCTTGCATTTTTTGTGTTTTCAACGTTGCTTGAAATTCCATACACCTTCAGTTTCAACTAATATTTGAGTATATTTCTTTTAAGTTTTTGCCTGGAAGAATGGATGTAGGCTGTTAAGTATTAAATCAGCATTTACATACATTGGTGAATTTAATTGAAAGGAGTTTGGCATAGAAAGTGAAACTGCGTTACTAATGGAAAAACCTATAACTTCCGGGAACTTCTAAATTTCACACCAATAGCTTTTTGAATTTGAAGTGCTTTTTCAGCCTTGCTGATAAATACATAGATGACCTATGCGTAACCTACAAGCATTTGTTAGAAGCCTCAGAACATCCACTTTCTTTTTTAAAAATGTTCAGCTTTTACTCTTTTAGAGATTAAAACTTTGTCAACACTTGATCATGGTTCAGGAAAGGAATCCAGTAAAAAGAACACCTGACTTTTTAAATCTCTTGTGGCTTGTCTGGACTCATGTTTATCCTATGGTTGAAGGTAATGTTAAAAATATTGAATAATGTGGCACTATGTGCTACTGAGAACATTAATGCACACATTACCTTGCTATAACTAAAATGTCCAGTCTTGAGTTCCCCAGCTCATGAAACAGCTCCAGCGTAGCTCTTCCTTACTTTTAACAGCCCAACCCCACTCTCCTTTAAGGCATCTCTAGAAAAGTGGGGTAATTCAGTTGGGTGATACATCTTGGAAACTGCTCTTTACATTGCATATAAACATTGCTAGCTGATTACTGAGCTTATATTGCTTCTAAAGAAGCCTTCAAGCACCTACTAAAATATAGATCCCATGAATAATACAAATAACATGGTCACACCGCATTATACATGGAAAAATTATTTGTGCACGTTGCAGATTTCTTGCAGTGCAAGCCTTTCTTCCTGTACTTCAGATGGAGTAGGAATACACTTCTACTAAAGTGAAGATGCAGTAGGAATACACTTCTACTAAAGTGAAGATTGCTCAGAAGAAGGCAGAGTGAATTGACCAATATATACTGTACACAGTCTAAGGTGTTTGTAAGCCACCATGTTGCGTTCATACCCCTCAGAGACAATCTTAAATCTTCCATCTGCTATAGGACAGTTCTCTTGACCATTCATTGGTAAGACAGTAGTAAAATTCTGCATGCTTGTTAATGGTTGCAGGTTATTGCTGTTGTAGTCTTCAAGGTGGTTTGCAAAGGCTGCAGCTGTTGATGACGTTCTCATAAGTCCAGAACTAAGGATTTGTTCTTTTCATTATAAAAGTTACTAATGCTCCCAGTGGTATGCACAAAGTGGAGGCTGCGACAAGCAGCCCAATAACTGCTAGGGCCCCACTTGGATAATCTTTTGTAACCAGCTGACCCTGCAAGAGAGAGAGGACCAGATGTAAAACAAAAGTCTATTAATGCAGATGTGTGGTACTGTGCAAATTTAGAATTAGTGGGAGGCACTTTTTTCAGAGCTTACCCTGCATTGCTTTCAAAGTGAGCACCTCATCTTTGATGCTTCCTAGCAGAAATACTTAAAACTGAAATTCAGACTGCTACAGGGCTATGTACCGCAGGGCCTTTCAGTGAGCAGAGGGCATGTAAAGTTTCATCTGACCACTGCATTTGAAAAACAACTTGATAATGACCACTGTTCTCTAATATGCAACATGTCAAACAGCTAAACGTTTCGTATGTACAGCTGTGTTCTGATTTTTTAAAACTAAAACTTAAAAATTTCATTTCTGTAGAGATGTTGCAACAAATTACATATTAACTTCAAAAACTTGATTTGGTTAATATCTCATGACAAACCTAGTTTGTCTTAAACTATGGTTCAGTCCTGAACATGTCTTCTTGCCCATGCTGTGCAGGTCTTCTTGCATCTTCTCTCCTCCTCCCTCCCAGAGACAGCTCAGACAAAAAGTATGGCTTGTTATTTATTCCTAACCAGTACTGACTTTTCATTGAAAGAAATGAATCCTGATCCAGGTTTGGTTACTTGACAAGCCATAGCATGGCTTGTTTGAATCACATGGGAGGATGGAAAGTTGCGCAGATTGGCTTAATCATGTTCATGATTAAGCCAATGACATGCAAACCAGCTCTGTCAAATTATAGCTTTGCTCGTTTTGTAAAACTTCAGATGGAGATTTGAATTGTAATCATTGAACCTGAACATATGTATGCTGTGAATTGTTTCAGCGGGGGGGGGACGACCTTCAAATTGTATTTTATTCTACATGTTCAGCTGCTTTGAAGCTTACTGGGCCTGTTTTTATCAATGCTCAAAGTGGCTGTGGTGTAAGCCATTCCAGAACCCTGGCTGCTAATATATCTTTTCTGCAAGAGGACATGAAAACAGCTGCGGTATGGTCTAAAGATAGCTAGAACAGTGCTTTCTGTAGATTGTGATTATTTAACTTGACAAGTATTCAGCATGTGTCTCATACTCATACTCTGGGTCTAATAGGGTGATTAAAACTTAACACGACTAAAGCCTATTGAGACCTATTATAAAGGGTAGTTTTCTAACCTTGTTAATACTGTAAGAAACCATTTTGGAATTCTGATTATTTAACACTTGCCATGAAATTTATACCCTAAACATAGTTAAATGCAGCAGTTGATTTTTTTTAAAGTCACCAATTAGAAGTGCCATCCTCCCACCTCCTACCTGTACTTCTAGCTACGAGTGGGTAAAAATTGCAATGAGTAAAATACCTCTGTTGCATCCCAGGCTTGGTATCGCAATGTCCCTGTTCTGATGTAGTCTGTGATGTAAAATATAAAGAGGCTTACAATCAACACAGGACTAACGAAAGCCCACATAATCTTCCAGTACCAACTTGGTTTATGTCCGCTCATCACAGAAAGGTCTTTAGAAAATCTGTCAAAGAAAGAAAAGCACACACTTAATTGGTTCATTTTTTTAACGATACATTGTTTTGGATCGAAATTGCAACTGCCAAGGAAAACCAAGTTTTGTGGTGAAGATTGTTGAAATAATGTAGAAGGAATATGGTTCTGGTGTGCACAAAGTGTTGCACAGGTTTGAGATAACAGCTGCTGAGTCTACTGGATAAGTTATGAGAATAAAATGTGATAGGATGTTCCCAAGGTCTTACCTTCTGAGTCCATATACGTAACAGACAGCCATGGTTTCCACCAGTACTATAAGTAGCAAGGAGAGAGTAGCTGCGTAATCATTGAAGATATCAAACCAGTAGTTGCCAGCTTCCAGGGTGAATGCTAGGCCAACTAAAAAGTTGATGATGCATACACCTCCTGGGGAAAAAAGTAGTTTGAATTTAGGCTGTAAATTAAATAAGGTATGGATTTGTGCTTTTGGGGTCAACTAATTTTAGGCTGACTTTACTGCAGCACAGTGGTGGAAAGTCGCTTGTTCATAGGCCTAATTTTACATTGGGACCAAGTGGCCATTTCTACTACCGAGGCACATTTTGTCTTCAGATTCAAGCTGCTTACAGTATGAATTTTAGCATCTTTTGCTGCTTTTGAAGGGAATCTGATATACTGTACTCGGGCACTCCCAATCCCTTCTGAAAGCACAACGGGGAACAGTGCCAAAGGTAAAGCCATAGCTGCAAAGGAACATTGTTCTTTTGCAACTGCAGATTTACCTTTCCTTCACCTTGGCTGACTCCCTTGAAGTCCAGTGGGTGCACTTAAGTGGTAATCACCTGATATCATCTCTCTAGGCACATGGGAGGTAATGAACTTGCTGTCAGTCAAAGGAGTAAGAATGGCTGCTGTGTTCCCCAGCATGCTGCCTATTCCCAACATCAGCAGCATAAAGAAATACAGCACTGAGTATAGCTGCGAGACTTCCATGTTCTTTATTGCTTCAGAATACACTATGAATGCCAGTCCGGTACCCTGAACAGCCTGTTGGAGAGAAAAAACAGAAAATAACCAGACTTGTGGAGAATGCATTGCCATGCAGAAAACAGAAAGGGAGCGCCATGCGTGCAATTCCTTGCTGTGTCAACCACTGCTTTCCGTCATTCCCATCAATGGCTTGTACACAAGTTCATCGCAAATCAAGATTTCCGAAGCTCTGGCCATGCGGGTAATAGGTACAGGAGTAGACAGATGGGTATCACATTGAGAGAGATCCAGCTATCCATCCCAGTCGGGGAGATTTTGTGTCATATCACCACACTTGTTTCAGTAGCTTCCAATTCACTTCCAGGCTTGTCATTTGCTCTGAAGCTCTAAATACAGAGCATCAGCTTGCCTCCATATGTGCAACTCTGACAACGACACATTCCAGTGCAAATTTGGTGGCAAGTAAGCCCCAACTGCAACCAGTCGAACCTAACAACTTAGGCATACAACACATACCTTGTTAACCGCTGATTTCTATGGAACTGAGTTGCCACTAAGTGTTGGATAACGCCTATCCAGTCCTGTTACATGTGCAGCCCGATAATGGGAATCCCTTGCATTGTCATTCAACAGGCATTTGAACATTATGACATGTAAGCAAAATAGCTGTGTAGGTTGTTGCTAAACAAAAATGGCACTTCTGCAGTCAGCACTCGCAATGGCAGCTGTAGGTCCCAGGTTGCCATATGTGGAAGAATCTATAGGCAGATTTTTAAGCTATTGCTTCAACGGGCAGCAAAATTAAATGGTGCATGCCATAAACAATTTTCACCAGAGGCGCGCGCTCGCTCGCTCTCTCTCTCTCTCTCTCTCTCTCTGTGTGTGTGTGTGTAAAATATTTAGGTACTGCCTTTCTTCCACAGAATGAAAGAAGGCATACCTAGATTTCCTAGGTATTCATTTTTGTTACATTTGCATCTTTCCTTTCCTCCAAACGCCTCAAGGTGGCATGTATGTTCCACCTTGTGAAGTAGGCTACCCTGAGAAGTGACAGGCCACCCAATGAACATTTTGCCTAAGTGAGGATTTTAACTCCAGACTCCTGTCCAGACCTGGTGTGGCATTTGCCCGTTCGTTTGAAAATGTGTGTACAGCGGGGAGAGAGGGCTAAAATGTAGACCAATAGGAAAGCCAGAGGCGGAGCCTACTTGTTTATAAAAGGGCTTAGCCGAGGTTTGGGTGTGGGTAGTTGGTTGGTTTTAGTGGGTTGGTTGGTTTGGAAAAGCAGTTGGCAGGCAGTTGGAAATAGACATTTAGTGCAGTTGGTTCTTGTGTGAGGGGAGGTAGAAGTGATAGAGACAGGATAAAATAAGACTAAGAAGGTAAAGAGTAACAAGGTTTGGAATGCAGTTAAAGTTTGTGTCTGCAATAAACTACACTCTTCTTTGTTAACTTGAGAACCTGACTGAGACTAAGTGATTTATCGGGGAGGATCTGGTTGGTGGCAGCAGACTAGTGGTGTACAGGTCAATAGTCTGTGAGACAACCGGGGGCTCCATACGAACGCCACACCTGGTTCCACACTAACCACTACACCATTCAAGCACTGACCACAAGGTTCTTTCATTGTGTCCCTCGGTTCTCAAAATATGTGCCGAGTCAAACTATTTTTTTAAAAGTTGCAGCTCACTGTGTCTAATTCTGCTTCCAAACTGCAGTTCTTAATCTGCGGCAACAGTTCTGCATATTCACTGGGGTGAGTGGATGCTAAGAAATTCTTCATATCTTCAAGATTTTCCATTGTTAATGATCCTTCTTCCAGGTCGAAAAAGTTTGTCAACATCAATATCACCCTGCACAATAGAATGAAATACAATTATTTTAAATAAAGCAACAATATTTTGAACAACAACAACACATTAATATTTTCAAATTGTAATTTCTGGAAGATGGGGGAAATAGCCTTTTTTAAAAAAAAATAAAAAGAGAGAGAGAGTGCATTTTAACACAAAATTTGAAGGAAATGTGATACTAGTTGAAACCAGATACTTCCTAAATTCATTTTAAAGACATTGGGGCCAGATTTGAACTGAGACCAATAAATTGTAAAGCAATTATCAACTGAGTAGTGTCTAAGCAGGTAATTGTTTCTGTTAGCACCATTATTATAACATTTACTAAATTGTAGCTGAAAGATCTTCTGCATGGGATCCTGAACCATCCGAGGGCTCTCCCATCACCCCCAGTCAGACAAAACTCAAAAATCATATGGGATGAAACCATTCACAAAAAAGATTTCAGATGAATGCCAGTCATGTCTCGTAACAGTTAAAAAGAAAATCCTGGAGTAAAAAAAATAAAAATGTGTTGACTACAATGCATTTTCAGGTACAAAGAAAAGAAGGTAATTGAATTAGACGCCACACTTACTTGCTCATGCACTTTTCATAGTTGAAAGTTGCCTTAAAGCCATAAATGGAGAAAGTCACAATACTGGCAAATATCGAGGTGGTGCTGTTTATCAATGAAACGATGATGGCGTGTCGTTCACAGTTGTTTTTTGGATCATTGTAGCTGGCAAATGCTATCAAGCTGCCAAAACCAAGTCCAAGGGAGAAAAAGATCTGAGTAGCTGCATTAATCCAGGTTTTGGGATTTGCTAGTTGCTCTAGCTGCAAGTCATAAACCAAGAAGATGAACTGTGTAGCATTTTTAGACTTTAATTCATCTTACTAACACGCCTGAAGGTGGAACATTATGACACCCAGTTTAATGGTTGTGGAACGGAGAAAGATTCCATCCTATCCAGTTATATCCTGTTACTTTTATGTATTATGTGTTATGATCAGGCAACACCTCTGGTGAATCAGACTTCCATTTTCTCAGTGTTTCCAGCCAAGACACATAGCCGAACAACCATTAACAAAATACGGAACACCACATCTCAAAAGTCCAATTGAAAATGTTTGCTACAAATGGGCCAAGGAAAATCAATTGCTAAAATGTGTTTAACTCCGTCTGAAGTAAAAAGAGAACTATTACAGCCAATGTACAGAAGAAAATGGGGAAGGAATCTAATGAAATACAAGCTTACAATGCAACAAACTGAATGGGAATGGTTGCTTAAATTTGTCCCAGCAGCATTAATTGGTGCTAATCTTTCTCCCTCTTCATTTTCGCACCTTTTCCTATTATTTCTATTTCATAAGCAAATTATAAAAAATACAGTGATGAAACAAACAATGCCATTTAAATTTGCTTTTAAGCAGAAAAGCAGAGATTGTTTGAGCGTAAAAAAAGAGAAAGAAATCCAGTTCTTTAAATATAAGGCCTGTTGGTATGCTGGGTTCAATGGGACTTACTGCAAAGTAAGGTTAAGATTGCAGCCATAAGGCCAATATAATTAGGCTGGTCCCAGATATCTGAGCATGGTGGGCAGTAAACAGTCCAGATCTGTAAACTTTCCTGAGGACCCTTTTGCTTCTGCCATTACCAATCAATAATATTTAATACAAATCAGTTGCCATAGAGCCAATGTTATGTTTTCCAGGTGATGTAGGACTTTAGCTCTCATCAGAGAGGTAGGACTGGAGCAGTTTTAGTCCCAAAACATCTGGAAGCCACCACATTGGATCTCCCTGCTGTATAATATTTTGTAATTAATGTTACGCTGATTCTAATTTTCATGCCAACAACCTCTGACTTACACCAAGGAGAGGTTATGTGTCGTGCTACCAGCTGCATAAGATTCCCTGTGTACATTTATTTTCCAAGAGAATTATATTTCAAAGTGTAACACAAAATTAATCTCCAATGGACGTCAAATAGCTGATTTCATGTATCTGGAGTAACAGAATTAATTATTATAATAACACAATACAATACAATATAGATAAAAGTGGAGTTGCCTGTATCTAGTGTTCCGTATAGATCAGGGTTTCTCAAACTTGGGTCTCCAGCTGTTTTTGGACTACAATTCCCATCATCCCTGACCACTGGTCCTGCTAGCTTGGGATGATGGGCGCTGTAGTCCAAAAACAAACCCTGTTGTAGATCATATTCACATGTACACTGTTGTATTCGGGCTCTTTGTAGGCCTAAACTTCCATGGTGAAAATACACATTTGTGAAGAACCTGCCTCAGTTTGTATAAGCATTTGTCTATAACCATTTAGGGCATAGGTACCTTGGGTGTAAACATGTAGGTCAGCCCATTCGCAGCTCCATGGAGAGTTAAACCTCTGATTAAGTATATGATGAGGACTACATAGGGCAGAGTAGCCGTCACATAAACAACCTGCAAATGAACAACGAAAGGCTTCATTTAGTAGAGCTGTGAGACACACTTCAGCTTTAGACTTTAGGGGTGCTCACATTACATTCGACAAGTGCACAATTGTGTATCCATGTACTGTACACAAATAGTTGCCCCGCATACTCATACAGGTGGGACGTGGGTGGCGCTGTGGGTTAAACCACAGAGCCTAGACTTGCCGATCAGAAGGTCGGCGGTTCGAATCCCCGCAATGGGGTGAGCTCCTGTTGCTCGGTCCCTGCTCCTGCCAACCTAGGAGTTCGAAAGCACCTCAAAGTGCAAGTAGATAAATAGGTACCGTTCCGGCGGGAAGGTAAACGGCGTTTCTGTGCGCTGCTCTGGTTCGCCAGAAGCGCCTTAGTCATGCTGGCCACATGACCCGGAAGCTGTACGCCAGCTCCCTCGGCCAATAAAGCAAGATGAGCACCGCAACCCCAGAGTCGGCCACGACTGGACCTAATGGTCAGGGGTCCCTTTACCTTTACACTCATACAGAGTCACGTCTCACCAGTTGAAAAGCAATGTTTTTTCATCTGAGGAGAATTAAACCCAAAGCTAGTTTGAAAAGCTTTTTAGGGATGCTTCCCTTCCATCACTTTTTACTCACTAAAGCTTATTTCTTCAAGAATAGCAGCGATAATCCTCTTACCTTGCCTGTGTGTTCTGTTCCTCTTAGAATACACAGGTAGACCACCAGCCAAGCCAGGACCAGACAGGCTGCCTGCTCCCACTGGATGTTCCCACTCTCCTCGATGGACGGAGAAATGTTGAGGGTTTTTCGGTACCAAAAATACTGCGTGGGTGTTGCCTTCTCGCATTCTTCCACGTAATCCGTGTGGTTAAGATTGACTGGACAGTTTGCCCACGGCAAAGGATCCTTTGGATGTGAAGCAGACATTATTCTGTACGTTGAATTTCCCAAGTACCATGAGTCAGATCGTGAAAAGGTCAGGTCACCGATCGGAAAGCCATGGCCCTCAAGGTGGTGCTGGACTAAAGTTCCCAGGCTGCATGGCCAGCAATCAGGGATTATGGGAACTGTAGTCCAACAACTTCTGAAGGGCAACAGTTTCCCTGTCTGTGGGTTAAGGTGGCATAAAACTTTGTGCAATGCTCCACAGCAATGTGAGGTTATCGTGGGGAGCGGAGCATTAAACCATAAATCTCTTTTTCATTGAGCAAACTTCCTGTAGTGCAGTTTTCCAATCTAATTATGAAAGACAGGATGAGCAACACGTTTTCTAATAGTGTTTAAACTATAACAAGAGTAAGATGCCATTTGATACTAGATCAACTTCTGATGGTGCAGGAAAATGTCAGTTTTTCAGGAAAAATAGCCTTCTTAACGAAATAGAAAGCAAACTAACCCACAGCTAGTTCAATTAGACAGTGGTCTAATCAACTCTTTGAAATCTTCAGCTCTTTCTGCTTCTTACATTCATACGAAACTACATCTTCCAAAAATAACCACCTCCTTTACTTTAAACTCTGGGGTTAAACTCTGTCACCCTTGTTATTTATATTAGTGATAAAACCACTCCTTCACAACATCAGAAAGGATGAAAACATAAGGGGGAGAAAGTCTATAAAGTTGGAGCATTTGCTGATGATTTGATAGTAACAACCCAAAACCTGAAGAAAAGTTTACCAGCTGCTGTAGATTTAATTAGAAAATATGGGGAAATAATGGGGCTGAAAATAAACGACCAAAAAAACTAAATTACTGACAAAAAAACCTCACAATGGAAGAGAAAAAATAACTTCAAGAAAAAATAAACTCTGGGGTCAAGCTGACTGGCAATGTATTCCTATTTCCTATATAGTGGTACCTTGGCTTTAGAACAGCTTAGTTTATGAACAACTTGGAAATAGAATGCTGCAAACCCGGAAGTAGGTGTTCCGGTTTGTGAACTTTGCCTTGGAAGCGGAACATGTTCCGCTTCCTGCTGAGTGTGTTCCATTTGTAAATTGAGCCCCCCACTGCTAATCAGAGGCTTCCTGTTGAGTCTGTCGGCTGTGGAATACCGAGCACTGACACAACACAGAGGTGTTATTTGGAGCTTTTGTTTTTGCTATTTTTTGCATTTTTGTTTGTGTGGCTTTTTCGCTTTTTCGACTGTGACTTGTTCTTCGTTTTATGGGACTGACTTGTGACTGTGGCTTGTGACTTCGTTTTTGTGACTTGTTTTTGTGACTGTGTGGAACCCAGTTCAGCTACTGATTGATTGATTGATTGATTGATTGTGTGACTGCAGAAATGCACGTAAGAATTTTTATTATTATTATTTTTATCATCTACAATACTGTCTTATTTATTTTATCGCACAGTCCATTGATTATTGCTTTCATTTTATGGATCAATGGTTTTGTTAGATAGTAAAATTCATGTCAAATTGCTGTTTTAGGGTTTGTTTTTAAAAGTCTGGAATGGATTAATCCATTTTGCATTACTTTCTATGGGAAAGCACGCCTTGGTTTTAGAACACTTTGGTTTTGGAAAAGGCATCCGGAACGGATTAAGTCTGGGAACCAAGGTACCATTGTATTATTGCTATGCATTTCTGGTACACAGAGCAAATTGTAAAAGTATAGCATCAACTCAGATGTCTTCTAGGTCTCAATAGATGCCTCTGCTGCAGGAGTGATTGAAGCACCAATGTCAAAAGCAAATCAACTGCTGGCTTGGACATTGCTGTTGTACATTATTGTACAATGAAATTTCCAAGTTCAGTGACCCTGCGCAACTAGACTGCCTCAGGAACATCATAAAATGTGCTCCTTATCATACGAGCAAAATCCAATGTGTGATTCCGGGATAAATAATCTGAGAACACTTTAATTCCATTATTGCCCCCAATTAGAAAGGAAGAAGATGCATCAATATTCTGCCCTGCTGATCATAAAACGGGTTTTGTTTTCAGCCAACATTTTACTAGAGAAGGCTTCTGCAATGACAGCTGCCAGACAGATTGGCTGAATTTTCGCAATCCTGGAGGGGAAGGAAACCATTGTGTGCGGCACTCTACTGCTGAAAGAATTTTCTTACCCACCTGAAATGAATGGAAGAGGTACCAGAATGCCCAGGCGTTTATAACGTTGTAGTACATAGAGAGGAAAAATGAAACGATGACACTGGCAATTCCTAAAAATAAAAGGAAAACAAGAGAGCTATGGAAATGGGCATCAGTTTTGCAGCTATATCTTCCCCCATCAGAACCAACTAATTAACTAACTTAAAGAAGGTCCACACATATCACACTATGTCCTCACATAACCATGTCTAGGTTTAAATTTTACTCTCCAACATTTATCTGATGAAAATAGGGACATCCTATTCTATATCAGGAAGAATGCTCAGGAACATAGGTAAAGGTAAAGGGACCCCTGACCATTAGGTCCAGTCGTGGCCGACTCTGGGTTTGTGGCGCTCATCTTGCTTTATTGGCCAAGGGAGCTGGCGTACAGCTTCCGGGTCATGTGGCCAGCATGACTAAGCCGCTTCTGGCGAACCAGAGCAGTGCACGGAAACGCCGTTTACCTCCCCGCCGGAGTGGTACCTATTTATCTACTTGCACTTGACGTGCTTTCGAACTGCTGGGTTGGCAGGAGCAGGGACCGAGCAATGTGAGCTCACCCCGTTGCGGGGATTTGAACCGCTGACCTTCTGATCGGCAAGTCCTAGGCTCTGTGGTTTAACCCACAGCGCCACCCGTGTCCTGCTCAGGAACATAGCAGAGTTTAAATCCTATTGAACTCAGTGGGACTTAGTTCTGAGTAAAAATTCTTAGGATTGCAGTGTGAGGCTGCACAGCCTTGACCCAGTTACCTGGGAGTAAGCTCCATTTAATACAGTGGGACTTACTTCTCAGTAGACTGTGTCAGGCTCCATTTACAGTAAAGGAATAAACACTCCACGCACATTTCCTAAGAAATGGCTGACTGCTGAAGCATTGCACTTAAAGAATTTTAAGTGGATTGTGACGTTTTCGTTCAAAATTATAGGGAGAGCTTCGTATGCCAGCTTCATTTCCTTCATTTGGTGCAGGTATTTTATTTTCAGTCTAAACAGGACTCCGATTTTGCACCTACACACTCCAAGACACGGAGGGGAGGAAATAGAAAAACTGGGACATTTTGGGAGCCAATAAGAAACTGGGACGGCGTCTGTAATTCTGGGACTGTCCCTGGAAAATAGGGACACTTGGAGGGTATTAAGTTTACTTGAGGTAGGACTATAATAGTGGAGAGTAGAGCTTTTGACACCTTGGTTTGGTTATGATGTTTGTGGCTGCTGAAAGTAGGTGGGTTATGAGTTATTTGTGGGGTAAATGGGCATTATTGTCTTGGAAGATGTTTAGTAGGGCCACTTCTGGGGTGATTTCTAACACTTGCTTAGTTATTTTACATATTTATCGTATGGCTGTTGTCCAGAATAGTTGTATTTTGGGGCACTCCCACCACATGTGGAGGTATGTGCCTGTGGAGGTGCACCCTCTCCAGCATTTTGGTGAGGTTCCCGGGCGTATTAGCGCTAGTTTTCTTGGTGATAGGTACCACCTGTAGGTGAGTTTCAGAGTGAGTTCTTTTCTTTTCGTTGATACGGATTTAAAGGGGGGTTTAGACCACATTCTGGTCCACTGAGTGGGGTTAATCTCATAGCCTATCTCATCCTCCCATTGTTTTTTGATTGCGTCTAGGGGGTTTGTGGGATTTTGTAGTAGTATTTTGTATATTGCGGATACCATCCCTTTACCGTGTCCCTTTGTTGTTAGGAGGTCTCTCAATATTCTTTAAAAAGATCTGACAAGTTGTGTGCATGTCATGAAGAGGTCGTCTTTGTAGCGCATCAAATAAGCAATAATAATTTGACAGGGGGATAGGAAAAATAGTTGCATAGATTTAAAAAACAACAACGCACCAACCCCACAAAGGTAAGGACTTATCGCTTTCCATGCCCCAATGCTCCCTTGTCGCATGTGTTGTCCCACTGCCAACTCCAGGTACAATAAGGGCATGCCTTCCACAATTAACATGATCAGGTAGGGGATTAGAAATCCACCTGTAAGAGGAACAAAAGGTTATATTTATTAAACAAATGGGTTTTGGAATGTGCTCACAAATATTTTAATTAGTGGTGCTTGCGATACAACCAGTCAAGTCTAATATATTGCACCAATCATTTTGTACACTTTCACATTCCCGCCACATGTGAAAAAAGAAGCTCCCTTACGCTTTTACCACCTCCAGAATAAACTGCTTTCTGGTTTATTTATTTTTTTTAAGAATATTTATTCCAATTTTAAAATTACAAAAAGAAAGAAAAAAAAACATACAAAAAAGAATAAAACATGTTACAAAAAACAGACAATAAGAAAAACTCAACAAAAAATAAAAATACATTACAATAAAGTATAGCAAAAATCAAATTAAACCTTTACAACCTTTTTCCCTTTTACTTATTTCCATGACTTCCTCTCACCTCCCCGCTTTGTATTCTAGTTTAGATCGTATTTCCAGCAAATCCTTCTAACCTTCTTTTCATTTACTTATTTTAACATTCAATAATGTATTTAATCCTCCTCTATCCTCAGTTTCTACACTTCATTTTTACTTAATCCATTATACCATATCTGCCAAAACGGCCTAATATTCTTTTCCAACCTCTTTCTAACATTCTTTTATATTGCAGTATTTTTGAAGATATATTTTAAATATTTTCAAATCTTCTTCCATCGGCCCTTCTTCCTGGTCTCGAATTCTGCCGGTCATCTCAGCCAGTTCCATATAGTCCATCACTTTCATCTGCCATTCTTCTCGGGTAGGCAATTCTTGTGTCTTCCAGTATTTCCCAATGAGTATTCTTGCTGCTGCTGTCGCATACATAAAAAAATTTCTATCTTCCCTTCGCACCAATTGGCCGACCATGCCCAAGAGGAACGCCTCTGGTTTCTTCAAGTAAGTGTATTTCAATACCTTTTTTAATTCATTATATATCATTTCCCAGAAGGCCTTGATCTTTGGGCACGTCCACCAAAGGTGAAAAAAAGTACCCTCATTTTCTTTACATTTCCAACATTTATTATCAGGCAGATGATAGATTTTTGCTAGCTTGACTGGGGTTAAGTACCACCTATAAATCATTTTCATTATGTTTTCTCTTAAGGCATTACAAGCCGTAAATTTCATACCTGTGGTCCATAACCGTTCCCAGTCAGCAAACATAATATTATGCCCAACATCTTGTGCCCATTTAATCATAGCTGATTTAACCGTTTCATCCTGTGTATTCCATTTCAGCAGCAGGTTATACATTCTTGACAAGTTCTTAGTTTTAGGCTCTAACAATTCCGTTTCCAGTTTAGATTTTTCCTCCTGGAAACCAATCTTTTTATCTAGGTTAAAAGCCTCCCTTATTTGATAATAATGAAGCCAGTCTTGAACTTTAGTTTTTAATTTGTCAAAACTCTGCAGTTTTAGTTTATCTCCAACTTGTTCTAAAATTTCACAGTATTTTGGCCAATTTGTCTCCATATTAGTTTTTTTCAATGCCTTAGCCTCCATTGGTGACAGCCACCTTGGTGTTTTACTTTCCAACAAATCCTTATATCTCACCCAAACATTAAACAATGCTTTCCTGACAATATGGTTCTTAAAGGCCTTATGCGCTTTAACCTTGTCATACCATAAATATGCATGCCATCCAAACACATTATCAAAACCTTCTAGATCTAGAATGTCCGCATTTTCAAGAAGTAGCCAATCTTTCAACTGCTTTCTGGTTTAAAACCCAGACAAAGGGTCTTACCACACTATCTAGAGAGGAATACAGGAATACTGATCATAATTGGGAGGAAACACAAAGAAGCGATTTCACCCAAACCATTGCTGCATTAGTAACATAACGTGTGAGGGTATACACACTCCAAATGAACAAAATTCCAATTCCTACTATATTTCAGATCCCATGCAATTATAACATTAAAATGCAATCTGATACATGGAACCCTAATGAGTTTCATGGGACTTATTCCCAGGAAAATGACTGTAGCCTAAGTTGTATAAGTTTATGTAAGAATTAGTGTCTGAATTGCTTTTTCTTTTCTCATCCTATTTTTCTTTTGTACTATGTCTGTTAGATTATAAGTCAATGGATAAGGCTTGTTTATTAAAGGTATTATTATTTTGAACAGCGCCTCAGAAATTTTAGACGATGATGATATCTCCCACAGCCTGTTTTGGTCGCCAATGCCAGAATCATTTCCTGTAAACAAATTTGTACTCCAGATGTGATTATGGAAAGTCTTTCACACAGTCCAGACTAGTGACTGTTAAAGGATAACTAATTGCTTTAAAAAGCATTAAAATTTAACCGAGGGAAGAGAAAAAAGATCAAGAGTACGGTGGCATTTAGAAGTCAACTAAAACTTCCAAAGGAAGTTTCTCCTTTAAATCAATGGATCTGACTTGTAGGGATGGGCCAACCTGTCATTTTCAGTTTCCAGTCCTAAATTCATTTAACCAGATTTCCCACATCAGTTTGTGATGTAAATTCACCGGCACTTCAGTGCAAATTTATCCTGATAGGCTCGCGTTCGCATGCAATTTTGCCCAATATACTGTAGAACTTTTTTTTGCAAAGCAATTTCCCTCCAATATAATGCATTATTGTATGTTATTTTCAGCCGTAGTTTCATGTATATGCATGCTTCGCCCTTGAATATCCAGCTTTGTACACATTACTGGGCTGGAAAACTGCATTGCAAAATTCAGAGAGGTGTGAATTTTGAAGACCAGCAGTGTTTTGCTTCTTGTTTTTTCTTCTTCAATTTTTTTAAAATTTTCCAAATTTATAACAAACCAACAAACATTTATCCTGATTATAATAATTCCACTTTTGTTAACATTGTTAGGTGACTTCCTCAAATCCCCCTGGCCGTGTTTCCATATCTGCATTGTAACTGTTTTCCAAAACTATTTTCCCATAAAATTTTCTTCGTCAATTAACATCAGTGTTTCGGTTCTTGTATTGTTCTGGAAAGTATATATTAGGTGGGTTTGCCTGAAATGATGGGCAAACTCACCAGGTATATGCTTTCCTACATTTTACGGGGAAAACTCACCGCAGAGATGCCATTTTGAACAGCACTCCCACAGCATAGCTAACATCCACCATAACCTCTCAGAAAAGTCCAAGTTTTCTGTGTTTGACTTGGAGCCGCCATGTCTGACCAAATTAAAAACAGGGTTGTGGTTGTTTTTGCTGGGTGGGAGGTTGTATAAAAAGGTTTCCCCGGTTTTCTTTTCAGAGCAGGCCAAAGTATTTCTGTAAATATCTATTATTTGGTGTTTAATCTCCAGCATTAACATTCCTTGAAGCGGGGGGACTGTTGAGCAGTAGAAATGAATGCAATCTGCATAGTAGCCGACGGAGAAAGTGAGGTGAATGCTCAGCCATAATCCGTTTTATTTCAGGGAATTAATATTTGCACTGCTTGTGCCTTTTTATTAACAGCCCCTTTGTTTGAAACTTAGGTAACTTCTTCCTTGCAAAGGGAATTCTCAAGCGTCTAAGAGCCTCGGTATTGTAGCAGAGCCCTTTTATAATTGCAGGAGCCTAAAAAAACGAACTAACGGTTTGGAGAGGGTTATCAGCTTCAAAACTTTGGAGATCAGTGACGGGTTACGCTCAGCTTCTCTTGTTAAAAAGAAATCATGGACCCTCTCCCCATCTGGACTTGGATTACAGAGCTAGGAGAGAAGGCTAACCTTCGCACCATACTGCTTTCCCAATGCAAATTGAAGCTGAAGCTGCTGTTTGCCCCAGTCAGGAAAGCTTTCAGGTAGGAAAGACCAGAAGCTGTTTCAGACCATCTAGTTCAGTCTACACCAGTGTTCCCCAAACTTGGATCTCCAGTTGCTTTTGGACTACAATTCCCATCATCCCTGACCACTGGTCTGGCTAGATAGGGATGATGGGAGTTGTAGTCCAAAAGGACCCAAGTTTGGGAAACACTGGTCAATCCCAATTGGCAATGGCTCTTCAGGGTTTCAGGCAGATGCTTCTTCCAACCCTACCTGGGAGTTATGATAAAGGTAAAGGGACCCCTGACCATTAGGTCCAGTTGTGGCCAACTCTGGGGTTGCGGTGCTCATCTCGCTTTATTGACCGAGGGAGCCGGCTAAAGTGGGTCATGTGGCCAGCATGACTAAGCAGCTTCTGGCAAATCAGAGCAGTGCACGGAAACACTGTTTACCTTCCCGCCGGAACGGTACCTATTTATCTACTTGCACTTTGACATGCTTTCGAACTGCTAGGTTGGCAGGAGCAGGGACCGAGCAATGGGAGCTCACCCCGTTGCGGGGATTCGAACCACCGACCTTCTGATTGGCAAGTCCTAGGCTCTGTGGTTTAACCCACAGCACCCTGGAGTTATGATAGCCATCTTCAAATATCTGGAGGGCTGTCAAATAGAAGATGGAACAAGCTTGTTTCTCCTGCTCCAGAGTCTAGGACCAACAGCTTCAAATTACAAGAAATGAGATTCCAACTAAACATCAGGAAGAACTTTCTGACAGTAAGGGCTGTTTGATAGTGGAATGGTGCTCCTCAGAAGGTGGTGGACTCCCCTTCCTTGGAGGTTTTAAATCAGAGGTTGGGTGGCCATCTGTTATGGATGCTTTAGTTGAGATTCCTGCATTGCAGGGGGCTGGACTAGATGACCCTTGGGGTCCCTTCCAACTACAATTCTATTATTCTACTTGGTGATCCTAGGGATTTAACCTGGGATGTTTTGTATCAAGACAGATGCTCTATCACTGAGACACAACCCCATCGGTGTGCCCTTTTAGCCCAGAGTCATTTAAGGCTTTATAGGTAAAAACTAGCACTTGGAATTGGGCCCCAGAACTATTTGGTAGCCAGTGCAGTTGGGCCAGAATCGGTGTAATATGTTCAAACCATCTTGCCCTGATGAGCAACCTGGCCGCTGAATTCTGCACCAGCTGAAGTTTCCGAACTGTCTTCAGAGGCAGCCCCACATATCACCTGTTGCAGTAATCTAACCTTGAGGTTACCAGAGCATAGATGACAGAAGTTAGGCTATCCCTGTCCAGATAGGGGTGTAGCTGTTTATTTCCTTGACATCTTAAGATAGCTGCTTATTTCCTTGACATCTGATGGGAGGGTGTTCCACAGGGCAGGCACCACTACCGAGAAGGCCCTCTGCCTGGTTCCCTGTAACCTCACTTCTTGCAATGAGGGAACCTCCAGAAGGCCCTCAGCGCTGGATCTCAGTGTCTGGGCTGAACGATGGAGATGGAGACGCTCCTTCAGGTATACTGGACCTCAGTGGTTTCATGTAGATGTTAAATAGCATAGGGGTTAAAATTGAGACCTGAGGAACTCCGCATTGAAGGCTTCATGGGGCTGAAAAGTACTCCCCAAGCATCACCCTCTGGGAAGGACCGTCCAAGTAGGACAGGAACCACCGCAAAGTGGTGCCACCCACCTGTCACTCGGACAACTGCTCCAGAAGGATACCATGCTTGATTGTATCAAAAGTCACTGAGAGGTTGCAGGTAATTAAGGGACACACTTTCCTTGTTCATCTCCTGAAAGAGGCCTTTATACAGGGTGACCAAAGTAGTTTCTGGTCCAAGACTGGGCCTAAACCCTGATAGATGCATCTAGAAAATCAGTTTCCTCCAAGAGCACCTGGATCTGCTCCACTATTGCCATTCCCTGACTTCGTAAGGCAACGTACAGAACAAATGGCTGTTATGACACCTCAGTCTGGTGTTGCAGGGCTGCCTTCAATGTAATGATTTGCTATGTTATTTTCACGAACACATACAATTTTTGAAATGCACAGTTTAAATGCAAATCATGTAGGTTTGCATTAAAATCCAAAGTGAACTGAATTTCCCCCTCGTCCCTTGGACTTGCATCGCATCTCCAACAACATGTTTGGTATTTTTTCTTCCTTGCAGAGTACAAGTTGGATGCCTTTGAAGCTTTGCTTCAGCAGGTCAGGGCTGTGATCTGGTGTGCTTTGAGTACTGGGCTGGACAGGACGGCTGTGTTGGCCCAGCAAAGATATAGCTCACCCCCAGCATCCGTGGAAAACAAAGCCTCCTGGTGGGATGTTATAACTTGATGCAATCCAGATCACAAGAGTGGATGAAGCAATCACTCAAAGCTGACACAAGATGTCACAGTCCACCAACAGACACTTTTTAAGGGCAATCTATACTAGTGGGAGGGATGCGGGAGGCACTGTGGGTTAAACCACAGAGCCTAGGACTTGCCGATCAGAAGGTCAGCAGTTCGAATCCCCGCGACGGGGTGAGCTCCCGTTGCTCGGTCCCTGCTCCTGCCAACCTAGCAGTTTGAAAGCACGGCAAAGTGCAAGTAGATAAATAGGTACCACTCCGGTGGGAAAGTAAACGGTGTTTCTGTGTGCTGCTCTTGTTTGCCAGAAGCGGCTTAGTCATGCTGCCCACATGACCCGGCAGCTGTACGCCGGCTCCCTCGGCCAATAAAGCGAGATGAGCGCCGCAACCCCAGAGTTGGCCACGACTGGACATAACGGTTAGGGGTCCCTTTACCTTTATACTAGTGGGAATGTTGTCCCTGAATGCAGATGGAAGATGCATTGTTCTCCTTGTCATCACATACCCTCCAACATTTCTCCAATGAAAATAGGGACACCCTATTCATTAATAATAATAATAAATAATAATGATAATGATAATTTTACTATTTATACCCTGCCCATCTGGGTGGCTTCCAGCATATATACAAACATAATAAAACATTTAAAAACTTCCCTATACAGGGCTGCCTTCAGATATCTTCTCAAGGTTGTATAGTTACTTTTCTCCTTGGCTCGGGGGTCACATAACTCCATTCCTTCCAACATTTCTCTGCTCAAACTAGGGACATACTAAGGAAAAGTGGGACATTCTGGGATCAAATCAAATATATATTAAAGGTTCCCAGCATACAGCCATATTCACTGAAATTCAACAATGTCAAAAGAATAAAAACTCAGGATACAGACAGGAGCAAGTGATTCTCAGGGCGAAATGATGCTCGAGATTCATGATCTTGACACAGCCCATTGTTTCTGCTTGGATCAGTGACAGTGGGGGAGTGGACTTTCATGCTGTTTTTCCCTCAACACACTCCAACAGAAGAAACCAACACAGGTGCTTGTTGCTCTTACTGGGCAGTTCAGAGCAGCAATGTCAAGTGAAAAGGTTAACTATTCCTCCTGTGGTGTCACAGCTTTGATCAAAATGGAGACCCCAATGGATGTCTTAAAGCAGTGATGGGGAATCTCACACAGGGGGGACCGGGACCACAAAGGTGGTCCTCCAGGCCAATGTACCCCTCAGGACTCTCCCCAGGCCAAGCCCCATCTCGGTTGGTCATGCTTTGCATCCTCATTAAGTGTTTTTGCCTGGCTGGAATATACCATTGGGCAGAGAGAGGGGCATCTTAGTGTGTGTAGAACTACCCTACCGTACAAAGGCAAAATTCACATTCATTGTTTGACCCATTTTTGCCTCTGATGGCCCAGAAGGAAATGCTGCCCTTGAACTGAAAATAGGTCATCGTCCCCTCCCCACTTTGAAGTAAAAAAAGAAAAGAAAAGTCAGCTCTGATCATAATTCTCTCATACCATCAACATACATGGTTTGGCCCTCAGCAGTTCCCCCCATGTTAGTATGACTGGTTGCTATTCTATCCTATGTAAAAGTCCTGCATTTGGGGACATCCGTCCACAACCTAAGACAGTACAGCTCAGCGATGCCCCTTCTCCTTCATAACCTTCAGGACCCAATTTGGTGGCCTGCAAGGGAAGGAAGCAATGCAGAATGGGATGAACAGAAAGGCCTGCAGAGAAGGGGCATGAGAACCACACTTGGTAAGTTTCACGGGCCTTTGTCTAGTCATGTATAGAACGAGCGATTGGCTTCCATCCCTTGTTCGTCATGAATAATGAGATTCTGCTGCAATGTGTCTTCTTGTTCCCTATGTCAGGGAATGCCAACTTTTTGGGGCATATGTGGACCAGATAAACTGGGCACCGTGCACAAATTCCAACCACACTCTAGGTTCTTCCCCTGCCTGCAACTAGTCTTGAAAAACTGTATTTTTGTTTCCCCCCTGCCCCAAGTTGTGTGTGTGAGATGGAGACACAGAGAGAGATCTTCTGGGAGAGGACAGCTGGGTTGGCAATAGAACTTTATTCCAAGTCTAATTGTCAGGGGAGAAGGGGGCTCCTAGGTGCAACCCCTCAAATTGCCACTCCTCTGATGAAACTAGGCTATTACAGTGGTACCTCGGGTTCTTAACCTGAAGCTGTTCTTAACCTGAGGTACCACTTTAGTTAATGGGGCCTCCCGCTGCTGCCATGCCACCGCTGTGCGATTTCTGTTCTCATCCTGAAGCAAAGTTCTTAACCCGAGGTACTATTTATGGGTTAGTGGAGTCTGTAACCTGAAGCATCTGTAACCTGAAGTGTCTGTAACCCGAGGTACCACTGTATATTGATGGGTTTCTGTCAATCCTAATTTCTGTGGTGAGTAGTTGATAGGTACAGGACTCCATAGATGCCAAGGAAGGCCTCTCTGGGCGCATGTGCCACACTAGGAACCCATGCAATGACATGCATCTGTAAGGAAGCGAAGTGGCTCTCCACTGGCACGTAAAAACCACCCATGGCTTTAGGAGCATGCAGTTAGGATGAGAGACTCTGTCAGAACTGACAGCATAAAAATAATATACCTCAGGTACCAGGTTAAAGTTTAAAGGAACAAAACCTTGGCTGCCGACTTACAGTTTTAAGTCCTACTCTGGAACTCAACCGAGGAAGGAAAGAGCATGTGGAAAGGAGAGCTGTTGAACATCAGAGGATGCTGAGACCTTTGGCTATTGCTCTTGACCCACCTTAAAACATAACATCTTATTTCTTTCTCAACCTGAGGAATCCTATCCAGCATCCAACACTATTCTGAAAAAGACAATCTGGCTTTGCAAGTCAGGGTGCTTGAACGCCGATTCTATGCTCAGAGTAAACTCCAGGAACTCACGCTTACCTCCTCCGTGCATCTGGCATAAATAGGGAAAGCGCCATACGTTCCCCAGTCCTACTGCGTAAGAAATGCAGGCAAAGACAAACTGCAAGGGGTTGTCCCATAACGGCCGGGCTTTCTCCATTTCTGCTCTGTGGTGCTGGGTTGCGTACGGCGGAGCGTGCCTTTGCCTTCCCTCCTTCAGGTGCTCCTCAAGCCCTGCTGGGGACACACGCAAGCGCCTCCAACCAACTCCGAGGAGAACATGCTTGCCAATTGCCAGCCAAGCTTTTTAATTGCTAATCTTATTAACAGGCACTTTGTGAAGTGGGAATGCCAGTTAGGTAAATAGGGAGGCGGAAAGCAAGCTGTAAAAACCAGCAAATAATTGTTTGGTTTTCAACTCAGCATTTCTGGGAAAGATCTGAAATGCGGTTGTTTGGTTTCGCCCCATGCTGGTCTTAATGTCAAAAAACATTTGGGGTTGCGCAGGATTACACTGTGACAGGCCCACGGGGCTTTGGGAACTATTTGCACCTGTCAACATCTTGTGTTTAATTATTTGTAGGGGGAAACATACCACACAGTATGGGTTTGGGTTACGCTGCCTTCAAAACATTCCATTTAATTTGCAAATTACCTCACAGATGCCTGGGGTGGGGCAGGGGGAAAGGTTCTCCTCACATATCGAAAACAACCACACGGGGCTTTTGCTCAGAAAAAGGATTATAAAATGGAAAACACAGTAGGCTAGATGGGGTAAATCACAGAAATATTTTTCACACATCACATTGTTCAACTTAGGTTAGAAGGAGGACAAGCTGTTTCGGAATCAGCTTGGTTCTCTGAGATACTGAGGTAGATGCCTTGTAAATCTCTGTGAAGGGAAAACTACAGTTACTATGATTCTTTGCGGGGAGAACGCTGAAGTTTTTAATGTATGTTGTGGGCACAAACAATGTTTACAGAGGAGTTTAAAGAAAGGATATTTATAGGATAATTTATATCCCATCTATCTGAATGAGGGACGCGGGTGGCGCTGTGGGTTAAACCACAGAGCCTAGGACTTGCCGATCAGAAGGTCAGCGGTTTGAATCTCCGCAATGGGTTGAGCTCCCGTTGCTCAGTCCCTGCTCCTGCCAACCTAGCAGTTTGAAAGCATGTAAAAGTGCAAGTAGATAAATAGGTACTGCTCTGGCGGGAAGGTAAACAGCGTTTCCGTGTGCTGCTCTGGTTCGCCAGAAGCGGCTTAGTCATACTGGTCACATGACCCGGAAGCTGTACACCGGCTCCCTCGGCCAGTAAAGCGAGATGAGCGCCGCAACCCCAGAATCAGCCACGACTGGACCTAATGGTCAGGGGTCCCTTTACCTTTATCACTGTGAATGCTCTGGGACAATGATGTACGCTCCATGATGTACATATCATGAATGTTTTGAGGCAGATTTGTGGCCTATTATCATTAACATTTACATGCCCTCTTGGCTTTGAACCCTGGTCTCCCAGCACCTAGGTCCTAGTACCAGGTCCCAGTCCAGTGTTTCTCAAACTTGGGTCTTCAGTTGTTGTTGGAATACAACTACTGGTCCCGATAGCTAGGGATGATGGGAGTTTTAGCCCATCTGGAGACCTAAGTTTGAGAAACACTGTCCTAGTCCAACACTCCATCCACTACACAACACTACACCACACGCAGCAGGCTTGCTGAGAGCAGAATCACATAACTATAAGCACAAATCATCACAAATGCACATGAATGGCGGGGAGTGGGAAGTCTACTCTAGTCTTGCTGCTTATAGGCAGCCTGTTTATTGAAGATTAATCCTGATTAGTTAGCACAAAGTTTGCAAGGAGCTTAGAAGACATCCCCAGTTCATTGAGCATTCATTCCAATATGCCTGCAGGGAGGTTAGAAGATGTTGCATCCAGCAAATCTTGTCCCACACTCTCAATGCATCCCCCCCTCACTTTCTTATCGCAAAAAGTTAATGGGGGGGGGTGAGCAAAGCGAGAGGAGTTTGTTTGTTGCACAAGGACTCCAAATCAACTTTAACAGTACAAACTGAACTTGTCAGCATGAGGTTGAATCCCACTGGAAAATAGTGACAGTCTGTAAATGCTCGTAGTCTGGTAAAGCAAGTATCTGATATATTATCCTGAAGCAGACTAAAGAAATCACCCCAAGAGGATCTTGCTTCTCCCATTTCCACAACCGTGGATTCCAGCAGAAATAAGGCATGGCTCTGTCTTCCAGCTGCCCGGCTTGCAGCCTTGCCAAGTTCCAACTTCTAGTTCACATAACCCAACTCTCGACGCTGACCTCCGAACAGCTGAGAAAGGATGGCCCACCTTTTTGTCCTCTGGCACAGAACCACTGCCTTTGTTAACAACCCATAATTAAGCTATTACCTCACCAGGAAGCTAGCCTGGCTATTCTAGGAATTTGAACCCTTGCTTAGATTTTAACACTTTCTGGATCCAGGAAGGGTCTCGGCCTACAGCCTAACTGCTGCCCCCCCCCAAAAAAACCCTCACAAAATTTACTTATTTGGGATTATATTCTGCTTTTTGGCCCTGAGAGGCTCACAAAAGAGTCTCACTCACAGTAGAAATCATGTACAAGTCTGGTATCAGGATCAGAATATAGCCTCTGGAGGTCAAACTGCTGTGTTAGCAGCAAGTGACCTCTTTGGGGCACAAACCTGGGCAGTGTGTGTGTCCTGAAACCCTGGCCTACCTGGTCACAAGTCTGTATGTCAAAGTCCAAAGACCAGGGGTCAATCCACACATCCACGCTCTGGTGATGGGTCCTGCTGCTCTGGTTCTTGTGTTGTTGTTGTTGTTTAGTCGTTTAGTCGTGTCCGACTCTTCATGACCCCATGGACCAGAGCACGCCAGGCACTCCTGTCTTCCACTGCCTCCCACAGTTTGGTCAAACTCAGGCTGGTAGCTTCGAGACCACTGTCCAACCATCTCGTCCTCTGTTGTCCCCTTCTCCTTGTGCCCTCAATCTTTCCCAACATCAGGGTCTCTTCCAGGGAGTCTTCTCTTCTCATGCGCTGGCCAAAGTATTGGAGCCTCAGCTTCAGGATTTGTCCTTCCAGTGAGCACTGATTCTTGTGTACTGACCCCTATTCCCTCGCCATCCTCCATCACCCAGTGAATACTTCCTTCCCTGTCCCCTGCTTGCCCTGGTGTGTCCCAGTCCCAGCTACACCCCTCACCGGGATCTTCTTCCTCTTCCCTGTCGTCCTGCCAGTTCATGACATCATGGGAATCCTGGGCTGCCCAGACAAGACCCCTTCTTTCAGCCTCGCTGATGTGGTCTGAAGGAAAGCAGAGCAGTATGTTTGGCACCAGCTTGGCTGCAGGAGTTGCTGGAAGGAGACACAGAAAGTGTCTTAAGGACTCCACTCCAGAGTTGTGTAGGGTTCGTTCCTTAGCCTTTTCTTCTCCCAAAGATATCCCACAAGGCAGTGGAGGTTTAGGATCAAAGTTTTCCTTCCCCTAGATGGTCTACCTTGCCAGGTGGATGAGCCCCATCTGTCCCTCACTTCCTTCCACAGTACGTACAGAAACTGCCTTCTTGACCATTGGACCCACTACTAGTCTCATCTGCTCAATCTGCTGGAGCCTGTCCCTAACTCACCGGCGAGTCCCTAACTCACCAAGGGCTTGAGACCCATGGGCTACCTTCACCTGGTTTAGCCAGTCAGTCAAGGCCGTTTTCTGGGTGTGGCACTGTCATGCTGTCAGCTTCTAGAAGCCCAGGAGAGAACAGAGTTCAGGATGGGGACCAAAGATGGACAAACTACTCCAGAAGAACATGTCCCCCACCAGAGGTACTACTCCTCCTCTAACACTCCAAATAAGAGTGGGGTTTGAGTGTTTAGAAACTAGCCTACTATATGAAGGGAACATTCACATTTTTCGCTTCGCCCCCCGCCCCTGCACCTAGGGGGAAAGTCCCCTGACTCTGGCAGTGGAAGAGGGGATTCTATAACTCATATGAGGTTCATTGAAAGGCCTGTGTGCTATTAATGCAGAAAACTCTGTGAACCCAATGGGAATGTATTCATTTTAACAAAATTTATATACCTCCCGATTGTTTACAAGAAACCTGTGAATTGCAGTGTAGGAAGAGCCCTATGATTCCATGATGCGAATGGGAGAAAGCCAGTGATGCCACAGGAGTGGGAGATGCATATATGTAGGACATTTCCTGTAAGTCTAACTGGGACGCATACACTCCAGAGGAGGAGTAGGAAGCCTTGCTGTTGACTCCTCTTGGTATCTAACTGATCAGTGATTGACCTACCTTGTAAAAATACGTAATGGCAATTCTGTCAAACATCAGCTTTTTATGACAAGTTAATAAATGATGGGCAATCTGAAAGATAAGTAGAGTGCAAACCTGCTTGCTCATAGCCAGATTTCTGCTTGAATGGAACATCAGATAAAGCACCGGATAATAATTTGAATGAAACATTTTCCTTTGCTGCGAATATCACCATGTAATATAGATTAACAGCACTATTTTGGGCATGTCCAGGGAAGGCTGTAGAGGATTGCAGTCTTAATTATATGATGAGTTTGGGAGGAGTATCATGGAAAGAATGAGTGAGCTGAAGAGATCTGATAGGATAAAATAAACAAGATATGGTGCATACAAGTTATTTAAGGACAAGGGCTCCAGAGTGGCCACTTTATTAAACACCTATGTGTTCATACATGTAAAATAGCTTGGGTCACCTTCCTAATAACCAATTTAAATGTAAAGGTAAAGGTACCCCTGCCCGTACGGGCCAGTCTTGACAGACTCTAGGGTTGTGCGCTCATCTCACTCTAGAGGCCGGGAGCCAGCGCTGTCTGCAGACACTTCTGGGTCACGTGGCCAGCGTGATGAAGCTGCTCCGGCGAACCGGCACCAGAGCAGCACACGGAAACGCCGTTTACCTATTTATCTACTTGCACTTAAGGGTGCTTTCGAACTGCTAGGTGGGCAGGAGCTGGGACCGAACAATGGGAGCTCACCCCGCCGCGGGGATTCGAACCGCCGACCATGCGATTGGCAAGTCCTAGGCGCTGAGGTTTTACCCACAGCGCCACCCGCGTCCCAATAACCAATTTATGGCATGATAAATGTGCACTAAGCGCAGTAATGAAGATCATAGGGAAAGACTGGCTGAAATCATTCAGTCTTTGACCCACTTTCACAGTATTTTATATTTTAATTTAGACTGTGGCGTTAAATTAACAAAAATTCTCAGTGTTTTTATGTAAGAGTCTAAAAGGTAGCACCAGGTATCATTGCTGCAACATCAGATTAGGGGTACTTCCAGATGGTTGTTTAGTACTGTTTATGCATGCAGGGATAACGTCCCTCCCCCCAGCATCTACACAATATTACTGATATCAGAATGTTAGCTGGTATTTCCTGCCGCTCACTGCATTTAATCTGGGGAATGTCAAGTAGGTTATCCAGTAAATTCGGTCCCATTTACAAATGAAGCCCACCTATAGGAGTACCCTTAGACTAAGGCTGCAACCCTAACCCAACTGACCTGCAAGTAGGACTTGCCTCTGAGTAGATATGGTTAGGGACTGCATTGTTAGTCATGTAAAGTGCATTAGTCCCAAACCAGAGGTCCTCATGACTTAAACCGGGAACACAAAAAGTAGCCTGCCTTAAAACAAGCAACAAAGTATAGTTGCTTGTTCTGTTATGCGTATTTGCTGTTAGTAGTTCTTTTGAAGGCCAGATGAGACAAGATGTTGGGAAATCCTAGCAGCCACACAGTGTGTTTGTGGTTTGGATTCAGGCTGCTGTGTTAGGGCTATTTCCTCCAGTCTAAATTATACTCCACATCCAACTATCTACCATTTGCCCCCAAATGTCATGAGAGCTTTTTCAGTAAGGACTGTATGACCCTTGGTTTTTCTTTATGACACACCAAAGAAAATGGGTACCGTATTTTTCGCTCTATAACACGCACCTGACCATAACACGCACGTAGTTTTTAGAGGAGGAAGATCCGTAGGCATGCCACCCGTAGGCATTCCCTCCATAACACGCACAGACATTTCCCCTTACTTTCTGGGAGGAAAAAAGTGAGTGTTATGGTGCAAAAAATACGGTATGTTTTTAAGTATAATGGTTTACACTAATTTTTAGACAAATGCCGCCAAAACATATGAAACATACTGAACAGTTAAAGTATTACCATTTTGAACCACTTCCAAGTCAATTAGTGACCAGCTACTGAATTCAGCTGCTTCCCTGCTATGCAAGCTGTTTATTGTGTCATGGCAATGTGAAACAGCTTAAATTTTGACTGACAGAAAACATGCTTCATTTCATAAGCACAAAAGCACATTGAAAGAAAAAGTTATTTTTTCGCAACCTCCTGTTACTGTAAATGCATCCGATTCAGATTTTGAGGTACAGCCAGGGAACAAAATCTATTTTATTAAAAATGAGAGTGGGGTTAATGCTATTATATGCTGGCCTATGAGGGAAGGAATCATTCAATTTTATGTTTTTGAGGATTTTTTTGGGTAATTTAAATCCGAAAGTATTTAGGAGCTTCTTTGCAGTCTTGAAGCAGCAGGTATGAAAGACACAAATACACACTATGGTAAAGTATTGGTAAAGTATATGTTAAAATACACACTATGTAAGTTATAGGCTCTGCCACTAGAACCTGTCACATTCTTAGAAAAGCCTTTAAAGGTTTCATGGGGCTAGAGCCAAAGGGTTGCTTTCTCTGACAGAGGAAAGGAATCTTCAGACCCAGCACATACAGAATAGGTCTATCGTCTGTTATCCCCGATAGGTAAATGACTTATGAACGTCAGCAGTTGAAGGGTTGTGTGTGTGTGTGTGTGTGTGTGTGTTTTGCTTGTGGGCTTTCTGGAGGCAGTGTTTCTCAACCTTGGGACCCCAGATGTTGTTGGACTACAACTCCCATCATCCCTGAGCTCTGGCCTTGCTAGCTAGGGATGATGGGAGTTGTAGTTCAACATCTGGGGACTCAAGGTTGAGAAAGGCTGATCCTAGAATCAAGAGGTTAAACTAGATGGACACTTTGTTAGATACAGAGTTCCTCCCTCCCCCCAAATACTTTGCTTTCATCCTTGCCTCTTCCATTATATCCTTCATCTATTTCTCCCTCTGGTTGTTACTTGCTAAACAAAGTTCTTAGGAAACACTCTAGAAAGTTCTTTTCAGCCCCTCCTATCAATTAAATAGAATGTTGATTTGTTAACTTAATGTATAGAGAGGGGATGCGAATAATCAAGATTTAAAACTACATTTCATAATAGAAAAAAACAACCACTGCAATTTAAGATTACTGTGCTAGTCCAGTAATACTGGATATTGTGTCTGTAGCTCTTTAGCACAGGCTGTACTTTGGTGAAAGAAAACTTGGTATTTAAAAAAAATGCACTTAGTTTTGCTGTAATTATTCAGCAGTCATTGATACTCTATAATGAAATGTTTATTTATATTATAGTGCGCTGAAGCAAATAAAAGAACGAAGATTTACCATGCCCATAAAGAATAATCCACATAATGATGCTGCAAAGCCTGTTACTATGAAACAGAGTTTGGTCAGAGAGTTCCTCTGTCAAATTATTAGTTCACATTCCTTCTCTTGCATTCTATTTTGTTTTCCTACCCAAAGATGAAGCAAAAAAGGGATGGGGTAAATAATAATGTCACCTACTGTATAAAGGCAAGCCACATCCATTGAGCCATCCATTTTTGCCTCTGAGCCACCATGTGGCCTCCGGAAGGTTGTGTATGCAGGAATGCAGCTCTCAGGCTGAAAAAGTTGCTCTACTTCTGCTATACAGCCTTGACCAAAATATTCTGAATTTCATAAAAGGTGAACTATGCAAATATGCATACCTGTGTTTGATTTATATGAGCAGAATTTCCATATAAGTCACTACAGTATGGGATCTCACTCAAGATATCCACTGGTTGTTTGCTTTTTAGAAGAGAGAATAAGGTCAAGAGATGTAAATTGCTGTGAGATTACATACAAAAACGCCTAACTTGTCCTTCTGTATTTGCTGAAAAACAACCAAACAGGATTTGGGAGGCAAGAAGTTTCATTAGCCTTAATTAGGAATTTAATTAAATTAGGAATTTAATAACATATATAACGAAGACAAAATATATAGCAATATATGGTTGGCAAATACACAGAACCCAAAAGGTTGGAATACTTGCATGATGAAGACTGGTTGACCTGTCACTCCCAAAAGTAACAATAGTTTCATCTAGTCTGTTGCCAACTTAGCAGATTTGGGAAAAAACTTTACTTTCTGTTCTACTATTGAACATTTACCTCTAGAATGTGATATGTATTTCCTGGGACAGATTCCAGAAAGGCTGTTTGCTGCATATAACCTATTGATTTCAGTGTGGAGTGTCCAGAGTTTCTGTGCAAACCATCAGAGAAATGAATGGAAGGTGTATTGGAGATGGGATTCCTTACATCTGTGATATAATAACGAAATTTAAGACAGTGTAATTTCAATTAGATGTGTAAGACAAAAAATATATTTTTACTAGTTAGTTAACATTTGAGCACCAGCTTTTCCACTTCCTACACATAACAAACAGATTGTTTTTCTCCCTTTAGTGCAGAAGCTCTTTTGAAACTATTGAGCTAATAATTTTTAAAATAAATAGCAGGTATGAATTAACAAGTTACTTAGAGAATCACTGCTCCTAGTACAATTGTAAAAGAAAGGCCATGTTTGAGAAGCATGTAAATTACAGGAATTTAACTCTTTGGGTCTGTACCTTATAGGTATGAAAAGAACTGGAATTTGAACTTTTGGTTTTGTTTAAAATAAATCTTTCTACTTCACAAGAATTAATACCTCCATGTTTGTAGTTTTCCAGGCAATCCACAAGATAGCTATTCCAAAGACATGAAGTACAGAAATAAAGACTATGCCTTTTCTTTGCTCTCAATTCTATTACGGCTTCCTATCAATAAACATTTTTTTCAGAAAAAGAAAACAATAAACTCCTTAGAAAGCATAAATCCCAACATATTGGGGAAAATAGATTTCATATTTTTAAAATCCTACGCATTTTCTTTTTATGGCAGTTTAACACAGCAAATGCTCTTCAGACCTTAATCATCTGGTTCGTATCTAAAAAAAAAGAAATAAGAAAACAGATTAAAATATTTTTTTTAATAGACAGGCAAGATAGGAAGGTAATGATTAAATAATCACATAAGACATTGCCAATAATCTAATTTATTTTGAATTACAAAATAATCTGATAATTTACTATCTTAATACATAACCCTAGAATTTATAAACCTTATCCAAGCAGCTCAAAACCCTATGAATTTGAAAGCTCCATTTGAGCCATTCCATTCCAGTTCTGCAGTGCAATTTCAGTGAAACAGTACTGAAACAGATGGACACTCTAAATATCTAAGTGACTAGATATACACTAGGGTTACTTAGCTCTCTCTATATCCACATTTGGAGGAAGATGAAAAGTGTATTGCAGCAGTGGATAGTGGGGTGGGGAGGCAGAACCCATCTGACCTTTGGTTGCCTCACTGCTGCTACATACCAGGGAAATGAAAGGGAACATGACAGTGAGATAGGAACACACTGGCACCATGCTGCCCTCACATAACCCTGTTTCAGTACGCAGCAGCAATACAGGTGACCAGATGTCAGGCGAGTGTCCACCTCCACTGTCTACTGGTGTATTCTTACCAAATTTTTGAAGTGTAATCTGCCACCATTGTATCTTGTCAACAGAAGGAGCTACTCGTCTCCTTTCTGCAGCACTTCAATAAGGACCACCTCTTGTGGTATGCATGTTTATGGGTTCTCACTGCCTAAGTTGTAGAAAGAACATCAGGATCTCAGGCTGCGATCCAAAGAACTCTGCAGCTAGATCTGAATGTCCAAGGCAGCTTTACCATTGTGTTTCAGACACAGCAGTAATTTGTGTTGACTGGCAAACAGGTTTTGAAAATGTTGGTGTTTCTGATGTCATTTGTACTATGGCGTGAAGGTCAGCATTTTAAAGAAAAAGGAATAAATTTTTACTGAGCTAGTCCCAAGTGTTCAAGTGCATCAGAAGCAAGCTCACTGGGCCCCAACCTGTTTTCAGATAATGGAAGTATGTAGCTCTTAAAAGTTTTGCAAAAGCAAACATTACCATACAAACCACACGCTGAGAGGACAAATGAAAGAGCACTGCTTACTTTGAAAGCTTCTTTCGTAATTCCTTTATCTGTTCATTCTTCTTGGAGAGAATCTCTTTCATATTGCGGTAGGCAGTTGTTTGTTGGAACTTCTTTTCCAATTCCTGTTAATTTGAAATTACCAATATATTTACTTTGTTATTTTTAAAAGTGAAATAGACACTGTTTATGTATTTAACAACTCTCACTTAAAAACCCCTTAAAGCATTTGTTTGGCTGGCTGAGTGGTATGTCACATAGGTAGTGACATTTTAGTAGGTGACCTCTATTGCCTCTACTTCTTGTTGCTCCTTACATGAGCAACCTACAAAAACAAAAATAAATGTTTGGGATTGCTCAGTGCTCTAAGTGGAGCATGTACACGTGTGCCAAACATCTGTAAACTAATATAATTCCTCTTTCCCAGACTTCTCCAATTGATATTCAGCTTCAGCATAAAGCATCCAGGGTCTGATTGTGTTGCTGAGGGGTGGGGAAAGGAATCCAATCAACCCTGAGCCTTCTTTCGCTGTATTTTCAAACTGCTCCAACAGTCTTCCTGCTGCATGGAGCTCTCAGAGAGATTGAAAAACAAAACAGCCAGTGTTTCCTTTGCAGCAGGAAGGCACCCTGCCGCCTCTTGCTCTCAGATGTTGTACAAGCACACTGTACACTCAGAGCACTAAGTAGTCCTAGTTTGTTTTTATTTAAAGATCTACAGATCTTTTACAATTCTGTAAATCAGAATTGCACAAAAATATGTATTTTAAAAAAGAGCAAGCAAACTGCAGTTTAACCTTGCAGGAAAACTGGGGGAAGAGGGTTGAAAAATTCACATTTGAGGTATTTTCTGTCAAGCTGTGCCCACAGGTGTTGATGGCAAGCAGCAGAACACCAATTAATATGGTGCTGAAAAAAAACATGTGTGGACCCTCATGTGTCAACTGCATGCACAGAAACCCTGGATCTGAGTTACTGCCCCTGTGTATATGTGCCATAACAATATTCTGCTTCAGAAAAAGCTTGTGCACTTTTATCAATGCCTTATGTTACAGGCATTAAGGAAGGTGGTAATGACTATAACTATTCAACAGAATAAAAACTAACCTTTTCAGCCATAGCCAACTGGTCCTGAACCTTAAGAAGGTCATGCTTTGTTGTTACCAAATTCTCTTCCAATGATTTTTGGCTTGCAGTACTGTCTTGCAAAGTCTTTTCAAGTTTGCACTTCAGATCAGCCATAGTATTTTCTAACTCACTAATATCCTGAGTTGGGTTAAACTGAAAAAAGAAAAAATATATTCATGATTTAATTAAATAAATGCATGACCATTGGTTACAAGAGTAAACAATTGTTCTCTCTAAAAATCTAAAGTTTCAAATGATAAAAATATATACAATGAGCTTATTTCTCTATTTCAATTATTAAGCAAAAAGGTTCCCAAAGCATCTTACAAATGTATGAAAGTAACTGCCCTTGAACACAAAAGAAAAAGGGAACAGAAGGGAGGAGAGAGAAAAAAGAAAATTCATGGCACTATTTCTTAATTATAGAGTTCTTCTAATGATCAGCTGGAGGCATTCTAGTTCAGACATCAGCTCAGCCTCGTTTTTTCCAGAACAGGAGGTGGATGATAAAAGCAGTAACTTTATGTCATTACTTAAAAATCAAAGATAGAACTCTGAAGTGGAGCTGACATAGTAGGCATAGTACAATCTTAATTCTGGAAAGCAGTGCAGAAAATAATAGTGTACTTAATATGTACAATGTTGCCTAAAAACAAGTCCCTTCTGCCTGGGTGACTTAAAAGAGTGCCTGGACACTATGAGTACTCTGTTTATTTTAATAACATAGCTCAGGGTGGCCCAACTTTTCATACCAAGTGGGCCACAAGAGTACTTTGACATAGAACCCGTAAGTCACACGCTGCCCTGTTGCATGGGGTAGAGGGGGTGAGACCAAAATTTGACACCCCCACCCAGCTCCTGTGTTGCCTTCCCATAGCCAGGTAAACGAGACACTGGACTTTGGGAAGGAGGCAGCAATGTTCTTCCAAGTATGCATGCATATAATTTTTCTGAACTTACTGAAAACTTACATAAAGCCTGTCTGAAATCAATGGGTACTTTTGAGTAAACATAGAAAGGATTTTCAGAATTAGAGAATTGATGAAAACACTTTTAAATTGACAATAGCAGATGCACCATAGTTTAGTATTAAGTGTAAACCCTGGAGCAAAGTGCTGAAATGCTTAGAAATGAGAAATCAAATACATACCACAAACCATATTAGAAAGCAAAACAAAACAAGAAATGTGAATTATAACAATGAAAAAGGTGTATGAAAGAAAATTTAAAGCCTGCCTCAAATTTAGGATTTTACCTTACTCAAAGAGAAATTCTTATTTTGCAATGCCAAACTTGTTTTATTGGTATAATTCTTCAAATTTGGTTTTAAAACAGCATTACATATGATCGCATCTGGATAAATAAGATTAACAAGAATATCTCTGAAAATTTACTAAAATAATCTACATGGAGTAATTTTATCAAAACAGCAATATTCAATAGAAATGATGTGAAAACCTTTTGATCTCCCTGGGCAATTTGTAGCTCACGTAGAGCCTTTTCTAACTTTGATTTTTCATCCAGTGCACTTGTAGCCTGGAAAAGATTGAAAACAACATTCAGAACATATTTTTAGAAAAGTAATTGAATTACTACTCTTTTGATACACATATACCAACATCTCGAGCAAACTTACATGCCCTTCTATGGTCTTTAATCTAGTCTTCAATTTTTCATTTTCCTCTTGGAGTCTTGCTATTTCCTGTGAACAATTAAAAAATTAGCTTGCTCTTGACCAAACCCTAAATACATCATGCCTATCACATAGAAGTGTTTTTCAGACTAGAAAAAAAATGTATGCCTATGTGAGACCAAGAAAGTTACTAGGTTTTGGTATACTGTACTTTGTTCCTGCTTTATTTGAAAAATAGAAGCTGTACAGAAAATTATACTAGCATGAAAAGTGGGATCCACAACTAATTAACATTCCTGTTTCCCCAGGCAGCTGTTGAGGCACCTCAAAATGAGGAACGATGAAAGTAACTGAATCTAAAGGAATCATTAAAGGCTGGTGGTGGCAGGGAAATGTTCTCACTTTAATTTGGGGTAGAAATGCATTAATCTTGATTGCTCTATGCACACCCTCTAGTTCTCAGCTTCCATTTCTGAAGACATAGCTTCAAGCTCTTTTCTGACAGAAGCTTCGCCTTTAAAGATATTTTCCTGTCCCCTCCCTCATGTTTCTTTTGATTACACACACCATTTCACTCCACTGACACATACACCTTATGAAGCTAAGAAGAGGCTATGGGGACTTCAATAACTTCTAAACAGTTTGAAATAATATAAAACAGGTTCAGTTGAACCAACAATGAACCACCATAAATATCACAAAAACCAAGTTTTACCTTGTTCAATAATTCTGATGCTCCTTCATGCAATGGAGTAAGTTTAGGCTTCACCAACTCTGGATTAGGCTACAGTAGGCACAAAAATGTTACAGAGTACTCAATTAAACATTTTCTTTCTAACAAGCATTATAATAGCAATTACTGCTCCAGCCTTTCCATACTTTGGCCAGAAGACTAATCATTTTGTAGCAAATATGGTGCCCTCCAGATGTTTTGAACTACAACTCCCATCAGCCCCACCCAGTGCAGCCAATGTTTAGGGATGATGGGCATTGTAGTCCATAACATCTTTATATACGGCTCATCTGACTGGGTTGCCCCGTCACTCTAGGTGACTCCCAACAAAAATAGTAAAAACACAATACAGCACCAAACACTAAAACCTTCCCTGAACAGGGCTGCCTTCAGATGTCTTTTAAAAATCACATAGTTGCCTTCAAATGTCTTTTAAAAATTGTGGTTGTCACTGAGCCCTTAATCATATTCTCTGTGCATTCTAGAGTAATCAGAGAAGAGGGGTGTAGCGATCAAAAAGGGGATTCCTACACTCCTAAAAAGTCTGCTATCTTGGGCTGACATTGCCTCAGCTGGTCTTCCAGTCATGAAAAGAACCCCTTCCTCTCCATCCCATCCACAACTGGGCTGTCACTGCTTTCTCCCTAGCTTGCTGGGTAACTGGGTCAGCCTGTCCACTCTCTGCACCCTGAAGAGCTGACTGACAGTGACCTCCACAGGACATCAAGCTTTGGAGCAGGCAAAAGCAGTACTAAACTCTCTCAGAGCTGATGCTTGCTCCAAGAACAGCACGGCATGAGAAAATCTTCCTTCCCTTACTCAGGGCAAAGGTCTCACATGTTGTGTTCAGCAGGGGTGCTCACTAGTTGCAAGAACTTTCTTTACTGTTACCTTTCCCCTTAAACAAGAACCACACACAAAACCCTCACAGCATCATCTGGTGAGTTTTAGAAATAGACACATACCTTCTTATTTGAAGATGTAAATTCTGACTTTTCAAACTCTGCAACTTGCTCTAGTAAGTCTCTTGAAAAAGAATAGAAAATATTTTAGTCAAGCAATTCTACTGAACACCAAGTTATATTCTATAATTCATAAAGCAATGAAAAGTTAGAAAATGAAAGAATTAGCCCTGAAGTCTTACATGTAAAAACTATGCCAAGACAGAACCTTTTTTAATGAAGACAAAACAATCACTTCTTAGATTAAAAAAACCCAATCATTTTGAGACTAAGGCTGCAAACCTACCAGGCAGTAACCTCCGATGAATTCACTGATACTTCTGCATGAACAGTATTATGCTATAAACTGCCATTTATGAAACTACTGTGGTGGGAAAGACCTTATTAGTAAGGATACACTTTAAGTGAATACAAAATTCTCTTTATAGTATTTTACCTATTTTCCAGCTCAGAAATGTCAGTCTGCAGTTTAAGATACCACTTCTCTGCTTGGAAAAAAATCTGGCGAAGAAGTAATACATTGGTATAGGCTGTGTTAATAAGTTCTGACTCCACCTCACTGTGTACCACAGTCTGCAAGCCATCCAGTATATCTGTCACTTCATCAATAGTATATGTGTCTTCCACCAGCCTAAACAGAAAAGCCCACAAAACAGAATTAAAAAACAACAACCGTGCTAACAACCCAAAGCTTCAGCAGTATTACAAGACCTTGAAATATTATATGACTATTTATTTTTCTAGTAAGATGACTGGCAAACTGGTCAAATGCTATAGCTCATCACTAGACTGAGCACTTCCAAATTATGCCCATCGTCCCAAAAGTGGGACAATCCTGCTTTCTACATAAGTATCAGCAAGCAAACATGGCTGCCTGACAGCTGGAATATGTCACTTCCCATAGTTTGTTAAGGAATGACACCTAATATTGGTTTCATTTGTGTTTACATTTGTATTACAGGTATTCCATCCTCATGGTACCTGCTTTCCTTCAGGTCCTGAAAACAAGAGTCTACTGTCTTAAGACGCTGGCCACGCTTGGAGCGTGCAAATCGCATGTAGTTGATAACTTCATTCTGGTGTTGCTCATTCAGACCCAGCTCTGCCTGCAACGAGAATAAAAACAGCAATGAAGCCCATATCAATAAAGTATCGTATTTGGATTTCCTGCTAATGAATTGATTAAAACTCAGAGCCAGAGCTATTGTACAGGTGACAGCAGAAAGTCCCATATATTGTTGAGAAACAAACAAGAATAGTAATAGAATGGGGTTGGATGGGATCCTGAGGGTCATCTAGTCCAATCCCCTACAACACAGGAATCCTGCCCACAGTCATTCCATAGTGGTGGTGGGTATGAACCACCAATCTTCCGGTTAAGAGCTAGACACACTGACCCATTGCACTACAGAGGTTCAGGGGTAGAGATAGATACAACCAACCAACCAACCAACCAACCAAGGAAACACCCAAAACACATAGCAATAAGTCATTTGGTCTTGGTCCCCAATTCTCACCCTCATGACCCTACAATCTCTTATGTGCATTTATTTGAAAGTACGCCCTCATGGGTGGTAGATGGTTGATGGAGGACCCTGGGTTGGAGGCAAGGAAATGTTGGGTTTTCCATGGTGAGAGGACTCCGTGTATTATTTATTCTATTTGTATTTTTTTGTAGCTGTTTCTGTTTTTTATTTACATTAGTTTTCTATATCGCAGTGTACTATGAAAAGCTTTAATAAAAAAATTACATGCTAAAGCAAGCTCAACTCAGTGGGCCTCTCTCCCACTTAAAAGCTGTGCAGAAATACATTCCTCCCCTATCCATCCTGCAAGGTGGTGGTTGTTGTTATTTTATTGATAACCCTGCCCATCTGACTGGGTTGCCCCAGCCACTCTGAGCGACTCCCAATGTATATTTATTTATTTATTGAATTTATATACCGCCCTATACCCAGAGGTCTCAGGGCGGTTCACAGAAAAGATCACAATATATAAAATCAAAATAAGAATAATCCCACAACACCCCTCCAGATATATAAAATGATATATATAAATGTAGGTTGTATATAAAAACATCAGAAAACATTGCGCATTAAAAGGCTTCCCTATACAGTAGGCAAGAGGAGTTCTATTTGTGGCAACGAACTATTGGGAGAAGGAGGGCGCGGGGTTGTGTGCGTGGATAGGCCAAAACAAACGAGCATAAAAATACAGGTCCCAAATTATGCTTTAAGTCCCGCCGTCCTACACGAAAGGGGGCGGGGTGAGGAGGCGGCGGCTGAAGGATCAAGGCCGGCGTGGTTTTGGGGACCGCGAATCACGGAGGGAGGTTCAGGCTCCCTCAGTCAGGAGGGATCCCCAATTTCTAAACCCGGGTGGGTGGGTGCGTTGGGGGTGAGGAGCGAGGGAAAACCCAGGCTGCTTAGGCCTCTTCTCAGGCGAAGGAGGCGCCACACTTTGGGCGGAGGGGCAGGAGACGCCACGGCCTCGTCTCTCCCTTCTCGGGAAGCTTGAGGGTAGCTAGGCGTTGCGTGAGGGGGCAGAAGAAGAAGCGGGGCGAGGCTGAGGTAGCGCGCCGGTTGCTCACCATGACGAACCGGCGGCGGCCCTGAGGCAAAGCGGCGGCGGTTTACAGCGCGGCGGTTGCCATAGCGACGGAGCCAGGAGGCTCGCGACCCCCTCCTTCGGAATGCCGTTGGCGGAAGAGGAGGGGGGGAGGAAACCGTCGCGAGGCCGGAAGTTGAGGCGCGCGGAACGGCCGTTAGGATTTGAACGTCCGGCGGGGGCGGAGCAGTTGGAAGGCAGCGCGGGACGTTCGAATGACGGCTCTAATGTCGGAGACTGAGCTGCCTTCTTGCTTATCTCTCCCATAGGGCGGGGGAGAAATCCGGGGTTTTAACGTGACTTTTATTTCTGGGCGGCAGTAGCCCCCCCCTTTAAAAAAATAAAAACAAGAGGGATGCATGATCTAATTCAGGTTTTATTTAGTGTAAGCATGTCGTTTATTCTCTCTCTGCGTAAATACTGTTGTTATTATTTATTAAATTTGTATTATTATTAATTTTTTTAATCTTGTTTTTAAGTTGTATTCATTCAACTTGATTTCATTATTGGTTGTTAGCCGCCCTGAGCCCGGTGTTGGCTGGGGAGGGCGGGGTATAAATAAAATTTATTATTATTATTATTATTATTATTATTATTATTATTATTCGGCCCTTCATCTGGAGGACACTGGAGTAAAATTCAGCTGCCGCTGTATGTATTTGGGAGAGGGGAAAGCTTTTTGCCCCTTGCCTTTAGGTTCCTTAATTGAATTATGTTACAAAACAGGGTTACAAAAACCAAACACTTGGAAAGATAAACATACCCTCACAAATCATACTGCCCTATTTATTATGCCATCACAAGGCGCAAACCAGGGAAAGAGGTGGGCAGCATATCTGTTCCAGTTTTCAAGGTTGCATAGGTATGTAATGGTATAATATAAATACAATAGGCACACATTATTGCAATACGTGCAGTATGCACACATTATTGCAGTATGTAAATATTCAATAAATAGGTCATACAGCGAACATTCGAACCATTAAAAAAAATCACCTTGATAAAATTGTATTTCATTTTAAAACTACAGTCTCGTGAGATAACCAGATTCATTAGCATTGCAAATTTCCCTGTTGGTGATATTGCTAGGACTGCCAGATCTCTGTCCTGAATTTTCAGAATATTGGCCCGTGACTCAGGAGATCCTGCAACCCTACATATAACTGATTACTAATTTTGTAAAATGTCATTCACTTTAAATGACAAGAGATATTTTAATTAGTTCCTGAGCATAAAAGGCATCAAGAAACATTCTAGTACAAAAACCATCTGCATCCATACAAATGTACAGATATAAAATGTACAGACATTGGGGGGGGGGAGGTTTGGCCTGTGTTAGATCAGTTGAGGTTTGGTGTCATTCCAGTGCACAATATATTTTTGCAGGTACAATTTTTTAAAAATTTTAAATAAATAACTAAAACTACACTGATTTCAATTACAAAACAAAATATCCAATTGAATGCTGTCACTGGTCAATTTTGCTTTCTTTACGGAGCCTCTCTCTCCCCCTCTCTTTTGTACACAGCAGCTTTCAGGTTAATAAACCAATCTTCATTAATAAGTAGAGAAACACAAATGGACAAAATTTTTGAAAACCAAACCAAACCCCAGCTAAATTCTGTTTTGTTCTTTGTGCAGGTAAACCTGCCTCTGCAAACCTTGTTAGTGTGGTAGATCCTACTATGCAAGCAAATACATTACTAAAGAGATAACAATATTTGGTGTACAGTCCTCTGCATGTTTACTCAGAAGTTCCATTCTGTTCAGTGTGGCTTACTCCTTGGTAAGTGTGAATAGTATTAAAACTTTATTTCCAGGACCATACCTAAAGAGACTTGTGAATAGCTGAAATGTGGTTTGTTATTAGCGATACTGCAACACAGTAAATGAGCATTGCCACTAATAAATAAAAATGGATTGCTAAGATTTATGATGGATATGCATAAATAACAACCAGTTATTCATCAGCCACAATGTTTGCCCGGGGTGATGAACTGAACTATTGTGTAGCTTCCATTTTCAGCATCTTTACCTTCACAAAGTGATTTATTGTGAATTGTTTGGACTATGGTTTTTGGGGGATAACCTTTACGTATGATAGTGCAGCTACATAATTTACTTTCTGTTTTATGTATTTTGCCTATGCTCAGCCTAGAGATGGTGAGATGAACTGTAAAGTTCTATTTTGAAAAGTTTAAATAGAACTGTGAACGACTTCATTCCCTTTTGCCAAAACTCTGGAGGCGGCGGCAGCATCTGGATGGGCTTCTCTGCTCATGATCCAAAGGTGATACTGCTGTCAGGGGCCTGGGGACAATTTTAGGCTTCACCTCTAAATGAGGCTTCCAATACTCTGAGCTGAGAGTTCTTTCTGACCTTATAGAAGCTTGGACATGACATCATCTCATGTTTGGTTTGTGGTACCACATCAAAGCTCCTATTGGATGCATTCGTGCATGTGTGTAAGTGCAATGTTAAGGGTCGGGGAAACATAATTGAGCTTGCAATGGGTCAGAGAAATGTGTAAAGACTAGTATTGGTATGAGGAACAAACTGAAATGAAATGCAGTAAGTATGTGTTCTCATTTATGCTGATGAGCTTTCAGTGAGCCCCACGAAACAAATATTCTTGGGTTTGAATCCAGACAAGTTTCTTCTGAAGAAGGAATCAAGTTTCTCAGCGGGAGAAAGGTCCTCTGTAGGGTAAAAGTTCTCTGGATTCAACCCTCAGTTGAAAAACATAGTAACTGGAAACCAAAGCTATAAAGTAAATACAAATAACAGATGTCTTGTTCTTCAAACAATTATGTATATTCAAAGTCATAAATCTGAAATATAGCATTTGACAGTATCCCTTTCATATTAATTTAAAATACAAAGAACATTAAAAAAAGCATTCTATCCCCAAACCACAGCAAAATAGAATGGAAAACCAGAGCTAAAATATTAAGTGGATTTCAGTTCAAAATCCATTTTATATTGCACAGTCCATGGCAAACAGCATTTCAACTTTTAACATTAAATTCGCAATGCTTCTCAATTCAAAACAATACACCCCTAGCCCTTAAATAATAACACCATTCAATAATGAAATGGCAAATGCACAATATATACCATATTGCTTCTACTTTTTCATTTCCTTCTACAATTTCATCTCAACCGTGTCAGGCATCGCACAGATCTGTATGAAACTATACCTGCAATATACATGGAGGAGGGGAGTTGTATAATGAACACCACCACTGCTTCTCTGTGGCACTGATATAGCCCACCACCCAAATCTGCACAAGTATTTGCATAATGTTGCCATACAATTTAACTAAGCCGCTATTCCTGTATCACACAGCCTTAACTGACAGAACAAGTACTGTACATAAGGGGATAGTAAAGATGTGGAGCAGGAGAATAGCTGGCAATGTGATATGTACTCGGCTAAAACATATTATGGATGGAGCCAAGCTACTATAACTGTGCTATAGTAACTTTCATCCCCGGACAATTTAGCTCCTTTCTCCTTTCCCCACCATGAATCATTGAGTTGGATTCAATCTAAATTAGTTGCACATATGTCTAATTGAAAACAGTGTGAAAAGTTAGTAATGACTAAAGTTCCACTGATTTCAGTTGGAAGCAACTGCAAGTAACTTAGTCTTAATTCATTCCTTTTTTTTAAAGGACTAGACAGGATGCCAAAACATTTACAGATGCAAAAACCGTTTTTTTAATTGGTTGCTCTCTTAATTGAAGGAATCTAGAGTGTAAAACAGCTTAAGTCTTTCCTACAGCACATATTGCACACTTTCTTAAAGTTTCAGCATGGGGAAGAGATACTAGGCTTAACAGATGTGTTAGGCAATCTCAAGTAGGGCCCTGTCCTAAATATCCTGGCTGTTGTAACGTAGAAGGTCTTATCTAGATCATACAAATAATTCCTTAATAAGGTACCTCCCTCTACTTAGTTTTTTCACAAATTTCATTACATATCCATAGTTCCCCTATTGTCATAGAAACATTGACCTTGGCACTGCAGTTTAATAGTGTTCAGAAGAAAGTGTCTAAATTTCTCAATGTCTACTGTGGGCAATAATAAATTCATCAATACTGATTATCTATGGCAGGAATGCCTTCACTCCTATGATAATTCTTGCCAGAAAAAGTTTCAAAAAAAGTTACTTTGGGGGAAAATGGGGTGGGGAGTAGCTTGCTTCTTACAAAAATAGAAGGAAAGCATTTTGTGTTTCCCTGAAAATATCTGTGAAATAAAGCAATTTTTAAAGTCTCAAGTTATTCTCACTTATTTTCAGACACAAAATATTTGTAAACTGCAATCCTATACTCACCTGGGAATAAGCATCATTAAATCAATAGAACTTACTTTTTCAGTAGATTTATCTAGGATTCAAACTCAGGCATTTTTTGTCTTTTGTATCAGCAGTTCCTATTTCAACTGCTCCTGATGCAAGAATAGTTGAAATAATTAACTGGCTGTTATTTCAGTGATTTCCATGTCTGACCAATTTTATTTGTAGTGGCATATCTTAAAACATTCACCCCAATACTTCCTTCTACTCTTGCAGTTATGTGAAATTATTACTACACATCTTGTATCCCTATGGTTCATATTCCTCTCTCTATTGCTGTCATATACGCCAGTCCTAATAATTTTCATCAGTGTATTTGGCCAGCAGTGGCAAAATAAAACACTGGTGCAACTTTTGTGTTTGTTGATTTTAAGCATTCATAGTTTTAGAATTAGGCTAAGGTAGTGTTTGTTGTCTTGGTAATATTACACAAAGTTTTGTCAGTATGGGAGGTAGTCATGTTGAGTCTTGTTTTTATTCTTCACTTAAAAAATAGAAACTAAAAATTGTGTCTATAAAAACAAGTGCTTTAAGGAAATATTCTGCAGATATGATTTTCATGGCCATATTATGCACTATTACTGGATAGATTTTTACTAAATTATGAAATGGTAAAATGAATTTAGGAAAAGAAACCCCTTGTGAATATGCTGCAGTTTAAAAATAAAGGTTTCCTTTTACTAATTCCAAAGCTGGCTTCTGCTACATGCATCAGTGGGAAATAATTTATCTCACTGAAATCAGTGCAAGTCACTTCCACACGACACATTTAGGCTTCAAGTACCAATGAAGTTACAAAATGACCTTTACCACAAAGGACCAAGATCAAGCAGGTGAATTTCCTCATTAAGGCACAGATTAATGTAAGCAGACTTTTATGAAGACTGCAAACAAGTTAAATAGGCACGTCATCTAGAGTCATTTTCCTGCCATGTGTAGTATGTGACCAAACAGCAACAAAATCTGTCTAATCACTTTCTTCCTGCATAGAAAGGTTGACTGGAGTAAATCAGTCCATGTTAAAAGATACTATGATTTTGCAGAATTGAATTTGAATTTCATTCCTTTTGCAGCATTTTTTTAAAAAAATGAGACGCAGAAGCAGCGACATATAAAAATAGTTATATATATATATGTTTCCAGCGTAAGCTTTCTTCTCATTATGAAAATAGCTGGCACATATGTGTGTGTGGAGATTCTTATTGGGACCACAGTGAAAACAAAGGGTTAAACCTTACCCTCCCCCATTCCATGGTCCTGATCTGTCTCCCTTGCTCTCACCACTACCTATTGGTTAAAGTAAAGAAAACACAATAGGGAACCAAACTATATAAGAAACATCACATCTTGGTTGGCCCTGAATAAATCAAAAGCAGATGTCCTGTTTCTTAGCCCTTTTTACAATGCGTATCCGGATTATGAACAATTTTGCATCAAATGCAGCATTGCATAGCTTAGGTTGTTTAAATAAACAAAATGGCTTTTGAACAAGCACCTGCAGTCCAGAATCATTAGTGTTCCTATTGAAAGTTATGTTCCTTTATATCTACATTTACATGTAATCGTGGTTTCAGAATTATTGCATGACTTATGAGGGCTCCCAACACATCTTTGATTTTAGTGCTTATGTGTATATAAATAATAGTGTCTCTTAAAAATATAAATTGAAAACATACAGTATATAAATATTACATTCAAGGATCTGGAAAATCGCTTCCATCGTAGATCACTGGGCGCTGAACAGATAAGTGGTAAAAGACGTTTTTTGAGATAAACCTGTTGGGAAAAAGCAACAGCCGAAACATTAGCTGAGCCTAAACTGTGTGCATGTGTATGCAGATGAAGAAAGTGTATACCTATGAGCATGCTCAAACTTGACGAGGCATCTAGTGAGAGGAAGCAATGCATTTTGGGAGGAACAGTGTGAGGATACCAGGTTGCTTTCTATTATGCTCTGTCAACTAATGCAGATGGAAGATAGTAGGGTTGCTTACAAGGACAGTGCATACATGTGCTAGGTGTGGAAAGTCAAGTTTAAAGTGGGCTCTATTTGTGAAATAAAAAAGAAGAAGCCAGACTGCCCAATTTGGCCCCCGTGGCAGTTTTTGGCTGGCCACCCCCACCCTGCAGTCACTCACCTGATGTCATATCATGATGTCATGAGTGCACTCCTGATTGTCCCTTTGCAGTGGGACATGCATTTGGCACTGTTTAAAATCTGGTGCTGAAATGCAGGCGCCACTGAGATTGGTTCCACTCAGGAGTGCCGTGATCCAATTCCTGCTGAAAGGTGTGGGGATTGCATTCAGCACTGAATTTGAACCACAAGGCTTCAGAGAGAATAAGGAGCATGCCTTTTGCATCCCCTTCAGAAACAGAACACACAAAATGCTACAAATGGCAGCTCATTCCACTTCACCTACTCCAGCTGCACCTACCTAGAAAAAGTGTTGTCAAATATGAGGATGTAGATACCAGTATTTCTGACTTTCACCTGCCCTCTGATGGTTTCCTTATGGGAATTGCACCGGATCATGGGTATAAGAACCTGCAAGAGAAACACCAGAACAAAATTTGTCTACAGGAACTTTGCCATGGTCAAATGAATAAAGATCTCTTTAAAAGGCATGGTTTGTATCAATTAAGTTAATAATTAACAGATTATGTGTATATTTTGCAGCAACTTGATAAAGGAAGTCTTTTGAGGCCTTTGAATGGAGGGAACCCCTACCTCTAGATGGTTTATGAAAAAGTTAAAAAGCTTTTTGAAAGTCCACGTACGCTATGCCAGTTGCTTCACCTCTATCTGTTAACACTATCAAAGAACTAACAGGTTCATAAGACCTGTCTCATGTTCCAGCAAGGCTTGTTTTTCTATATGCTTGGTTATTTTACATTTAACAATACTTCCCACCAGTTTTCCTGGGACAGAAGTTAAGCTAACCAGCTTGTAACTTCCAGGACTGTCCCTCTCCCCCAGTTCCCATTGTAAAAATTGCTGTTACATTGGCTACATTTTAGTTATGAAAGCTGATCTGAGGGGCAAGTTACATATTTTTGTTAGAAGATCAGCAATTTCACATTTGAGTTCACTCTAGGGTGGACATCACCCCTATGAAGAAGTTGCCTTACTTTACACTGATCCAGAGGAGAATCTTCTGATTCTTGGTATACCACGCTGAACGATATGCTTTTGGGGTCTGATGAAAATACCCAACTTATTGTAAGGCCACTTTCCTTCACAGTGATGGGAATAACGCTGTAAGTATTTGACTTAATGAACAGTTCTCTGTTAGCTTCTCCAAACTTTAGAATTTCCTCCACGGTTAGAGGCAGTCTTAGCCTGAAGAAAACAAAAGAACACATGACAGAACTGTATCTGATTTGATGACGCACATGACACATGGGCTCTGAGTGTACATGTACTTTTTGTACATTCTTTACTGCAGAAACATTTGTCCACTGTGAATCTCAAACTCAATGCCACTTTTACAATATACAAATCTAAGGGAGCCCATTGCGTGTTTCCTTTATGTTTTCTCAGTGAGACCCACATGATGTGAAAGGAAAACATAGTTGTTCCTCATGGCCTCTGTGCAGTTACAAATACTGGGTTGCATTCAGCTTACTCAGAGCAGACTCACTGAAATTAATTGATGGGATATCCAATTCATGGGATCTATACCTCCACAGAAACTTCAGAAACTTGCAGAGTCTGTGAGCCCTGCTCCCAAAAAGGGAAACTTTGTGCTTCTGTGTGGTTCAGGTATGGGGCTAAGGCTCTTTTCTTAGATTAATTTAAAAAAAAAAAAACAACTACCACCTGAGCGACAGCAATAAGGGAACCCCCTTTAGAGTTTCAGATTTTTTCACCTCAGAATATTTTTTTTACCTCATATCCAATTCATCCCTCCGTTGGCTTTTTCTTCAAAAAGAGAAAGAAATAGAAAGGAAAGGGGACTCCATGCAGCCAAAATCTGTGACACAAATGTGAGCTTTGCTCACCTACTTGGAGTGAACTCCACTGAACTCAATGTGGCTTACGTTTGAGCAGAATGTATAGGACTGCACCGTTGATTTTTTAAAAAAATAATTAAAGACTAAACAATGGATTTTGCTTACATCAGTTCTCCTGACTTCAGCAAGCATATCTCTGCATCCTGGGCCATTTGCAAGTCGTCAGTCTCATCAAAAGTTGAGGAATTATAGGTGCTGTTTCTGAGGCAAAGGGATAAAGGAGATCATTAAACATTCTTCAAAATGGTACAGAGCAATCTTTAATGTTTATTTAAAATATTTATGCCCGGACTCAAATATGCAGTAGATTACAATACATATTTTCAAAGCACAAAACCAAGTTGAATTAAAAATGTATCAAATGACAAACCTAAAAAAAACAAGAAAATGGCAATAGCAGAATGTATCAACAGTTGGGCCTCTCTAAGGAGGAAATTCCATAGCTCCAAAATATATCCAGCTTTCACAATTGAATTTTATGACTTTCTTAAACTGACCTAGACCCCATCTGGTAGAAAGGATGGCTAGAACTCTACAGTACAATCCTACTATACATGTCTACTGAAAAGTAGGTCCACTGAATCCAGTGTAGTTTACTCCCACATGTATAGGATTGCACCCATAAAGACAGTGGATCAAACCAAAGTATATTTGTTAGCTAGACTACAGGGCTGACTAGTTTCTTTGGGGAAATCCTAATGAAAGGAAATAAGCAGTAAAACCTCCCTCCCAAAGAGCAGTTTATTCATCAGTAATTGTTGCAGCCTGGATCAACAGAATACAATAACGGTCTGAATTTGCAAAAAGGAAGTGTTCAGTTTAAAGGCACAGGAAGCCAGAAACACCTTAATAGGGCTTTTCCACACTGGAAAAACTGATGCTGCAATCCATCCCCACTCCACCCCTCTCCCACACACACTGTGTGGAAGCACCCTGATAAAATTTCACTATAGTAATGCAAACTCCTTAATTAACACTGCATAAAACATACTCTCATAGACAAAAAACCATGGAGTCTAGTGCTAAGACTAAATTATTTTTTTGCAACACACAGTTGATCTATATTGGCTGTGTTACTAATAGGAAGGAACATGATTTGTTAGTTCCAGGAATACTGTACACTTTGCATAGGACAACTTGAGTTTTTCTGATATCCCATAAAAGCTTCTTATCGCAAAGAGGCCACAGGCACTTACAGTGTGGTGGTAATTTGTGTTGGTTCTTGTCCACCAGTGTCTGCAGTAATCAAACTATTGTGTTTGGTCACTACAATTTTGAATATTCGTAAGAATGTTTGTGAAATAAATCCATTTCTGGGGCGGGGCGAGAACATTGCATGAAACAATCCACTTCAATAGATTTTTACCCATTTGACTTAAAAAGCAGATTAGCTGTAGCATCACTAGATGGCAGTGGATTACTAAGGTGCCTTAGTTTGCACACTGATTTTCACACATTTCTTGCTCTTAGATGGCTAGTTCCTCTGAGGCAGTTTATACAATGTGGAACCAATTCTGGCTCCCAATCACATCTCCCTTGTGTGTTCCTGAATGTTTGGGGATGAATATCTCCCCATCACCATTTGTTTGCTGCGACATATGCCCTCACAAGGCTGCAGAACCCACACAGTCCACCTGTGCACAAAATAATCTTCATTAAAATCTTTGATAAACTAGGCTTTCTGGTTCTAACGAAAAACAGACTCCTTCAAGACAGTCAATGTATCTTGTTGCATGGCACTTTAAATAGCTGTCAGAACAGCTTCACATAGATGAACTGGTCCATTTACAAATGAAGCCCACACTGCAACCTATTCTACAAACTACAGTAAAATGCTTTCTTCAAGCCTAATTTTGGCAGGGGGAGTGGATCCTGGCAGGGGGGAAAAGACCTCTATGAGCAAACACATACCTGTGGGAATTTTGGGGGCTTTAATGACTTCGCTGTGGTCCTAATCTGGATCACATACCCACACCCCGTGCTAGCAGTTTCTATAGGAGAAAGCTCCCATTGAATGGGAGATGATTTTTACATGCAGGTTGCCAGCACAGGGGCTACCCAATCTGGATTGGGACCCTCACATGGGATAAAGGATTAAAGTTTTCTGCCCTCATGCTTGAGCACTGATTTACACCCTTTGGGAAATACTGCTCTATATAATCTCTGGATGTGCAAAGATTCAGTGAGTATTTGATATTGAGCATCAGCATCAAAGTGCAAGTAGATAAATCGGTACCACTCCGGCGGGAAGGTAAACGGCGTTTCCGCACGCTGCTCTGGTTCGCCAGAAGCGGCTTAGTCATGCTGGCCACATGACCCAGAAGCTGTACGCCAGCTCCCTCGGCCAATAAAGCGAGATGAGTGCCGCAACCCCAGAGTCGGCCACGACTGGACCTAATGGTCAGGGGTCCCTTTACCTTTACCATCAGCATTTGCTATCTGTAAAGAATGCAGTAGCAGTCAATGTTTGACAGCTAGTTTGCAGTGCACTCACATTTTCACATGTAGCTGGCATGTCAGTACATGACAGCTGACATGAGTCAATTTTTGGCAATATTTCCCTCTGTCTGCCTTAATCAGATAATCTGCATGATGTACTCATACTGTGCTTGATACTGAAAGATCTTTGGGGAATGAGTAAGGCAGGGATGCGGGTGGTGCTGTGGTCTAAACCACTGAGCGTCTTGGGCTTGCTAATCAGAAGGTTGGCGGTTCGAATCCCCATGACGGGATGAGCTCCCATTGCTCTGTCCCAGCTCCTGCCAACCTAGCAATTCGAAAGCATGCCAGTGCAAGTAGATAAATAGGTACGGCTGCGACGGGAAGGTAAACGGCGTTTCCGTGCACTCTGGTTTCTGTCACAGTGTTCCATTGTGCCAGTAGCAGTTTAGTCATGCTGGCCATATGACCTGGAAAACTGTCTGTGGACAAACGCTGGCTCCCTTGGCCTGAAAGCGAGATGAGCGCCGCAACCCCATAGTTGCCTTTGACTGGGCTTAACTGTTCAGGGGTCCTTTACCCCCCCCTTTTTTTTACTAGTAAGGCCTTCAAGGTATCTGAACACTTTTTAGTCATTTTGCACACCTTAGCTAAAAAAAGCAAGACTTAAACAATTTAGAAGAACAGATAACAATCATCTTAGTCTGTGGGTTTTTTGTGGCTTTTACATTTAAAAAACCAGCCGTGTCAAAGGAAACAGATCAAATGTGATATGTTTCACTGCAGAAAAGTAGGTCAGCACTATGGTTTATCTTAGGCCTAATCCTGCTTGAGGTAGCAAACCTTTGTCTGGGCTGTATAACTTTAGAGTTCAAACAGCTTGGAATAACTGAATGCTGCTCTATACAAAAATAGGTTTTGATGCATTTCTTCATCATGTCTTTAATACACAGGCAACTCCCAATTTATGTGGGGGTTATGTTCCGAGGTACTGCATGTGTGAGGGAAATCACATATATTTGAAAAACCATTGGAAAAGCCTGCAAACACCCTATAAATATCTGGAAACCCCTGAAAACCCCTTAAAAAAACAGCAGCAGTTACCAGATGCCAAACTCCACATACCCTCCCACATTTCTCTGATAAATAGGGAAGTCCTATTCCATAATAATCATCATAATAATTCTATTATTAATATCCTGCCCATCTGACTGGGTTGCCCCAGTCACTCTGGGTGGCTTCCAACATATATAAAAACATTAAAAAACATTGCAAAAACTTTCCCTATACAGGGCTGCTTTCAGATGCCTTCTGAAGGTGCCTTCTAAAGGTTGTATAGTTACTTATCTCCTTGGCTCAGGAGTCGCATAACTCCACACCCTCCAACATGAAAATAGGGACCCCCTAAGTAAAAGTGGGGCATTCCGGAATAAAATCAGAAACCAGGACAGCATCTGTAAATCCAGGACCGTCCCTGGAAAATAGGGGCACTATGGGGGGGAGTCTGCTCCACCCTCTAAACCTCCTTGCTCAAACGTCAACTCTCCATAGGCCTCAATGGTCAGTGCAAGGGCTGGGATTGCACTTGCAAAGGTTCATGGGATTGTTAGGCGTTGTTTTCCCACATTTTTTTTTGCCCCTTCTGGGCTCTACTAGGGCCATTTTTGCAATTTTAAAATTCACTCCCAGGTTCGGCACAATCAGGCATCAAGTTGACGTGCGTAAATGGGGAGTTGTGGGACGTGGGTGGCACTGTGGGTTAAACCACAGAGCCTAGGACTTGCCGATCAGAAGGTCGGCGGTTCGAATCCCCGTGACGGGGTGAGCTCCCGTTGCTTGGTCCCTGCTCCTGCCAACCTAGCAGTTCGAAAGCACGTCAAAGTGCAAGTAGATAAATAGGTACCACTCCGGCGGGAAGGTAAACGGCGTTTCCGTGCATTGCTCTGGTTTGCCAGAAGCAGCTTAGTCATGCTGGCCACATGACCCGGAAGCTGTACGCTGGCTCCCTCGGCCGATAAAGCGAGATGAGCGCCGCAGCCCCAGAGTTGGTCACGACTGGACCTAACTGTCAGGGGTCCCTTTACCTTTACCTTTGGGGAGTTGCCTCTACCGCTTTTTCCATCAGAAAGAATCAAAGAAAGTGTGTATAAGACTGCACTGCTAGCCATTACACTACAACAGCTCTCGTACTGCATGGACAAAGACGACTGGGTAGTGTAAGCATGCAGCCTTGCCCCTAAAATAAGGAGAAGACAAAATCAACAGGGACAAAAGTGATTTTAACAACTTGCGCCAGGCTGATCTCAGCGCCTTTTGAGCAGAAAGATGGTTCATCAGGAGCAAACACCTCAACGAATGCTTCAAGAGGTAGCTGAAAGTCCTTTAAAGCCTGATCCAGTCATTTTGAGGAGCAGGAAACACTGGAATCCTTTTCAAAAGACCAATGAAAACATAACCAACAATACATTAACTTGTGCCAAAACAAATCCCTAAAACACGCCAGCATTTTGAAAGCAAGCTACATGCAGTTATATTTTTGTGGTGTCTGGAGAGTCATAAAAAGATCGTAGATTATTATTATTTAGATCAAAGCAGGGTGGAGGATCCCTAAAGGACCAGGGAACGAATGGTAAGTGGTGTGGGACAGGGTGTTTAACCAATGTTATTTTCCCAATCTTATCCCCACCCATCTCAAAAAAAACCCCCTGCTATTTGCTCTGCTGAGAAAAACCTGTGGGACAAATAGTAACCCTGCCAGGTGGAGATTTAAACAGGAAAACCTGCCTGGGAATAAAGCGTTAAACATTTCAATTTTCCTGTGGTGCTTTCCCAACTCTGTTTAGGTTCTCTCACAGGCTTTGATCTTATAAATTCATCCACCACCACCCCACAAAAAACCCATTCATAAGCAAGTCCACAGGATATCTTTTTCATCCAACCATGTGCATCATGTAGTTCAGTTTTCCATTACATTGAAAAGGATGTGATAAGTTATCTCTCTTATCAGTCTATCTATCATGTACAGCTACAGTTTTCCTACAATATATATTGTTTCAGCCACATATGTACCATAAACAACTCTGTGATCTTTTTCTGCTGAGAAGCAGTATAGACTGTAAATCCTTGGAATAAAATAAATAATAAGTACTGAGCATACATTACAGGGATCTTGCCTCAGCTCCTACATGCTGTCATCATAAAACAATGACTGCCTCTTTCATGCGTTCATGAGTAAATGCAGTTTACAGATGGATAGCTCTTCTGAAAGGGCCCTTACACGCTTGTACCTGAATGCTAAATGGCATGGCTGTAATCTCTACTGAATGGAGAGAGAATTAAAGGTAAAGGGACCCCTGACCATTAGGTCCAGTCGTGACCGACTCTGGGATTGCGGCGCTCATCTTGCTTTATTGGCCGAGGGAGCTGGCGTACAGTCATGTGGCCAGCATGACTAAACCACTTCTGGCGAACCAGAGCAGCGCACGGAAACGCTGTTTACCTTCCCGCCGGAGTGGTACCTATTTACCTACTTGCACTGGCATGCTTTCGAACTGCTAGGTTGGCAGGAGCAGGGACCGAGCAACGGGAGCTCACCCTGTCGTCACGGGGATTCAAACCACCGACCTTCTGATCGGCAAGTCCTAGGCTCTGTGGTTTAACCCACAGCGCCACCCATGTCCCTTTATTCATTCAGCTGTACCTTTATTCATTCATTTATTTACCGTATTTTTCGCTCTATAGGACGCACTTTTTCCCCTCCAAAAATTAAGGGGAAATGTGTGTGCGTCCTATAGAGTGAATGCAGGCTGCGCAGCTAAGCCCAAAGCCAGAACAGGGAGAAGGAGCGCCGCACAGTGCTCCGTCTCGCTGTTCTAGCTTGGGGTTAGCTGCGCAAAGCCTCCGCAGGGCAGTGGGGTGAAGGCACCCTGCTGCCCTGCGGAGGCTTCAATGGCCGTCCCTGAAGCCAGAACAGAGAGGCGGAGCGCTGCGCAGCGCTCCGTCTCACTGTTCTAGCTTGGGGATGGCTGCGCAAAGTAGCTAGGCTCACACTTCAGGAAAAGCCAGTGTGAGGAAGTTCTAAGCAAGCGCTGAGAACCTGACGCAGTTGACACTTTCAGGATGGCGAAATATTGCGCTGCTTCATGTAAAACTTGCCGGGGGCTAATTTGAGCAAACTCATAATTTTATCCTCTACGTCTGGCATTCTACAGCACTAGTAATTTTATTGCTACAGTTCTCTATTTTGTTTGGTATTATTTTGCATTTTTTTTTTATATTTGCGAAGAGTTTCTTTCTGAATACAGCTCACTGACTGCAATAAAGAGACAGAGGGAGGCAGCCACCTCAGGCAGGTGATTTTGGGTGTCATGAAAGGGCAGCAGATGCTTAGTTATTTATTATTTTATTTTTACTGCCAGGCAGGCAGTGTGATTTTTATTTTTATTTTGCCTCAGGTGCCAAAGTAACATCAACTGACCATGCACTGGTCAGCCCTGGTTGCACATATTTTGGGATATATATCTACATATTAGCTTTATTTTTACCCCTAGCCTGGCAGCATAGGCAACACTCTCTCTTCTACCCTGCTTTGTGGTTTTGCTTGATGTATAAAACGAAGAAATCACTGAAAGGAAACTCCAGAGGCCGCAGCTCTAATAAATACCCATATCCACCACTACCTCGAGCTGACATCTGAATTTGAGTCGCATCTCTTGCACTGACTGCTGCAAGGTATGTAGTTATCTCCTCTTGCCTCAGACGGAAAGCTATCCCATCTTTGTAAACATTAGGTTGTGGCGGGGCCCAGTTGGTTCCTCTAGTAAGCCCCTTGAAAGCTAACTTAAGTAGCTTTCAAGTTAGAAATAGGTTAATTTTCTTTACCAAGAGGTTTTGCTGTAAAAAAATATGTTTATCTTATATACTCAAACAGAGTCAGGTTAAGACAATAGGGCACTTGAACCATCTTCTGGGGCATATATTATTATTCGAGTTTTCCCATCTACCAGAGATAGGCACAAACAATTCCAGATATTGCTGGCACATTCACTGTCATTGTTTTCAGCCTGTCAACGATATGTAACTGATTACATTTCCACCTCCTTTGCATCTGCTGGAAACCACAGGAGGGAAGAGTGGTTCTTGTGCTTGAATCCTGCTTGAAGGTTTCCCACAGGCATGTAGTTGGCCACTGTGAGAACAGGATGTTGGAATAGATGGGCCGTTGGGCTGATCCAGAAGGCTCTTCTTATGTTTCCTTTGCATTGAAATGAATGGGGTGGAATAATGTAATGGCTTTGTGCAAATTATATAAGTTATGTCCTTTTGCCACAATGAACAGGGAGACAAATAATGTTGTTTTTGGCAAAAAGATGAACTGCAGCAAAATGGAAACAGTGTTGCATGCAGCAAATACAGAGTGGAATGGAAAATGATGTGTTCTTACATCCATACTCTGGAGAGCTACTTTTTGGACAGAAGATAGTCTGACCTGGTATAGGCAGCTTCCTATTAGCCATGTGACACAATCAGGAGGAACCACGACTGCACAAAACAACACAAAATTGCCACTGTTTCCCCCAAACCCCCACAAAATTCTTTCCGTGGGATTGTTTGGCTCTGCTCCATGAGATTGCTAGTTTTACTCTTTTAATATGAACATTCTTTTCTGTGGATGAGTCATATTCTAGCTCGATTTGGGAAATGCTGTTTCTTTCAGGGTCCAGGTCAACTTTGTTATCGTGAAAACACAGCTTGTGAAGTACACCCGGATTGTGAAGTACGGCTCTTTAGCTCCTTTCACTCAATACTGACATGGGATTGATGGCTGCAGCTGCCTTTTCATGAGTATACTTTCTGGTATTATTTAGTCACAGATAACTCTGTGGTTTTGCTATTACTAGTGTTTGAAAAGCAGTTTGAAAAGCACTGTGCTATGAAAGAAATGAAACTCTAAAGCCTAGTCTTGCAATGAGATCCTATCTCTGGTAATTTATTGCCTGTCATCTATACCATCAACTTCAAGAAAGTGACACACAAGTAAAGAGAAGCTAACATTGAAATGTATTCGTTTATCATTAACTCACAGGTATCCCAAATGCCTCACCAACAAATACAAATTAGAATAATTATCTGGGGCACTGTGTCACAGACCAGTTGGATGCAGAGGAATGGTGGGAGGAACCAGCTGGGGAACCCCCCAAGGGAAGAAGACTCAGAGCCTGGGGATTGGTGGTGGGGCGACAATGAGTGGTCAGAGGGAGACGACTGGGAGGAGGTGGTGTCAGAAGCTGAAGAGGCAACAGGGCTTAGTGAGCTGGGAGAGTCTGTGGCAGACAGAAGTCCAGAATCAGAGGCAGAAGCTGAAGAAGAAGGAGGGAGGCCAAGAGGGAGAGATGAGTTGGGCTGCTGAAGAGCCCCTCTTGCTGCGACAAGCTGTCCTCCCTACTGGACTCCCAGAACCAGATGAGGCAAGAAAAGGGCAGAGAAGTTGGCACAGGCTCTGATTGCTTGGGGGAAAACCCTGAAGAGGAGGGAACTTACGACAGCTGGGAGGAGGTAGGGACTTTCCATCTGGGCAACAGATCCATGGGGCAAGACCTTCCAGGGATGAGCTGCTGTTCTCATCAGGCCTGAGACTCCGCCAAGTTTGTTCAGATCTTGTCCTTGCTAATAAGGAGTTAGCTCCAACTTGCATAGTGTGATTTACTGCCAGCTCGTTCCTGACACACTACCAGTTAAATCAGGAATGTGGAACTTGTGGCCCTCCAGGTGTTGATGGACTTCAACTCTCATCAGCCCCAGCCAACGGTCAAGGGATAATGGGAGTTGCAGTCCAGCTATGTCTGGAAGACCATAGAATGCCTGTTCCTCAATTAAATAGTTCCATTCAAATGGTGGGGATGGCCAGTTTACTTATTGACTTGCCACTCCTGCTTGGCAGGAGGGGATTCTGGCAACCCAGTTCCAAACCCCCTTGTGATACTGAGCCTGTGTGGCATCATATGGAGAACAGTAGCTAGAGTAAGATGTTGGGGAGTCAAAGAAAGAACAGCTAAATGTGCATGGACAATTGTGATAAAAATGAAGGGGAAGAGGCAAAGACTCCATGCAACTTAAGTGGCCTACAGTTTGACTCAATTAATTTTTTTATTTATTCCATTTAGAGCCTGCCTCTCCTCCAAGGAACTCAAGGTGGCATATGTTGTTTCCCCCCTCTGAATTTTATCTTCACAACCCTGTGAGTTAGGTAAGACCGAGAGATACTGAGTAGTCCAAGAACACCAGTGAGCTTTGGGGCTGAGTGGGGATTTGAACCCAAGTAATGTACCTTGGTCCAGTCCAATACTTGATCCCCAGTAGATTAAGCATGCTGCCCCAAGAATTTTATTATCAGTGCAGTGTATGTTCTGCAATTTTGCACCGGTGCTGTGCAAGATCATAATATGGAATCATGTGCAGAATTCAGGATCCTAAGAAGCTCTGCATGTTTGTTTGTTTTTTTAAAAAAAATAGGTTTCTAGCCTTTATGACTTCAAAGAGATTTTAAAAGGATACTGGCTATGACTGACAAAATCTAAACAACAGGGAAATGGGATGCATGGGTGGGAGTTCCAGCTCACAAAAGGCAGAATTTCTGTTCCTTGCATATCAGTGATTTCTCCCTGAGGCTGCTGGCAGTACATTTTGAAAAATAAGCAGTATGTACAAATGTGCTTAGGGACACGGGTGGCACTGTGGGTTAAACCACAGAGCCTAGGGCTTGTCGATCAGAAGGTCGGCGGTTCGAATCCCCACAACGGGGTGAACTCCTGTTGCTTGGTCCCTGCTCCTGCCAACCTAGCAGTTCGAAAGCACGTCAAAGTGCAAGTAGATAAATAGGTACTGCTCCGGCGGGAAGGTAAATGGCGTTTCCATGCGCTGCTCTGGTTCGCCAGAAGTGGCTTAGTCATGCTGGCCACATGACCCGGAAGCTGTACGCCGGCTCCCTCGGCCAATAAAGCGAGATGAGCTCCGCAACCTCAGAGTCGGCCACGACTGGACCTAATGGTCAGGGGTCCCTTCACCTTTACCTTTACAAATGTGCATACTTTATACAGTCTTGCTTGGATGTGGGTTTCATTGGTGTATAATTATGGCTGGGTCTTAAAAAGTTTTTAGTGCAGAATGATGTTCATTAATCCCTGCCCACCTGTCAAAATCCTTTGTGCAACTTTGCAAGTTTGCCTCCTGCTCTCTCTGTAAACTCCTAATCTCAGAGGTTTAAAAGGGGAGTGTGGGAAGGCTGGCAGAGGCTTTAAGATAGTCCCTGTGCTCCTGTTTCAGACTGAAATGGCAGTGTGGGGACTGCCTTAAAGCCATTTGCAAAAGTGCTCTTTGAAACAGACCTTTTCACCTTTAAATGAGAAGAGTGGCTTCTGCTTCAAACAGTGCTTTTGCAAAACACTTTAAAGCAGCCTTGGAGACAGAAATGGAAGCATGGGGGCTGCCTTCACGTCCTTTGCAAAAGTATTGTTCGAAGCAGCTCACATTTCTGTGTTGGTGACAGCAGGGTGGGTGGGTGAGACTGCTCTTCCCCCCACCCACAATACCACTGATGCCACAACCTGCTTGCTCAAATAAAAAGAATGAGTTGCTTCAAACAGCGTTTCTGCAAAAGGCTTTGATCCCTGCTCATCAATGATGTCCACAGACTAGAGGTTCCTCACTCCTGGTTTACATGATCACTTTTCTTGGGATGGAAGAGATTTTTTAAAATCCCCCTATCTTGCCAGGTCTTGCGGCCTTCATAAATTAATTTAAAATTTTGAATTTAGGCCTTGAACAAGTATATTACAAAACAGAGGTTTAAAGCAGCTCAGGGGCTGCTACCTCAAGATAACCAGAGTGTGGAAAACACGCTGTCTATCGGAATCTTACTGTTGTTGCTAATGACGGTTTTCAATAAACTGTGCACAATGCTTAATACAGTGGTACCTTGGTTCTCAAACACCTTGTTACTCAAACAACTAGGAACCCAAACACTGCAAACCTGGAAGTGTTCCAGTTTGCAAACTTTTTTTGGAAGCCAAATGTGCTCTGTTTTGAGTGTTACGCTTCCGATTTGAGTACCACACTTTCATTTTGAGTGTTAGGCTGAGGTCTGTCTGTTCTTGCTATTTATTTTGTGTTTTTGCAACTCTCTTTTTTGTTTTTGTGACTGTGTGGAACCCAGTTCAGCTATTGATTGATTGATTGATTGTGTGTGTGACTGCAGTTTATTGCTTTCACTTTAAGGATCCATGGTCTCGTTAGATAGTAAAATTTATTTTAAATTGTTGTTTTAAGGGTTGTTTTTAAAAGTCTGGAACAGATTAATCCATTTTGCATTACTTTCTATGGGAAAGCGTGCCTTGGTTTTGGAACGCTTTGGTTTTGGAACAGACTTTCAGAATGGATTAAGTTTGAGAACCAAAGGACCACTGTACAAATACTTCCAAGAGTCAGAAACTCAGCCCAAGCAAAACTGGCTTGAATCTACAATCTACATCTTATGTCTCAAAAGTTAGCTTACATGGGCTTCCTCCCCACTCAGTGGTAGATAAGGCAAACACAACCGTAGATGGGGGTATATGCAGTACATAATCAAGGCTTATATCGTGTCCCTTGTCAATGATTATGTGGTTTCATCACAGAGCAAGTGAAGTTTAAGAGTTTTGCAGCAATGTAGAGAGACATTACAATCCACCTACTGAGACAATTTTCAAATGTGTATGTTTTACAGGTATTTGAGAAAGCAGGCTACATGGCTACCGATGATGATTATTTTGCTGAATACCCCAACACCACATTTCAGAACGATGAAAGCGCACACAAGACGTTTACAGCGTTTAGCAGTGTCTTCCTGGTCTGCATGTATTCATTTGCCTGTATCTTTGGAGTCTCAGGGAACACTTTGGTTCTCATCATTTTTATCTTCTATGAAAAAGTAAAGGTGTTGACGGATGTATTTCTGGTGAGCTTGGCTGTAGCTGACTTGTGCTTTCTTTGCACATTGCCATTCTGGGCTTATTCTGCTGCTAAGGAGTGGATCTTTTACACTTTGCCGTGTCAAATCATCCGAGGCCTCTACACCTTGAATCTGTATGGTTCCATGCTAACCCTCACCTGCTTAACCATTGACAGGTATTTTGCTATCGTCCAAGCCACCAAAGCACACATCAGCCAAGCCAAAAGAATAGTCTGGGGTAAAACGGTTTGCATTTTGGTTTGGGTGCTTTCATTGCTATTTGCTTTGCCACAGTTTTTATTTAGCACGCAGAAGGAGTATAGCAAAAAGGTATGCATTGCAGACTACCCTTCAAATTCTTTGCAGATGCTCACTGAAGCAATTCAAATGACTCTTGGATACTTCTGCCCTATGCTGGTCATGGTTCTTTGCTACTCAATCATCACAAAAACTTTACTCTACGCGAAGGGCTTCCGCAAGCAGAAATCCTTAAAAATAATATTTGCCATTGTTGTGGTGTTCATTTTTACACAGACGCCCTATAACATCTTGAAACTCATTCGTGCTGCGGACCAGAGTGTCATGATGGACAACGGATTCCGGTTTGAATATGCTTTGATCGTAACGGAAGCCATTGCTTATTTCCACAGTTGCCTCAACCCTGTTCTCTATTTCTTTATCGGTTTGAAGTTTAGGAGGAACCTGGTAAAAATCCTTGAAAAGCTTGGATGTGCTAAACATGAACAAACCAGGAAGCCATGCCAAACTACGGATGATGATTGCTCAAAATCCTGCACCGCCACACAGAACGCAGAGGAAACAAGCATGTATCCATTGTAAGAGGATCTTGAAGAGCATCTCTTTTGTTGAGCTTCAGTTTTAGTCACCCTAGGCATTTGTGCGAGCAAAAGCAACAGGCAGAATCTCCTCAACATAGCTATCCTGTTTGTAAAGTTGGTGAAAGCTTCCCTACAAGCAAACTTTGCAGAATGTCATTGCCACCCTGATTTTTATGCTAGAGGCATCTTATGAGAAAAGACTCAATTGCGTTACATTTCATACAATCCTTAAAAATGTTCCAACATACCTACACTCAATCCCGCAGATAATGTATGTTTGTATGCTTGTATATTCGCAATATGTGTGTATTAATGCTTAATTATTTTAATAATAAAAACTTTTCCAAAAAAAAGAAAGAAAAAAGACTCAATTGCGTTAAGGTATACAGCAGCTATGGAAGAGATGCTGAATGGGTGTTTAGGTTAGCATTTGCCCTTATTTTAAGGAAGTGCCAGTGGGAAGCGGAACCCTCTGCTTCCCAGGAACAACATACTGGCAAGGAGATGGCCATCTTGTCCCTGGTAAAGGCTTCATTTACTCTGCCCTCTCTGTCTCTCTCCACCCCACCCCCCTTTTGCATCATGCTTATTAGATTGTGAGCCAGTGGCCCGGGACTATCTTTTAACCTCTGTACAGCGCTTAGAAAACATTGGGTACTTTATGAACGTTAAATCATGATAGTTTGCAATTCAAAGCTGGTCATGAAAGCAGTTTGAAAAAGCATGAATGGCGGACACACTTTTCAGGTGGTTGGCATGCAAGAACTTGCAAACCATGCTTTTACTTGCTTTGGCTCACCATATGAATCTTTTTTATATAAATAAATAAAGAAATAAAGATAGATGTTCATGGAGAACAAAAAACATACACAAGAACAAAAAACATACACAGTGTTTGTATCTCTTGTCTTTTCTTGTGTCAAGGAGTTCCATAGCTCAGCTTTCTCAAACTAAGAACAAACACTTGCTCTGGAGGCACTGTGACATAACCCCCTCTCCCCCAATTTTAGGTGCAACTTGCTCATCCAGAGGCTTTAAGTGTAGAGGGCTGTTTATACTGTATTTCCCCTTTCCCACTCCCCACAGAACTCTGAAAGTATTTTTACCCATCTCCTGCAATTTCTTCTTCCATTCCCCTTCCACAATTCACCTGTACCTTACCCCACCCTCCTCTCCAACTGACAACGTCTTTCAATCTTCCTCCCAGGTCCTTTTCCATTCACCTCTTCCTCCTAAAATAGCTTTTCTCTCTAATCCCCTTCCTTTCTATGCCCAGTTAATCATCGCCACCTCAGAATATTAGGCTATAATCTCTCTTCCTAATCTCCTTCAGACCCTCTCTGGCCTTTTCCCCTCAGAGCAGAGAGGCCTCTCCCCCGCCCACAAACTCCTCTGTTTCCGGGGCACCTTGACGCAGCCTAGAAGGAGTTGCTAGGGTTGGCATCAGTCTAACCAAAAGGCTACAGCATAGCTATGGGGCAGGGAAGGACAGCCAACTCATGAGGCAACAAGCAGGAAAGTGGCTTGAGGCCCACTGGTAGTCCCCAGTTCCACTATTTTGAGAAACAGTGAGTCAAAGGGAGGAAAACTTCCTGTCCCCTTCTTCCCCCACAGCTCCTTGAACTCCACCAAACACTGGGAGGCATCTCCTAGCCTTCCAGAGGTTTTTTATTCCAGGGGCCTCAAGTAGTTGCAGGGAAGGGAAGGTTACCTTCAGTGAACTTAACTTAGAATCCAAGTCATAATACAGTAGACCCACTAATTTTCCCTCCAGCCATCAGTCTGAGATTTACCCTTCTTTTGGTTTCTCTGCCCAGTTTTCCTTTTTTCCTTTTTTATTTTACTCACAAAACTCTCTCTTTTTTAACTTTATTCCAAAACCGAAAAAGAATTACAAACATCAAATTCAAAATCCAAATTCGTTTTGTAACATAACCTATTACATATTTGACTAGATACCTAATTGCTATAGACTTCCCTTTGCTATATATAAATGCAACGCAATTAGAAATATTATATTAGAAATTTTTATAAATTCCCCTATAACCCCCACTCCCCTTCACCCATTTGTGATCTCAATATTTTTTTAAACTTCTTCTATCTTGTTGTGTTGTTGAAGCTTAATAATTATTCAATTGATTCTTTTATTATTTCCTTGCTTACCCCTGCACGTTTTACACATTATCTATTAATATTCCAGTTCCAGAACCGTATTTTTTCATGTATTCCTTCACTCCACCCCACTCTTCAATTATTCTCTGTTTTGAATAGCCTCTAATGATTGCCATCAATTTTGCCATTTCCACAAACTCACAGAGCTTCCTTTGCCATTCTAACAATGATGGTATTTTCTCCCCCTTCCAATTCTTCGCGACCAATATTCTGGCCGCTGCTGTTGCATAAAGGAATACATTTTTCTTATCTCTGGGGATGTCATTAGATATTAGGCCTAACAGAAAAGCCTCTGGCTTTTTGATAAACGAAATCTTAAATAGTTTTTTCAGTTCCTCACATACCTCGTTCCAATTTTTTTTAAACAATTTTACATCCCCCACCATGTATGATAAAAGGTTGTTTTGCTCACAAAACTCATTAAGTCAGCAGTTTTGCCACTGGCATCAAAACTTTGCTCTTTTGGTGTGAGCAAGCAAAAAAGGGAAGGGAAGTTTGTGTGAGGCAGACACTTTGGGCAGGAAATGTGCGCCGACAAATGAAATGGCGAACCTGAATCCTTGTCACTCTTAACCAGAAGTGTCTGTGGCATTCTCATGCAAGCTTCCTGTCTGACATTGAGCTGGCTGCTTCACAGTGTGGAAACGAACAAACACTGCATTGCTGGGCACTTTGATACAGTTCTGATATGAGCAAGGCGGACAGGAATTATTAACAGTGTTTACAGCAGGGACTATCACTCCCATCATCCATGACCACTAGCCATGCTGGCAGAGCTGATGGGTCCAACACCTAGAGAGCCACTGGCTCCCCAACCCTGTTCATAGGATTATGAACCCTGAAGGAATCAATAATAATAATAATAATAATAATAATAATAATTTATTATTTGTACCCCACCCATCTGGCTGGGTTTCCCCAGCCACTCTGGGCAGCGTCCACAGAGACCAAAAATACACTAAAATGTCACACATTAAAAACTTCCCTGAACAGGGCTGCCTTAAGATGTCATCTGAATGTCAGGTAGTTGTTTATCTCTTTGCCATCTGAAGGGAGGGCATTCCACAGGGCGGGGACCAGTACCGAGAAGGCCCTCTGTCTGGTTCCCTGTAACCTCACTTCTCGCAATGAGGGAACCGCCAGAAGGCCCTCGGTGCTGGATCTCAGTGTCCGGGCTGAACGATGGGGGTGGAGACGCTCCTTCAGGTATACAGGACCGAGGCCATTTAGGGCTTTAAAGGTCAACACCAGCACTTTGAATTGTGCTCGGAAACGTACTGGGAGCCAATGCAGATCTCTCAGGACCAGTGTTATGTGGTCCCGGCGGCCACTCCCAGTCACCAGTCTGGCTGCCGCATTCTGGATTAATTGCAGTTTCCGGGTCACCTTCAAAGGTAGCCCCACGTAGAGCGCACTGCAGTAGTCCAAGCGGGAGATAACTAGAGCATGCACCACTCTGGCAAGACAGTCTGCAGGCAGGTAGGGTCTCAGCCTGCGTACCAGATGGAGCTGGTAGACAGCCACCCTGGACACAGAATTAACCTGCACCTCCATGGACAGCTGTGAGTCCAAAATGACTCCCAAGCTGCGCACCTGGTCCTTCAGGGGCACAGTTACCCCATTCAGGACCAGGGAGTCCCCAACACCCGCCCGCCCCCTGTCCCCCCAAACAGTACTTCAGTCTTGTCAGGATTCAACCTCAATCTGTTAGCCGCCATCCATCCTCCAACCGCCTCCAGGCACTCACAATAAGCCATACTAGTTCATACTTCTGTGGGCTATATGTTTAATTTTCCTTACGTAGGGTGAAACTAGACATTACCTTGGCAGAAGGAATGGGACTTGATTACACATGCCAATTCCTGCCTCCAAATGCCACCCCTCCCACCCCTTGCTGAGCTCTGGTCTAGTTGATGAGCCTAGCTGTGGGGAGGGAAACCTATAAAACTGGGATTGCTAACCTTGACCGGGCCCATGGGCATATTTGCAAACTGTGGACACTGCTGTGGACACCAAAGGCGCACTCCTCCTTGCCAGTGGTTAGACTTGAACAAGTGTGTTTTCACTTTCTTCCAAACAAAATTGGCTGGGCGATCTTCCTCAAGAGTGCAGCTGGGGTGGCAAGAGTTAACCTTCCTTTCCCAGCTACACTCTCCCATGGACAACGGAGGGCTCTTTACCAGTGCATAGCATGGGCAAGGCCACAGGGGCAGTTACTGGGGGGTGCAAAACTCTTAGGGGCACAAAATTTTAAAGGAAAAAAAAGTAGTAGTAGTAATAATAAATAAAAAACAGTGCACCCTCCCCCTCACACAGAAAATCTACGCATGTTCGCATGGGCAGACTGAGGAGAGGATTTGGGTGACGGCTGATTGCTATGGCGCCCTCTGCATGGGTTGAGCTATTGCCCCTCAGCCTATCGGATGAGCGGGGCCAAGGATACTTGCCCTGGGCACTAGAAACCCGTGCTGCGCCACTGCCCTTCACAAGCCTAATCTACTTTGGAACAGATTGTGTGTGTGTACACACACATGTGTATAAATTATGTTTACTCACAGATCGGTTATACCATGGTCCAAAGATTCTTCTTCAGTTTGGCTTTCATTGTGAACCGAGTTGTCTTCCTTTATCTGGCCCACTTCCTCATCGGTGATTATATCAAACACGGCATCATCTGTGGGTTTAGAGGCTTCATTTGTAACTGTACCACAACAAAGGACACAAAACAAGAAAGTGTTATTATGCTGCATATAAAGTAAGGCAACATAACTTCTCAGTGTTCATTATAGACTTATGGGACTTGAAGGGACATCAAACACTGCCATCTGTACCAAAGCAGACACAAGGATAGAATATGATCTGAAGACCACAGGAGATTCTTTTCCAAGAAATTTAATCCCATTTATACACAGGAAGGACTCACCCATAACTCTATGGACCAGGGACAATGGTGAGGCTAGCAGGCTTGATGGTGGTTCTTCTTGGCTTGCGTTTGATCCAGAATCAACTGAGATGGCACTTGCCTTTTTAAAGCAAGCCCGGCAACAGCGCTCCTTCTTGCCAGTATGCTCCGACACGGCATAGTTGTTGCAGCAGTAGTAGCAGAAAATGCGCCCACACATTCTAAAAATAATGAAATTTTAAAAGAGAAAAGAAAAGAGTTCTTCATGTCAAAATGAAGGCATTTAAGGGATACAATATCCAACATGCAGAAAGCGACCTTCTTCATAATATTGCCAATCTGGATTCCCTTTGAAGTCAATGGAAGAACACTGGGTTTTATCCAACATTGAGTAAATGCATTGAAATTAACAGACATGACTAATTTAGGCCCATTCATTTTGATGGGTCTACTCTGAGTGTAACGTAATTGGATGCTGAGTTAAATATACACCTGAAAGGCCAACTATATCAACCCATTCCCCAAACCAACAATCCTTTATAAAGTAATTCCTTTATATAACATTGGAGAGAGATTAATGGTGAAGCAAACCAGTGATAATTTGGATTGTCATTTTTTCCAGATTGAGATGGGGTCGAGTCTGGAAAGATCTCCATATCCACACAAACAATGCTTTTGTCCCACAGTCTTCTCAAGCAGAAACCACAAATGCATTATGAATGCCAATTAAGGTAGAATTTGCTGTAATTCCAAGTGACACTATTTACAATGGCACTATTTAGAAAAGTCACCCCTACAAACTGACCTGCAATGGTGGCGACGATTCATCCAGCCAAATTCTTTCTTACAGTCTAGGCAACAGCTTACTTCCGCATCACCAAGCCATCTTTGTGCTGCAGCGAGTTTCTGCTGGAATTCCAAAGCATCCGACTTCTGCCAAAGGGCATCCTTGTCTCTTTCAAAGGTGTGCATAAAGAACAATTCATCATCTGTGAGTTTAGGTTTTAATAATTTAACCCCAGCCCATCACAGGAAAAACAAATCTCCCCTATTAAGGCAAATATCATTTAAATACAATGGATTCTGTCAGGGAACTGCCATCGGAGCCAGGGGGAGAGGGAGGGCTCCAGAGGGATTCCGGAGAGCGTCCCGGGAGGGAGAGAAGCAGCACATCTTCTGGGGAAGGAAATCAGCGTAGCACCAGTGGAGAAGGGGGGCAGATGGGGGAATCGGCGAGGTGGCTCCATGACTCTTCGCCGGGGACCAGCGGGGAGAGCACGGGTCCTCCGCTGCCCACACCCTCCCTGCGCAGAAGGCTTCCGCGCAGGGAGACTAGGCGAAGACTAGGCATCAAAGAACTTTTGTGCTGGAAGAAGTTCAAGAAACGCCCACTGACGGATTCTGCCAGCGATTGAGGCAGCCACGGGCGAGTGGCTGTCCGGACAGAAAAGGTTCACTCAGGCAACCCAGCCAGGTGGGGCGCCGATTTACGCACGAGCAACCCCTAGAACCATTACAGATTCTTAGCTAAAATTCTGGTTGGACGCCATGCTTGTGTTTTTGCAAGCATTCCATATATGACATTGAGCAAGACCATGTGGGTGGGTACGAAAGGAAGACAGCCCATATGTGTGCACATAAACAAAACATAGCCTCTTAAGACCATTTCCCTCTACTGTTGCTGGCTATGCTTCAATCTTTCACTTTTATAAGATCTAAATAATAATACGTTATCTACTGCATTTTATCATGAAGAAAATCTGAAAGTCTGCCAGAGAACTGGAAGGAGGAGGGAGGGTGGCACCGGCAGCCACAAATAATCGCCTGGCTAGCAGATCAAGCCAACATTTGTGAACCTCTGTTTGTAAGCTTACTTAATAAAAACTCTGGCTAGGATCTGTGAAGCTGAAGGGAGAAACAGTTTGTGAAATGGTGTTGGGGTGAGGTGAGAATCCGTTATCTTAAAGTGGTTTTTTGTTTTAAACAGATGAACCACAGCCCTAGAGAGCCAGGGCCATTATGGTTCCTACAGTGAGATGGTTTTAAACGTTACAGTTTTAGTAGGAACACAGGGCATGTTAGTAACACGTACCCATAACATGTGAAGTAGACTCATAATTATGATAGAGTAATGACTACAAATGTCAAAAAGGTCGAAATCTCCCATCTTTATACAATTTCAGACCTTTGTTAACAACAATAACAACGACAACAAAAGTGCAACCGCATGCATGTTTACTTGGAATCAAGTCGCACTAGTTTCAATGGGACTTATTTCCAGGAAAGTGGGAATAAATCAGGGAGGGTAAACCTGTAAAGATGAGCAAAAACTACACACATGTATGAAAGGGAGACTTATTAAACATGCATTGCTCAAATCTCTTTAGGTCTTCTGTGTTAGATATTGTTTGGGGGGGATGTATCTCTCTGTGGTTTAAAATGTCGAGTGTGACCCACAAACCACAGGACTTAACAAGTGCTGAAGTAATTGCAAAATACGTGGTGAAGATGTATCATTAAGAAGCAAGGTGTGATGCCACTGCCGAGAGAACGTTACATTGCATAGAATCTACCACAGTTGCACAGGAAACAGAAACAAAGATGGTTCAGTTTGCAAGTAGCCAGTTCTTCTAAATGCCATCAGCAAAGTAACTGAGAACATAAATGAGTAAAGTTTCTCAGATGGGGTGCACTATTGGCCTCACCACAAACCCTGGGGTCATATTCGTGCTGGAGCTGTGTTGAGCTAGTGATACAAGCAAATTGGCCAGCGCAAAGATTTAGGAGCAGGTGGCCTTAGCTATGCTCCACCATTAGAATCGGAAACCCACAATTTTTTTTCATGAAACACTAGGGCAGTGGTGAGCCCATGGTCCTCAGAAGTTGGACCCTCCAAACCAGCCCCATCTTTCCTGGGTGATGTCAGGGGCTGGAAAGTTCAAGCTGCAGCAGTGCCGAATTTAAAAAGGGGTCACTTTTCGATGCAAAGGACAAATCAGGAGTACACTTCAGAGTGTGCTCCTGACCCTTTCCTTTGAAACTGAGTCACCAGGTGTCGTGGTGATGCTGGGTGATTGACAGAGGGCGGGCCTCGACCACCTGTCAAAATGGCCTGTGGGTTGTCTGTGGGAGCTTTGGATCCAGCCCTTTGGCTGGATCAGATCTGCGGCTCACGCACTAGGGCTTGGTTCTCCAGCTTGCATTTTCCATGGCCCAGACTGCTATTTTTCTATGGTCACTGCTAGATTTTTTGCAGAGGCTGCAAAGAGCCAGAGGTCTACTGTTCCTGCTGAATTAGTATAGATGTAACAGTAGGTATCACTTCACAATACAGTGGTACCTCTACTTACGCGCACCTCTGCTTACGTATACTTCAGGAAATGCACGTGGCAAACCCAGAAGTGTTTTTCCGGGTTTCGCCCCATGCGCATGTGCAGAAGCGCTCTACCGCACCGTGCGCATGCACAGAACAGGCACCTCCTATTGCGAAAACCTTGGAATCTGACCAGAGCTCCGGAACAGATACCGTCCACAAGCGGAGGTACCATTGTACATAGATGAGCTACCATTAGTGCAATTTTTTACTCATTTCCCCCCCTTAAATAACAACAAAAAATAGCTTCAGAGAAGCCTTAGTCTTAAGAAGATTCCTTACATATTAAAAAAAGGTAAAGGTAAAGGACCCCTAGATGTTTAAGTCCAGTCAAAGGCGACTATGGGGTTGTGGTGCTCATCTCGCTTTCAGGCTGAGGGAGATGGCGTTTGTCCACAGACAGCTTTCTGGGTCTTGTGGCCAGCATGACTAAACTGCTTCTGGCGCAACGGAATACCGTGATGGAAACCAGAGCGCATGGAAATGCCGTTTACTTTCCCACTGCAGCGGTACCTATTCATCTACTTGCACTGGCATGCTTTTGAACTGCTAGGTTGGCAGGAGCTGGGATAAAGCAATGGGAGCTCACTCCATCACGCAGATTTGAACTGCCAACCTTTGGATCGGCAAGCCCAAGAGGCTCAGTGGTTTAGATCACAGCTCCACCTGCGTCCCTTTTTCCTTACATATTAAGGATTGCACAAATGCAGTTAACTTGCACCGTTTTCGTGCAGGCATAGAGAAGCTTGAGCAGCCTCAGGACCATGGGGAGTGGAGGGGGACATTTAACTATCCTTCCCTGCAACAACCCCTCTCTGAAGCTGCTGTTCGCATTTCGAGGGGAGCACCGATTGTTGCTAAGGGAAACTTGCCCTGAAATGCAAATCACAGCTTTGGAGAGCTGATCTTCACTGGATTTTGCCAGGAAACTGAATAGTAGCTTGCATGAAGGTAGGCAATTTATGTTGATTTCCTGAGTTAGTTCCACCTTTGATATTAATGGCGAAATGACGAAGAAATGAGCACATGTATTTCCCCCCCTTCCACTGGAGTGAATGGGGGCACTGGAAGCGTGGGAGCTTCCATCGCCTGCAGAAGATCACCGGATCAGAGACACTGGCTGATCTAAAACTCCACAGGGCATTGATGTGAATGAGGAGCTCCATGCAAACAATCCACTAGCATTTGAGAAGAGCGGGGTAAGCCCCTGCTGCACAATATTTCACGCTCACACTGGAACCACATGCAGCTTTGGTTTTTAAAATTCTTTATCAAAAAATACTAAATCAAATAAATCCTACATGTGAAAGAGGTTTCAATCAACAGGTGACCACAGGTTGGGACATGAGCGCCACCTTGTGGTTTAAAGGCAAAATTGCTGCTTTCAATGTTTTTTTGAAGTCCCTCCCTCCACTGGAACTCAAGTTTCAATTATGACAAGCCAAGGAAGGGGAAATCAGACACTGCAACAGCAGTAGCCAAGGGGATACACACATATTCTCTTTGCTAACACGAAAGCAAATTGCCTGAAGGGTTTTTGGATCCCTTAACTGCTGCCTTCGACCACACAGTGGTGCCAACCCTCAATGAGGGTGCAACTTGCAGTATCTTGATAATACTTCCTATCAGAGAATACTTCCTACCAGCGCTGCTGCCACCATGTCTCCTGAGTACCTAGGGCTCAAGTAACAACTCTGGCTTTTCTAAAGGTAGAACGGTATCATATCCGTATCTTTAACAGCCTTGGGGCTGCAAGGCATTACTCAGTAACAGCGTTTCCTGCCCTGCTAGGAACTGCTGTGATCCAGCAAGTGGGTCTTCATAGTGAGTTATGGAGAAGGTCAAAAGTTTGAACCACTGCAGGCCCAAGGAGGCAAAGACCGTTCCTAAATAACATCTTACTTCCTTGGAGCTGTGGTTGAAGTATTACACTTGGGTAAGGGTTTGGATAGGGACGTGGGTGGTGCTGTGGGTTAAACCACAGAGCCTAGGACTTGCCGATCAGAAGGTCAGCGGTTCAAATCCCCGCGACGGGGTGAGCTCCCGTTGCTCGGTCCCTGCTCCTGCCAACCTAGCAGTTCGAAAGCACGGCAAAGTGCAAGTAGATAAATAGGTACCGCTCCGGCAGGAAGGTAAACGGCATTTCTGTGAGCTCCTCTGGTTCGCCAGAAGCAGCTGAGTAATGCTGGCCACATGACCTGGAAGCTGTATGCCGGCTCCCTCGGCCAATAAAGCGAGATGAGCGCCGCAACCCCAGAGTCGGCCATGACTGGACCTAATGGTCAGGGGTCCCTTTACCTTTTAAGGGTTTGGAAAGTCTGTCACTTCCAGCATTCCACAAAAGACCATAACCATGATTATCCTAATATCCTGAACACCATTTGCTAAGGAGTAAACCCAACTGAGCTCAGTAGGAGTTACTTCTGATTTTGCTTGTTTAGGCTTACACTATAATTTTTTCTTTAGTTCTGCTGCAGAACGTGCCAGGGATCAAAAGACAAAATTATTCCATCCAGGTTAGAAATATTTAACGATAAAGCTACCAACCTGAGAAGTTCAATTAACCGTTCTTCAAGGAACTGCTTTGTTCTTGTTAGGTCATCGAGTTCAGCCAGTAATTTCCTTTCGTTGCTTTCTTGGTCTGCTCTCGTCTTGCTGAGTTTCTCGCAGTAGTCTTGAATTTGCTCATTTGCTTTGTTGACTTCCATTTGAGCCCTTAAATATATATATATCTATAATCTTTAACCATTCCTGACCTCAGTCATACCTCAATTAGTACTATGATTAATGTCTTTCCCACACAGCACAGCTATATCACAACATTGTTTCTAGTTTCCCTTCATTCTCAAGAGCATATAATGAATCATTAGAACTATGGCAGGTTTTCAAAAAAAAATTAATGCTAGCCGTGGAGGAGAGAGCTTGTTTTTCATCTGGGGGGGGGGATTAATTTCCATATATTAGACTTTTTAGATCTGGAGTCTTATTCTTTGTGCTGCAAATCCCAGCTGTTGCTGTTCTGGGGTCTCCTCAAACACCAGGAGCCAGCTGTTTGTTGGTGCTTGTGGAGAGCCCTGCAGAGTCCTGACAATCAGCTGCTAGGTGGGCCTCAAAGTGCTATAACATCAGGTGTAGGGCAGGTGAGCGTGGCTTGACCAAAATGGCCTGGTGGGCCAAATGGAAATGTCTGGTGGACCTAATTAAGCCCATGGGTCGGAGGTTGCCCACCCATGCTGAAAGATAAACCGGTATTTCCATACTTTTCTGTGTATTAGACAATGTATAGATGGTATATTAAAGGTAAAGGGACCCCTGACCGTTAGGTCCAGAAGTGGCCGACTCTGGGGTTGCGGCGCTCCTCTCGCTTTATTGGCCAAGGAAGCCGGCGTACAGCTTCCGGGTCATGTGGCCAGCATGACTAAGCCGCTTCTGGCAAACCAGAGCAGCGCACGGAAACACCGTTTACCTTCCCGCTGGAGCGGTACCTATTTATCTACTTGCACTTGGACTTGCTTTCGAACTACTAGGTTGGCAGGAGCAGGGACCGAGCAACGGGAGCTCACCCCGTCGCGGGGATTTGAACCGCCGACCTTCTGATTGGCAAGTCCTAGGCTCTGTGGTTTAACCCACAGCACCACCCGCGTCCCTTAGATGGTATATTACACCAGTGAAATTAGCTAAAATGTATAAGACAAATAATAAATGTTGGAAATGTAAAGAAAAAGAAGGAATATTTTATCATATGTGGTGGGAATGTAAAAAAGTAAAGAACCTCTGGGAAATGATATATAATGAGATGAAAAAGATGTTGAAATATACATTTTTTAAAAAACCAGAAGTATTTTTACTTGGTATTATAGGTCAGGACATTAACAGTCAAGATGTTAAATTGTTTTTATATGCAACAACTGCGGCAAGAGTATTGTTAGCCCAGAAATGGAAACAAGGAGAAATTCCGACGAAAGAAGAATGGCAGACGAAATTAATGGACTACGCAGAATTAGACAAAATGACAGGAAGGATTCGAAACCTGAGGGACCAGAGATTTACAGAAGATTGGAAGAAGTATATGAATTATTTGAAGAGCAACTGTATTGAACAAATTACGCTAGTAGGACTACAAGAAGTTTTGTAAGGAGAAATACATGAAGTGTTACAAAGTAGAAAAAGATAGAGACATTGGTTATGAGTTTGAAATGTAATAGGGAAGGTAAGAAATGCATACTGAGAGATTAGATTGGAAAGTTTTCAGACAGGATTGATGGAAGTCAAAAATTTGAATAAGATGTAAAAGTATGTTTAATTACTGTTGAGAATGATATGTTTAAAAAAACCTAATAAAAATCTATATATAAAAAAAATGACAAGGTTTTTTTAACTGTAAAAGAAGGATAAAAATTGGGGGTGGGTAGTCTTTTACATGGATAGTGATTTTTCTGGTGCTGGCGAATGGTTGCAGGCATGAGTCATAGCTTGTCAGCTGTGATTGGGTGGGAGAATGGAGTCTGCTGAGATTGCTGCTGTGGATTGGCTAGCGCTGCAGCAGTTGGGCGTGCGAATGCCGGCTGCTTTCAGCTCGCCGGCAGACGCTCTGTTGCTTCTTCTGCATGTTTGGTAGCGTTTATCAGCCGGGTGAGTGTTTTTTGGCACCCCCCCCCCGCAAATACCTGAAAAGCTTTGGGCATTCCCCCCAAAAAACTCAACAGCTTTGGGGGCAATCCTCCCCCCAAAAAAGCTGAACAACTCTTGGCCGTCTCCCCCCACTTTCTAAAATTTTAGCCCCCCAAAATAGGGATCGTGTTATACAGGGGGGCGTGTTATACACAGAAAAATACGGTAATATCCTCCTGTACCGATGATGGTGAGGTTGAGGTTAAGCAATAGCAGCTTGCCTAAGGCCACTGAGCGAATTCAGGGCAAAAAGATTTAACGGAGAACTTTCTGATTTGTAGCTTAGCCTCTAATTGGTCACTACGCTACATCAGCTCTCTTTGCAAGATTTAAAACTTTTTATATAAAAAACAACAGGATAAACAAAGTTTCTACCTTTTTAGGTCTTCTTTAAGCTGTGTCACCTCCTCATCTCTTTTTTGCTGGGCTGCTTTGTACTCTGTCACCTGATCCATGGCCAGGTCCAATTCCGTGCACAGATCTCTTTTCACAGCCTAGGAAGATGATTTTTAAAAAGGTAAATAACAAAGAGATGTATAGAAGGCTTTTCAGATTCCATTCAAAATCTTTAATAAATTTGCTAACTGAGATCTGCACGGATGTGGTTGCAGGGTATATTCAAAGTGTTAACCTTTTGTTATCACCAAAGCCTTAGAGATTTTCTAAGTAACAATTTTCCTGTATTTTCCCCAAATGGCCAGCAGAAGCTATATCTAAGTAACCACATCTCAGTAATCACCAACAGTGGAAGTAGAGATGCTGTGTAATCCAAGAGCTATTGGTAGAAAGCAAACTAATGGACACCCCATGACAGAGCAACATGTTTTTATAAGTTTTTTTTAAAAAGAATTGTTATAGTTTTATGAACTGATAAAGCAATTTTAAAAATACATTCAACACAATATAAAACGATAAAAACTATAACAATTCTTAAAGAAACACTTGTAAAAACGTTGCTTTTTGCCCTTTTAGCTGCAATCAAGTGTACAAAAAGAGTCAAAACACAATTAAAACACAAACTAAAACTCAATGGGTTGAGTTTGGAAAGCTAAAATCCAGATGGCTATATTCGTGCTGCTGTCTCTGATTTTCCAGTGTTTGGGCTCCTGTTTCAGCCAGAGGGCAAAAGGAAATCAGCTGGACCCTGGGGTGATGGCAGGGTGATAAATAATAATAATAATAATAAAATTTTATTTATATCCTGCCCTCCCCAGCCGAAGCTGGGCTCAGGGTGGCTAACAACAATAAAATAAGACAACATTTTAAAATCATTTCATTAAAAAAATTTAATTCAAATCAAATTGATGGCAACCATTGGGTAGAGTTCTGTGAGGATTGCCAAAGGAGGGAGTCAGGCTGTGCCCTGGCCAAAGGCTTGGCGGAACAGCTCTGTCTTGCAGGCCCTGCGGAAAGATGTCAAGTCCCGCAGGGCCCTAGTCTCTTGTGGCAGAGTGTTCCACCAGATCGGAGCCCGATGATGTTACAGGGTGATCTATATGCATAAGGAGATGATATGCCAAGTTCTATGCAGCTTGAAAACAGGGTTCAAGGGCATATTATTTGTTTTTAAAAAATATGTATGCAAGCACAGAACATGCTGGCTTGCATCTCTGTATCTTGGCCGTAGTTTCACCCCACCCACTTTTGCTGTATTCAGGTTCCTGTCTGTTAAGTGTCAGTGCATATTCACCATTGAAGCACACTGTCAGCCTCAGAGAGAGAGAGAGAGAGAGAGAGAGAGAGAGAGAGTTGCTTCAATGAGTTTCTTATTTCAATCAGATCATGGACCAACCTGCAGTTCTTTGAGTGCTTCCTTTGCAACATGTGCTTGCTGGCTTTGCTCTTCAACTTCCCGCTTTAATTTTTCGCAGTCTTCACTGAGAGCCTGGCAGGACCCATAAAACACACATCAGCGTTGATTATTATTATTTTTAAAGAGAAGTTATCCGTTTGTCAAAACAAAGAGTTACACGGTTCCTCCCCTTCTTAAAGCCACATGCTGTAATATTTGAGGTTAACTATCACCCTTTTTAAGTATTCAAAAGAATGTGTGCGTGTGTGTTTTAGAGGGGGTGTCAAACTGAGCTTCTAAGGATGCTCCACTGAATATGCTTTGACACCCAGGTCGCGATCAGGAACGCTAAGAAGACAAGGGTTGATAATGGGGGAGATGTTTAGACAGATTCAGCCAAAACATGCTGTGAAGTACTTTCCAGGCCTTCATGCTAAATGTGCAGACACCAGGGGTGGAGGTGGTGGGGCCAATACGCAGGGATACCTGGTGAGAGAAGCATTTCCCCTCCCCACTATTCTACATACCTCAGGCCCAGTCGCTGTGACAGCTTGGATCTGGCACAGGGATTGGGCCCAATCTGCCTACCACCCCAAATTGAACTGCTGTGAGTGGCCAGGCTACAGATGAAGCAGTAGCTCTGCCATTCCACAGAGCCGGGGCGGCGGCGGCGACAAATTTGGATTGCAAGTTTTCAATGCTTTTAATTCTTCATTTGAGGAGGATTCTCATAACCATGACCCTATAATACAACCATTAAAGGTAAAGGGACCCCATGGCCGACTCTGGGGTTGCGGCGCTCATCTCGCTTTATTGGCCGAGGGAGCCAGCGTACAGCTTCCGGGTCATGTGGCCAGCATGACTAAGCCGCTTCTGGAGAACCAGAGCAGCGCACAGAAACACCGTTTACCTTCCCGCTGGAGCGGTACCTATTTATCTACTTGCACTTTGACATGCTTTCGAACTACTAGGTGGGCAGGAGCAGGGACCGAGCAACGGGAGCTCACCCTGTCATGGGGATTTGAACCGCCGACCTTCTGATTGGCAAGTCCTAGGCTCTGTGGTTTAACCTACAGTGCCACCTGCATCCCAATACAACCATTACACAGGTCTAATCAGAAGTGCTTCTGAAATCAACAGGATGCATTCTCAGGAAAGTGTGTGCAGGGTCTTATTTTAGCAACGAGGACTTGTTTACGTTAATTTACCTTAAGTTTTGTTTGGTGGTTTATGATTTCTGTGCTCAGTTGAAACTTGACTGCAGACAGCTCCTCTTTGCTGGTCTCTTGCAGCTTCTGGTGATGCTTCTCTGCCATCTCCAGCTGAGTTTGCAGGCTAGGGAGAGCTGCATTGCAAACCCTAGACTCTTCCAGTTTGCTTTCCAATTCCTGTTTCTCCTGAGTGAGTCTTGAGAGATCAAGCTGAAGCTCCTCACGTTCTCTGGTGGCTTTATCCTTGGCAGTTCTGAGTTCCTCCATGAGCTGGGACAGTTTCTCCTCTGCTTCTGCCTTTTCAGATGTCAGACTGCAGATCTGAATGCCAAGCTCAGCCATGTCCGTGTTGGTCCTGTGGAGGAGGTCTTTGATCTCCACGTTTTCTGCATTAACTGCTTCCAAATACTGCTTGGCCTTGGACAGCTCCTCTGTGAGGCTCAGCACGTTCTCCTCCAGCTCCACCTTCTGCTGGGCTTCCTGGTCCCTCTTCTTTTGCAGCACTTCCTCTCGTTGGCGACACTGAAGCATTTCCTTCACGTGCTTTCTGTTAAGGACTTCGCCTTGCTCTTTCAGTTGCTGGGCCAGGGTCTTTTGCTCGCTCAGAACAGCCCTCCCAACATCCAACTCTTCCTGCAGCTTCTGCTGCTCTGCTGCTGCCTGACGAAGCTTGGCTTGAAGGTCCACCATTTCCTCCCGAAGTCTCAACACCTCTGCCTGGTTGAGGCGCAACTGTTCCTCCGAAACGGCCAGTCTTGAAGCCAGTTCTTTGGCTTCTCTCTCCTGACAAGATGCCTGTTCCAACTGGGCATTCTCCACAGAAGCCTTCTCAGAAACAAGGGACTCAATCACCTTTGTCTGATGGAGGCAAGTTTTTTCTGCTTTTGCCTTTTCTGCCTCCAGGGCTTCCATCTTTTTCCTGCACCTCTCCGACTGTCCTTGTAGCTCCTTGCACCGGCTCTCCAAGTCTTGTACTGCTTCCTCTTTCTCTTTGAGCTGCAACTTCAGAGATCCTTCATATTCCTTTGAGGAGGACAGGCTCTTTTCCACCTGCAGGCTATGCTCTTTGGTGCTCTGGAGCTCTGTTTGCAGCGCAGTTAAGGACTCTTTGGCAGCTTCTTCACTTTTTTTCAGTTCTTGGTAATCAGCCTGAAGGGCATCCAGCTTTTCTCCCAGAACTTGGTTTTGCCTTGTGGCATTCTGCAGGTTTTCATCCAGCAGCTTGTTCTGTCCCCGGAGTTTCTTCTCCTTTTCATCCACGGACACCACAGAATCTTCAATCTGGCTTTGGAGCTGTTTCTCGGAGGCTCTCAGTCTGGCAACCTCAGCCTCCAGAGAAGATTGAGAAGCATCCAACTCTCTTTGCTTCGCTTCTAGCTTCTGATTGGTTTGCTGCAGCTTTGCATTCTGAGACTTGAGCTTCTCATTTCCTTCAGAGATCGTTCTCAGTGAGGAGCTTTGCTCTGTGGCCTGTTCCTCCATTCTTTCTATTGTCTTTCTGAGATGCTCTCTTTCAGAAATAAGTTCTCTCTTTTGCTCTTCTAAGCTCTTCACTGTTTGACTTAGTTTTGAAAGCTGGATTTCCCTAAGCTCAAGTTGCTCCATCGTGTTTTTTACTTCTTCTTCCAATGTTGTTTTTGTAAGCGTGACCAAACCCTCAAGTTTTGTCTTCTCTTTCTTTTCCTCTTCAAGGCTTTTTTCCAAGGATTTTATAGAATCCAACAAGCCTTTCAACTGGATTTGAAGATCAGCCACCTCATGGCCCTTTGCTGTTAATGCCTTCTGAAGGTCTGCCATTTTAGTTGCCATAGTTTCCAGATCACCACAAAGTTTTTCAGATTCTTCCTTGCAGTTGACAGTGAGGTTCGTCAGTTTTGATTCAAACTCTTTCTGTGCCTCCTCCTTTAACTGGAGTTGCTCTTCTGCGATCTTAAGCAGAGAAAGGTGTTTATTATTTAACTCCTCAGCACTGGCCTTTGCCTCTTCCGCTTCATTAAGCTTCTTCAGCAAATCCTCAATCTTCAGTGCAGACTCAAACTGACTGGTGGCTTGTTGTGCCTTTTCATTCATTAGAGCATTGGCTTTGGCGACAAGCTTTTCATTCTTCTGCTCTCCTGACTGCAATTTGGCCAGAAGCTCACTGATACGGACATCCTTCGTGGACACCAAAGCCCTTGCAGCTTCCAGTTCTTTGTTCAAGAGAAGAAGCTTTGAGTCAGAATCCTTTTTCCCAGACTCCAGTTCCCCCAGCCTTGCACAGTATTCTTTTTGCTTCTCAACTGCATTCAGTTCTAATGTCTGCAGGCACTTCTGGAGGTCCTGAATGGTGTCCTGAGTGCAGTGGGAGATCTCACGCTGTTTCTCCACCTCCCCCAGCATTTTCGTTAGCCTGGAGTTCTCCTCGCTGATATTCCTGCTCTTCTCTCTTTCTGTTTGCGCTTGCTGCTTCTCAAAGTTGATGGCCGCCTTGAGCTCCTGGTTTTCCTTTTCTAGATGCTGGATCCGATCCTGCAGTTCTTTCTGCCGCAGTTCTGCCTGGTCCAGCTCCACGTGTAGCTCATCAAGGCCCTCAAGAGGCTCAGCAGTTAAAAAGCTATTCCCATTGGGGCTGGAGGGAATCTCTTGGGTCTAAGAAAATCAGAAGAAAAATGGTTTTAGTTAGAAGAAGAGATGCCTCTTTGGTATATATTGTATATTCAGCATTTGGAATCCACCTCAGATTAGTATGAAGAAGCCTCTGGCTGGGAAATCATCACAATATACAATTAAACCAGAACAGTAGGGCTATTATTTGCATCAACTTACAATGGCATGCAGCTAAATGAGGAACACAGAGTGAGTTCCTCTCAGGTGACCAATTAGAAAAATAACATCAAGTGGATTCTACCGTAATTTCCCCTTCGTATGTTCAGTCTAATGGTAAGGGGTCATTACACATAAGGAAGACTAACAGTAGCACTATTGCTGCTCTTATAAGGAAATGTTGCTGTGGCGTTTGCCTCCTAGGTGGGTCATAAGGAAAGGGTTAAATGAGTGTGATGTGATTGGGGAGAGAGAAACTGATAGGAGGAGTTAGAGTCGGTGTTGTGTGGAAGTTAGTTGAGAGTTGGGGAGTTGGAGAAGGAAGAGGGAGGATAAGTCTGTGGGTTAGTCGAGTTGTGTTGTGTTGTGTGGGAGTGAGAGGAATTGTTAGGTGGAGTCAGATAGTTAGTTGGGATAATCAGTTTGAAGTTGTTAGGGATGTATAGGACATTAAAGGAACTAAAATTTAAGTAACTGACAAGAAAAATTAACTGAAACCATAAACTTGTTCATGCCTATAAAAATAAACTTATTTGTTAATGTTAACAACTGTCTGGACTCCGTGTGCACCCAAGAGAAATGGGTTGGTGGGAGCGAAGAGGCAATCACAGTGGTGACACAGGGATCAATAGACTGTCAAACATCCGGGGACCCTGTGTGATCACCACAGTTGCACATGTAGTCATTTGTCAATATAATTACCTGCAAATAGCTGCTCACCAAACTACTCATGCTTGAAGTGCGGCTTGGAGGCCTCCACTGGTAAGCCGAGGAGCCAAATGAAGGCAATGTTCTCCTGCAAATGGAAGAGGGTTTTAATTATTTTAGAAAGTAAGAAACCGCCGCCGCCACCATGCACATATTTTGAACAGCTTCCTCTCTGAAATTATCTACTAAAAGCACATCCCTCCGTTTGCTCTGGCTTGGCATTATTACCCCCCGTTACAATGTGAGGTGCTGCTTTCTGCCCATGGACCTTCTTCCCCTCTGTTCCAACAAAACAAGAGAACTTCCTGGACTACACCATCAAAGCATCAAATTTGTACATACAATAATGGAACAGAGAGGAACTGACCCTCAAATTCTACAAAAGCTGAGCCTGAATGCTCTTCAGAAGCACGGTAATAATTTGCATTTGTGCTGCTGGTTCCAAACTGCTGGGGAAATCAGAGTTTACATGATAATTTATTCTATTTTTGTGGTGAGGTTTTAAATTGAAGTCCTTGGTGTATAGGGGCATAGAAACTGAGGGTAGATACTGATAAGGGTTCATCCCAAAGGTGCAGATTCCTTTGTGATCGACTATTTGGAGGCCTCGTGCCAATGGTGGGTGGAAATGTAGGAAAAGGTAGGCAGGGCAACGGCTACATTCTGGCCAAGTGAAAGTCAGCAGTTTCTGCACACACGCTCTGCCATCCAGGAAAGCAAAAAGCATTACTGCAGTTCAAGGACACAGCCCAGGCAGGCAAAAGCACTTGAGGAGGGAAGAGAGCAGGGCCAGTGATTACTGTGGCCTGGAGATAGCTCCAGGGGCTGAACTGAGTGTCCTCGAGAGTCACATTCAACCTGCAGACCAGAGGTTCCCATCCCTGATATAGATAAATAAGATGCAATGTGTTGTATGTGGGGCTGCCTTTGAAGACATCTTGGAAACTGCAGCTGCTGCACAATTCAGCAGCCAGGGCCTTTCCAGTGGTGGCTCCCCATTTATGGAATGCTTTCCCAGGGTGGCATGCCTAGAGTCATCATTCTCTGCCTTGGGGCACCATGCAAAAACATTCTTGGTCTTCCAGGCTTTTGCATCTTAATTTCCTGTTTTTCTTTTAGTGGGGTTAAGTTGGATCTGCTCTTTTTTAGATTATTTTATTCTTGTTTTTCCACTTTTTAAATGTTAATAATGATGTTGGTGATGATGCTGTTCCAACTTGCAGGACAATGCAATTCATAGTACTTCAATTATACCCCATGTACACAGAGCTATTTACAATGCTTATGAACTATGGCCATACACTGCAAATGGCAACGAAGAGGGACATGTTATCTCTTCCACTGGATAAAATAAATTAACATCAGCATAATGAAGCTTGAACAGATTCGCTATCTATTAATATAAGGGGGGAAATGATGGGGGAAATGTGTTGCGACCTTTATTTCCATTAAGAGGAACTTATTCACTGCCCAGGAAGCCCCTGAGAATTAATGCACCTTTTATTCAATTGTCGCAAGTCAGATGACATGAGCAGAAGATGCTATCTTGCTGCAAGAGCTGGATGCGACACACTAAGTTGTATAAATTCATAACCATGATTAAAAGAGTGTCGTTGCTGATTTAGTCATTAGGTCTAGAAGCAAATCTATTTTCTGCTGTCCTCCTAGTGGTCTCATCTGACATGACACGTTAGAAGGACTTCATAGAACATTGATGGAGCGGCAGGGTGATCAGTATAATAACCAAAGTGAAGTTTCATCCGACCCACAATTCAAATACTGAAGTTTTAATATATTCTAAAGTCCCCAAATGTTTTATTAAAGCTGTCAGATGGCAATGGTGGTGGCTCGTGAGTAACCAGGCAGGACTCTGTCTTTTACAGGTTTGATTTTGGTGCAAAACTATTTACAGTGCAGAACCACAAGTTCATGTCTGCCTCAATCGCTAGCAGAATCTGGGAGTGGTTCCTTCTGAGTCCTCCCCCAACATAAGAGCTTAGTCACCCCCAGCCGTTTCCTTACTTCTTTGTGTTTCACCCCTCTGCGCAAGGTGGGCGATGGAAGAGGCGTGTTTCCCTCCTGGCCGGCTTGGCCAGGAGTGGTGCTGAGGCTCCCTGCAGCATCCTCTAGCCCTTTCTCCTCCTTTACCCTGGAGGTGTGGCTTTCCCCACTCTTAGACTAACAAGGTGCGGTGCTGGGGCTCCCAGCAGCATCCTCTGGTCCCTTCCCCTCTTCACCACTGGAGGGGTGGCTTTCCCCACCGCAGGAAGAGGAACTGCTTTGCAAGATTTTCGGAGGTTCCCTGTATCCCAACGGCTCCCTGCCTCCCTTCCCTGTTCCGATGGCAGTCCCCTGACAAAAGCATACAAATTATAGAAATGTTTCCACCTTAGCAGCTGGTTTGTATTACCTGGCAAACGTGGGCCATGCCGAGTCTAAGTCATAGCCTCTAGACACCAGATCAAACTGAACCTCTGTGAGTTCGTAGAGGTGACCGACAATATCAGAGCTCATTTTTGAATTCAGGAAGGGACTTCTTGCATAGTACCAGTCACTAAAGAAACAAGGATTGCAGTAGGTAAGCAAAAAGCTCATATCGATAATCGTCAACAAGTTGCAAGAGAATATCAGGACTACTGCATTGTTGATTATGTATTTCCCCAAAATGCTGCGTGGTTCCATTTTCATCGCAGCCGTTCTATCACAAATGAAAGAGCTGCTCCACAGGGAATCCTTGCATGAGTCCACAGCATACAATTCTACAAAACGAGTTGAAATGAAGTCCCAGTGAAAAGGATGGAGGAGATTTCAGGTGAAATCCTAACTTCTCCCTCCACTCTGTGGAGCAGAGGGGCCACGACTGCATCCGTAACCCTTGCACTCATGGCAGAAGGGGCAGGGGCAGTATGATCAGTCCTGGATCGCACAACAGCAGTGAGACTGCCTCAGGACCAACAGATCCTGGCCTGGCTCAACCCCACCCCATCCTTGGAATGTTGTGTTTTGGGGCTTTCTATTGGCTCCCACCAGCGAGTCAGCCTCCTGCACACTGGAAGCTGGCAGGAGATCAACCAAGCCAGGACCCATCACAGGCTTAATGGAAGACATTTAGATTGTATGCAACACACTTGCTTGCACGCCCCACATATTTCACACATTCTGTTTACTTCATTCCCCTGGGTGACATTTAGGGAACGCAAAGACAGTCTTTTCCCCTTGCATCCCGCAACAATATTTGAGAGATATCAATATTCTTTTCAGTATTGACATCTTTAGTTACTAGGGGCTATAAAAATGTAATCGCAACAGATGTTTTGAAGGACATTTCACCATTGCAAAGTAACAGTGAATGTGCCCAAGATCAGCTCTTTAAAACGAGATGCAAATTTTACTCCCCCCCCACCCATTAAGAAATACCTCCCAACGACACGCTCACACCAAAAAAGATGCCCCAGTCTGTGCGATATGAAAACAACTAACAACTCTCAGTCAATTAACTGGCTAGTTAGAGTCATCAATTTAAACTGGGAAGAATGTTAAAAAACAAACAAATGAATTCTTAACTGGTCTTAAGGTCACTTATAAGATGGTGCCCATTTGCTGCAATACATCACCAAAAAAGGAAAACCCCTTTTAGCCCTCAGTTCTCCCTGGAAGGACAGATCGTGAAGCTGAGGCTCCAATACTTTGGCCACCTCATGAGAAGAGAAGACTCCCTGGAAAAGACCCTGATGTTGGGAAAGATGGAGGGCACAAGGAGAAGGGGACGACAGAGGACAAGATGGTTGGACAGTGTTCTCAAAGCTACCAGAATGAGTTTGACCAAACTGCGGGAGGCAGTGGAAGACAGGAGTGCCTGGCGTGCTGTAGTCCATGGGGTCATGAAGAGTCGGACATGACTAAATGACTAAACAACATTGTTCTGTATGCAAATTAAATAAATTAATCAGTTGAGTGAAGCTTAGATTTTTTTTAAAGCAGGAGACAGTTCTAAAATGGATTGCGTCATGAGGTTTGTTTACTTTTGCAAGTTGTGATGATGGCCAGCAGCTTAAATAGCTCTAAAGGGTGGGGAGGTAGACAAATTCATGAAGGTCTAAGCTATCAATGCCTATTTGTCATGACGGCTGTACACTCCCTCTAGCATCAGAGGCCACTGGGGGACACAGAACCCTGGACTAGATAGGGGGTCAGATCCAGAAGGGCTTGTGTTATGTTAGAGACAATTTCATCTAGTTCATGATGACTTCATCGTGCACCTGACATAATAGGTGTTGGCCTCTGTGGCATTTGCCCTACTAGGTGTGTGACATCATACTGGGTTCATAAGGAAAGGGTTAACTAATTGTAAAATGACTAATCAATGGGAACCCAAGGGGAGGAGTTAGCGTTAAGAGTTAGGGTGGTTGAGAAGACAGTCCAGAGTTAGAAGAGACAGAGAGGATAAGTCTGTGGGTTGGCTAGTCTGATGTGAGAGAGTGAGAGAATTTGATAAGAGGAGTCAGTCAGACAGTTGAGATAATCAGAAGGTATTAGGAAGGTATAGGCCGGTAAAGAAACTAAAGTTAAGATACTGACAGGAATATTATCTGAGAAACCATAAACTTGTTAATGTTTATAAAATAAACTTGTTTATTTGGTTCACTTTTAACAACTGTCTGGACTCAGTGTGTACCCGAGAGTAACGGGTTGATGGCAGCGAGGAAGCGAGCAGAGTGGCGGCACAGGGATCAATAGACCGTTAAACGTCTGGGGACCCTGTGTGATCGCCACAGCCTCCAAAGTTTGTAGCATTTTAAAAAGACTTTATGTCCTTTTCTAAAGCAGGCATTGAGAGGAATAAGTCATTCTCACATCTGTAATCACTGCTACAATAAAACGGATAACCAAATGATTTTCTCAAAAGTCCCTGGCCACCGGCCAATTAAAACCACACACTTGGTGGTTCCTGTTAATGGTTCACCACTTCCCATTCCCACCGTTGCAATTCCCATTTCCTCTTTTCACCTTCTGGGTTTTCTTAGCAGAATGCAAAGCTGCTAGTAGAGACAGTTGTTGAACAAAACAACAGCAACATTTACCTTGTTACTTTGGTATTCATAAAACACTGCTGCAAAGTGTCTGCAAGCCTTTGGTGCACTAAGGAGTAACGGATAAATGCCCTGCCCTTACCAAGGGATGTTCTCAGCTGGAAAAGACAATCACAGAAAAAGTGATTATTATTTCATAATGATCAGTAATAATAATAATAATAAAAATACAGTAATAAAAATAAAAATAAAATTTTATTTGTACCCTGCCCTCCCTGGCCAGAGCCGGGCTCAGAGCGGCTAACATAATATAAATAATACAAATACGCATAAAAACAAGCAATCAATCAATTAAAAATGCATCCCAAAATTAATTCAAATAAATTAAAGTTAAAACTGGACAAATGACAATCCTCAAGTTAAAATTGCAAGTGGTTAATATTCGCCAGGACCAACTGTTTCCACTGATATTATAAGGACCTGTGAGTGGGCTGGGAAACCTCCTTTGCGCTTGTTCTTCTGCAAAGAGAAAATGCGTCAGACTGAACCCTGACCAAGGGCCTGGTGGAACAGCTCCGTCTTGCAGGCCCTGTGGAAGGATGGCAAATCTCGCAGGGCCCTGGTCTCTTGTGAGAGAGCGTTACACCAGGCCGGGGCCACATTCTGCCCCAAAAGTGTTTAGCATTAAAAACCAGAAGTCAGCAAGGTAATCTCTAGTTTTACATTGATAGGGCTGGAGTTGTTAGACAATCACAAACCTTACGCTAGTTCCTTATTTTTTTTGCCAGCAAGTGGGGAGACTGCCTGAAGTCTAGGCCACATCAACATTGTCAAAACCTAACTGAGAAGAGAAAGCTCTGGGGTCTCAAATGAAATTTCAGCCTTCTCAGAATATTGAAAAGGTTCTCTCTCACCTCCCCCTGCAACTTCATTCTTGGAGAAGATGGATGAAAATGTTATCTGTAGAAATCATAGTACTTTCACACTTCGCCATTCTCCACATGGATCATGTCTAAACACCTCTGCATTTTACTCAAGAAGGTCAGGGGAAACATTAGTCATATCCCACACCAATTTCCATGCAGTTCTCCCTTTGCCATTGAAGTGGGAGATTCTAGTGAAGCTGGGGGTGGTTTTCAAGAGCTATTGGGCCAGATTCAACTAAACAGCCATGGGAGCAGGAGCCAGCACAAAGAGTCCAACTAGCCACCACAGAAAAGGCCCATTCTTGTATTATGGCCCTTTGGACATCTCACGGAGGAGGCAAACAGTGAAGGGCCTCAGATGATTATCACAGAATTTGGGTTGGTTCATTTTGGGAGAGGCGGTCTTTGAAGTATTGGAAACATGCATTTTACAAATTTTGCTGCATTAAATGTGCATCGTGTAGTTGACCTCCTTCGTAATGTTTTATTTTGAAATCTTAAGATAAATTTTTAGTTTCCTGTTAATTATGTTGCTCTGAATGTATATTTTATATTTGACTTTCCTCAGTAGTGTTCTATTTTGGATTGTTTTATTTGATGTTTGAATGTGTTGTAAACCACTCTTGAGATTTTTTTCCTTAAAAATATAAAGTAGTATAGAAATGAAATTACCGTATTTTTTGCTCTATAAGACTCACTTTTTCCCTCCTAAAAAGTAAGGGGAAATGTGTGTGCATCTTATGGAGCGAATGCAGGCTGCGCAGCTATCCCAGAAGCCAGAACAGCAAGAGGGATCGCTGTGCAGTGATCCCTCTTGTTGTTCTGGCTTCTGAAATTCAGAATATTTTTTTTCTTGTTTTCCTCCTCCAAAAACTAGGTGCGTCTTATGGTCTGGTGCGTCTTATAGAGCAAAAAATACGGTAATAATAATAATAATAATAATAATAATAATAATAATAGATTCTTCTAAATACTATGCTCCTCTAGCTCAACATGTTTAACCCTTCTAAACGTGGTTTCACCATGATATTCATCTACTGGACATTGCAAGTCCTATTTGTATAAATGAAATCAAAGATTTACTAGCAGACTTAGTAAACCTATCGCAAACCCCTTTAAAAGCATCCTGTAATCTAATCTATCAATTAACAGCAAGTGGCTGTGGGTGACTCTCCATAGACTTGCCACTTATTCTTGCTATCCTTCTCAAACGGCAAAGATGGAGGAACTTTTAAGCTGAAACAAAAGAGTAGCCTAGCTCTCAAAAAAACGAAGATCATGGCCACTGGTCCCATCACCTCCTGGCAAATAGAAGGGGAAGAAATGGAGGCAGTGAGAGATTTTACTTTCTTGGGCTCCATGATCACTGCAGATGGTGACAGCAGTCACGAAATTAAAAGACGCCTGCTTCTTGGGAGAAAGGCGATGGCAAACCTAGACAGCATCTTAAAAAGCAGACATCACCTTGCCAACAAAGGTCCGTATAGTTAAAGCCAAGGTTTTCCCAGTAGTGATGTATGGAAGTGAGAGCTGGACCATCAAGAAGGCTGATCACCGAAGAATTGATGCTTTTGAATTATGGTGCTGGAGGAGACTCTTGAGAGTCCCATGGACTGCAAGAAGATCAAACGTATCCATTCTTAAGGAAATCAGCCCTGAGTGCTCATTGGAAGGAGAGATCGTGAAGTTGAGGCTCCAGTGCTTTGGCTACCTCATGAGAAGAGAAGACTCCCTGGAAAAGACCCTGATGTTGGAAAAGATGGAGGGCACAAGGAGAAGGGAATGACAGAAGATGAGATGGTTGGACAGTGTTTTCGAAGCTACAAACATGAGCCTGACCAAACTGCGGGAGGCAGTGGAAGACAGGAGTGCCTGGCGTGCTCTGGTCCATGGGGTCACGAAGAGTCGGACACGACTAAACGACTAAACAACAACAAGCTCTGGTAGGCTTCAAGCCTGAAGAACAGAATAGAAATCTACTAACTAATATGGGTTGGGTGTATAATGCCACCTACAGGCCTAAGCACTGAGTTTGGAAAAAATCTTGCCTAAATGAAGGTGGGAAGCTGTCAATAAGAATATGGAGAAAGTAAAGCACTGCAGGAGACTGAATGGATGGTTCAAGGCAGATAATTCTCCTTCAATAAGGAAAAAAGAAAGAGTAGGCAAATTCATGAAAGCTTGCTCTATCAAGGGCAGCCACTGCCAACCTTGTGCCCTCCAGATGTTTTGGATAGCAGAATCCTGGAATAGATTAATAATCTTTTGTTCTTCATTTAAACTGTAACATCACTATCCCTTGAACTACAATTTGGGGGTCCTCCTCTGTTCCCTCAGCCAATAACGCGAGATGAGTGCCGCAACCCCAGAATCAGTCACAACTGGACCTAATGGTCAGGGGTCCCTTTACCTTTACCTCTGTTAACGAAACTGCTGTAATGTCCCATTCATTGCAATGTCCTTGCTACCTATTGCCAGGTAAGCCTGCTGGGGGGAGATAAGGACAGTCAGCTGTCCTTGAGAAGAGTCAAGCCCAGTAACTACAGCAGCCACCTCTATTTCTCCCCAGATGTTTCTGCCAGTGGTTCTCTGGGGCCCAGCACTGCATTGCAAATGGGTACTTTGTTGGGGGGGCAAGACCGAGAGCAATTTGGAGGAAAAGAGAAACCTGCAGCAGTCCAGCCTTAGGCTTCAGCAACGGGGCTTTAAAGGTTATTGAAAAAGCAGGGCCACACACATCAACATTGCTGGGTGGAAGATACCTTGCCAAAGGCCTCCATCAAATCTGATGCCAGGCCAGAAGACCTCGTTTAAGACCTCGTAATATCTTTTAACATCATTTATATTATATTACTTCCTAAGCAATTACTATCCTGTTGTTATTGTGGAAAATGAGGAGCTAATACAGGAGCTAGTTAGAATACTAGATTTAAACCCTTCCTGTAGGGGTTTTGGTTTAAATCATTCTGATGGTGCCCAATGGTTTGAGGCAGAGTGCTGCTTTGTGAAAAGGGCACTAAGATTTGCTACAGGGCATCCAGATGAAGTTATCCTCCCCCTAGTTGTTTTCAGCTCAAAGAAGAATATAAGGCATTGCTGTTTTGCTCAAAACTGTCACAGCTAACTTTACTCGGAGTCACTGCTTCTAAATGCTTATCTCAAGAATGTTTCAAGAAACTTTTGGCAGCTGGTTTCAGAAGCTCTGTGCTCTTGATCTCAAGCTCCAAACCATGATATTTTGGCACAGGTCTGGGAGGGACATTTTAGACCCATCTTTATGGCCCCAGATGGACTTGCATCTGATGCTGTACTTGCAGGCATACCAAAGTGGAACCTTGTTACTATAAAGAGAAGTTATTTCTATAAGCAAATCAGCTTACGACTGGGAAGACTCTAGGGATATATTGTAGCCCTGTTGAGCTTATTAAACTAAATCACCATTATTGGCTGCCCTTTTTGCTACAAACAAAGCTCTGGGATGATTTCTTCTAGTTAGGAGAATGCAACAATAGTACCCATCTTCAGAAATGGCCAAGTCAATGATCCAGGAAACTTTACATCCATTATCTTGTTATCTATTACGGGACACCATATACTAGGTACGATGAACTCATTTTTTTGAGTTCAAGAATCTACTTGCTGACTCTCAAGAGGCATTTAGAAAGAACAGCTCAATTCAATATAATTATTTTGGGTTTTCTCACGCTGAAAAATATGCAGGGGTCCTTTTTACTGTCTTTATGGATCAAAAGGCAGCTTCCGAGTTCCGTCTCGGGTTAAGCTATGGCAGAACCTGGACAACATTCCTGCTGATGATAAAAGACTTTTCTATCTCATGAAGGTTTGCATAGTAAGTCTTTTACAGATTAGATGTTGCAATCACGGACAGCTCACCCAGGATATCCTCATGTCAAAGGGAGTTAAGCAAGGCTTCTTAATCTGTTCTTAAATGAACTTGAAAATGTCTTAAATGACCAAAACCAAGCAATAGGAAAGCTTGTATTCTACTTTATACCAATGCTGCTGTTATTCTTTCCACTCCAGACCCGGGATAAGGCAGCTATTGTCTTAAGTTTTCATCTTATTGCAAGCTCCATTGTCCAAAGATCAGCTAGACAATAAAAGATTTTAGTATTTTAAAAGAAGTTTTCGCAGTGTAGTTGGGTGTTAAACCACTAAATTATAGAATAGATTAAAATTTCCACTATTTGGGGGTGGTATTCTTGGGCTACACATAACACCCTTGCTTCTTAGGAAGCTTCAGTCAGTCATTCTACTACATTGTTTCTTTTACACCAAAGGGGGTCAGTATATTCCTGAAGCTATTCATTGTCAGTGCTCATATAGCAGCTGCGTAAAGGAGCTAAGAAGGGAACGTCACCAAATTGAAAATGCAACCAAGCTATTTTTTCTTGTGTTTCTTTACATATACCTAGTTATATCATTAGAAGCAGGGCAGTGCCCTTTTGAGAGCTTGGTTAGCAGTCTTAAAGCTTTGGCTTAAGATCTTTAAGATGGTAGCAGGGCTGCCTAAGTATTTACCTGAGGATAGCCACCGTAGACAAAGTCTGTTGCCTCAAAAAGCTTGTTGCACTGAACTGCGAAACCCTATTCCCTTCTTCAAATGGGATTTGATTCTGCATTAGCCCCAGTAAATAAAAGCCTCTGGGGTGTTTCCTTACAACACCTTTTGGCTCACACATGCTACACCACTGTCTTATGATGCTCCTTTTCAATTAGCTGCTTACTTTAAGGATCTATATGTAGCCACTGGCATTTTACTCTGGCCAGATTCAAAGTGTTGCCATCTCAAATGCTTTGCAGTAGATTTGCTGGTGTTCCCCTTTCCTAAGACAGATGGAATCTGTGTAATGTTTATTTACCGTATTTTTCGCCCTATAGGACGCACTTTTTCCCCTCCAAAAATGAAGGGGAAATGGGTGTGCGTCCTATGGGGCGAATGCAGGCTTTCGCTGAAGCCTGGAGAGCGAGAGGCGTCGGTGCGCACCTCTCGCTCTCCAGGCTCCACGAAGCTACCCGCAAGCCTTGCGCACCCGGGGGGAGTTCCCCCGGGCACGCAAGGCTTGCAGGCATGGGGCGCCCTCCTGAGGACGCCCCGTGCTTCGCGCAGGTGTCGGCAAGCCTTGCGAACCCGGGGGATGTCCCCCCGGGAGCGCAAGGCTTGCGGGCGGCAGCCTGCAGCGCGGAGCACAGGGCGCCCTCCGGAGGACGCCCCGTGCTTCGCGCAGGTGTCCGCAGCCTGCCGCCCGGCGCATGGGGTGCCCTGAAGCAGAGCGTCCCTCGCGCCAGGCAGACATCGGCCAGCCCCACAAGCTCAGGGGACAGCGGGGAGGCGCAGCGCCGCCATCCCACTGTTCCCCGACCTGGTTTTGGGGGGGAAAATAAAGGAAATTTTTTTTCCTTTATTTCCCCCCCAAAAAGTAGGTGCGTCCTATAGGACGGAGCGTCCTATGGGACGAAAAATACGGTATGTTCTATAATTTCTATGCTAGAGCTTGTCAGCAAATGTCTGACTTGGCTCGCCAAACGACGAGGAAGGTCATCTTAAATTTATGTTGAATATCTGCTGGGAGAAAAAATCTCATGGGCGTCATTGATAGGGGCCAAATTTATATTTGTGGTAATAAGAATAAGGGGACAATTGAACACCTGAAACTGAAACAATGATTTCCAGGGCCTTACCTGAGGTTATTTGTTAATTTGCACATAACTGAGCTGTTACACTGTTAGGGCAGGGACTCCTCCTGTGGTATTTTGTAGAGCACCAAGCACACAGATAGCACTATACAAATATTAAGTACCTCCCCCCCAGTATGTTGACTGTCAGTTGCACCCCTCCATTTTTGCAAACCCTGACGCTTCCCTAGAACCAATTGCCCTTTATTATTTGGAGACGTTTACTTTTGAACCAAGGACTACAGTGAACACTTCTAAAGAAATGCTCTTTAGTTTGTGTTAATTCTGTTTGAAAGGGCGGGAAAATTCCAACCATTATTATTGACTTAAGGAAGCTCATTATGAGTCGGGATGGGGAACCACAAACCCTGGCACCTGATGCAAGTTCAGTGCAGGTGGGAGTACAATAGCAGGATCCAGCCCATCAAAATATATGAGGAAGAAAGACATACAACCCATTGTGTTTCTGTAGCTTGCAAGAAGTGAGCAACAAGGGCTGGCTGTCACGTGATCATCTGCTCATTAGAGCACTTCTTAACATCTTTGGGCACATGCTCAGAAGGACAAATGTGGGAGGGGGAGATACCACTGTCAGGACTGATCACATGAGGAAAATGAATCTATCATGTGACTTGGCCCTTCCTGGCCTGCAGTCTGAATGAAGGTCAGGAATCTAAAGGGGAGAGGGGTGAAGATACATTTGTTGCACACTATCAAAATGTAGACCATATTTACATTTAAAGATATATGTTGATATAAGTCTTTGTCATTTTCCCAACTCAAAAGTTGTCAGCCCATATGATTTTATTAACAGCTATGAAAGAAGTATTGGGAAGATTCGAAACCAGGAAGATCAAGTATTTTCGAAAGACTGGAGTAAATTGGTAATTTATTTAAAAGACCACTGTAAACAGTTAAAATCTTTGGCAGGGACGTAAAGACACTTGTAATGTGGAATTTAATTTTATGGTAATTATGGTTATATAATAAATAGATAGAAGGGACGCGGGTGGTGCTGTGGGTTAAACCACAGAGCCTAGGGCTTGCCGATCAGAAGGTCGGTGGTTCAAATGCCCGTAACGGGGTGAGCTCCCGTTGCTCAGTCCCTGCACTTGCCCACCTAGCAGTTCAAAAGCACGTCAAAGTGCAAGTAGATAAATAGGTACCGCTCCGGCGGGAAGGTAAACGGCATTTCCGTGTGCTGCTCTGGTTCGCCAGAAGCGACTTAGTCATGCTGGCCACATGACCCGGAAGCTGTGCGCCAGCTCCCTTGGCCAATAAAGCAAGATGAGCGCCGCAACCCCAGAGTCGGTCATGACTGGACCTAATGGTCAGGGGTCCCTTTACCTTTACTTTAATAGATAGGTAAGGGTAAAAGATGCAGTAAATTTAATCTTAAAGATGGAACCCATGGAGGGAGGGAAGGAGGTCTAAGGGTTCGAAAGAACTCTGTATCTTAATGTTGGAGATCATTTTGTTTTATATGTATAAAATCTTTTCAAAAATTCAATAAAAATTATATATATAAAAGAGAGATATAGTAGCCCTAGAGCACCATACCACAAGTATTGAAATATCCTGTGCAAAAGGACGGATCTTCAGGAATTGGTGGAAGGCTTCATATTAGGGAGCCTAGATAGCAGGACCACTGGCATCTACAGCTTCTGCTCCAGCATCACCCATCCAAGTTAGACTGGCCTGTCAGAACGTTATGCTGCATGGGCCCCGATGACAGATCCATGCACTTCACTTACTTCTGAAATAGATTTCACAAAGCGTATTCCATCATTGGCTCCTTTAACCTTTGCCAGACAGTCGCAGAAATAATCCCAGTAGTCTTTCCGATTGCCCAGTAAGCTGGACTTTTCTTTCTGGTCAAACTTTGGAAGAGAAAAGGGGAAAGGGTAACTTCAAACAGATGATTTGACAAAACATTGCTTGCTCTCTTTGTAAGCATTCAGAGAAAAGAGAAGTGTGTTCCCACCAATAACCGCTGGGATTTCTGAACAGACCAAAAAAGCCACTGGATGAATTAACATAGGCTAACCCTGCCAATATGAAATGTATGTTTATAAATACAGTGGTACCTCGGGTTAAGTACTTTATTCATTCCAGAGGTCTGTTCTTAACCTGAAACTGTTCTTAACCTGAAGCACCACTTTAGCTAATGGGGCCTCCCGCTGCCGTCGCGCCACCGGAGCATGATTCCTGTTCTCATCCTGAAGCAAAGTTCTTAACCCGAGGTACTATTTCTGGGTTAGCGGAGTCTGTAACCTGAAGCGTATGTAACCTGAAGCATATGTAACCCGAGGTACCACTGTACTATGGAAACAAACAGTGCAACAAAGCTGTTAGACCTAAAAATGGTTATCCCAGATTCAGCAACTAGTAAAATTAGCACACTGACCAAACTACATGTCATTCTCCTGACTTGAACATCATGGGCAAGCATCATGAACTGGTTTTAGTTGAACAAGCGTAAGATGTTCATTTGTGTCACAGAATTCAATGAAAGACAACACAAAATGAGTCTGCACCAGTTTGCACAGCCCCATTCTGGAGGGTTGCGGGGTTTTGTTGGTCACTGCAGAATACAAGAGAACCCAGGGAATTGTTTTTACATACTTATTCCTGTAGATTATTCTGTTTTAATGAATGAGATTTAGAACACACAGCAACATGTACCGTTACGGTTCTAAGGCAAAAGGGTGCACTTTCAAAGACAAGTTACACAAAATTCCAATAATAATAATAATAATAATAATAATAATAATAATAATAATGCTCTTTGACCTTTTAACACATTTTAATATGTAGTTTTTCCTTGGCCAGTTCCCTGGTTAACAACTCTTAATATGCATTCTGGTTATCAGCCTCTTCATTTAGCTACTTTAAGGGAAAGCTCTCAGGAAATAGTCCGCTTGTAAATGCTAACACTACTTACTTGCAAAAGGTATTCTAGCTTGTAGGAAAATTTGTGCAAACTGATAGAGTCATCTGTGATTGGTTCTCCTCCTTCTGTAAATTCTTTGTTCAGTTCTGTAACAGCATCTTTGGAGAAAAACACAAAGCACCATTTGTGAATTTAAACAGGAACAATGTGAATAACTGAAACGATAATCTCTTTTATGTCCATCAATATATTTTATGTTTCATACAGCGTCTTACACAGGGTCAAGAGTTCAGGCGACATAAAATGCCACAAATGGAGGAAAAAATACATTGGTCAGGGCAATACTGGTGTGAACTTGGCAAGATTTGCAAGAGTTGCCTAATAAAGGTTCGGAGAAAGAAGTATTTAACCACAGCTCCTGGTTCAGATGACAAACAAAGCTGTAGCTAACCAAAAGCAGAAATTGACATTTCCAAACTCCTTCCAGCCATGGGACAGGAAAAGTGAGTGAGGACACAAACCCAAGTTTCATTCTGGTTCATTCCCCTTGTGATAACTTACGATGTCCAAACACAGCCACTGATTTCACCTAGATCACATTGTACCTACATTTTAAGAAGTAACTTTCCCTATGCTCTGGTTTAAGGCTATAACGCTGAACAGGGAGCGTGAGAAGTTCCCGTTGAAATATTCCCTTCAGCAGGTCTGAAACGGGCCACCTGAGACATCATCGGCAGGGTTATTTGTTATTTCAGAGATGCATATTCTGTCTTTTGCACATGCCTCAAGGCAGTTAACAAAAATGGCAACGTTTTGGATACCACACACAGGCTGCTGAAACCTGAGCGCAGTAGCTCCCTGTGCAAATTGTCTCTACACTTAAAAAAAAAACCAGGGTGGAAGAAATGGAGCATTTGTGGTAGCCTGGAGAAAATAGCCAATTTGAATGGCAAGCAATTTCACATGATTCTATGTTTTATTCTGCTTTTATCATTTACCCCACTTCAATTGCTTTATGCTGTGTAGCTGTCTATAAATCAATTCATTTAACAACTGTTCTTGCCCTCTGTTTCTTGTAGCCTCTCTCCCAACACAACAACATTCCTGTCTCTCTCTTTCCCACAGAAGCAGAAATTCACATCACGATACAATGAATGAGTCAATCACACCCAGGCAGTATTTTACCCTGCAAATCCCGAATAATCCTCTGCAGCTGACTTTCTTCACCACTTCTGGCCATTGCTGAAAGCAAAGGTGCACCACTCGACTCCTCAGCCAGCTATGCAAAGAGGGCAAAATTTGTATGGTTGGTGGACGTTTGGTTAGCAGCAATTAGTTGTCATTGCAGCATCTGCAAGGGAAGGGAAGAGAAAGATTTCATATTTACAAATTCTGCTACAGGCAGCTATTATGGTATTTCTGATTTTTAAATCATGATTACTGCACTATAGTTTTTAACATTTTTGTTGGTCTAATAAAGGTAGTGCCCTCATATGGATCATCAACAATACCTTTATTTTTTCTTATCGGTGCAACAATTTTCTTCCTTCTCTGTTCATTCAGTGGAAATCTAAATTGAGTCATTGCACAGAAGTGAATGTCAAAAGAGAAACAACTCATAGCTCATTCACTTTTAGATTCGATGGTAGTTTTCAGTGCCCCACCCCATACTCCCTGGAATGTGCCTTCGATGTGTTCAAAGTGGTTGCATTCATAATGGAAAAATTGGGTTTTACAGGGGGCTCCCAAAGTCAGTGATCCACTAGAGGTGAGGTTCATCACCTGCGACACAATAAAAAAGGCCACAGTAGTCAGGTGACTGCTCATATGGCGAGCAGCGGTAGTAGTCAGAAGTATGATAAGTCATGCAATGTTATAGCCACATCAGGAGCTGCCAGATTAAAATTAGAACTTTGCACTTTTTGTTTAAAACTATAAATCAATGCCAACAACTGTAAATAGGTGTTTCAGACGATATGGACCACCATCCCAGCAACCACTAAGTTTAATAAATAATAAAATAAAAATACTGCCAGAGGCCATTGATTGTTGTTGTTAAAATTTATGTACCACCCTATACCCTCAGATTTCAGGGCGGTTCACATTGATAAGACATATGCAGTGCTCGAAACTTCCATTGTTCTAGGCACATTTTGCAACAGGGAATTTCATTAAGGTGAGCAGTTTCAGAGCTCTGGGCGCAGTACTGCACCTAAGATTTCAGAGTAAAACTGCAGAGTGGAAGGAAAGGAGGACCCTTTTCTGCCTCCCCACTTCCAGCTAAAGACTGGAGAAGAATATTAGGGGGGTGAACAGGCGAAGGACTAGACCATGTGAAAAATGAACATAATATTTTAGCTGCATTCATTCATTTTCAGCTTTGTATTCTTGTTATAAAAAAATGTGCCTAGACAGTCTCTTGTTGCACCCGTAACCTCGGTTTCAGCTGCCATTTAGCTCCTAGCTTTCATATCTCAGCTTCTAACACTGTGTAACTGACCTTAGACAAGTGGCAGATAGAAGAAACAACACCATCTGCCAGAAGCAAGGTTTAAATGCATCTCTCCCCCAACTCTTACTACAGAATCACAGTTACTCTTAAGATGGTGGGGGAGATGTGGGAGCGCCCCACTTTAAAAAGGAGAGCACATGGGAAGGAGAGAGGAAGTGATTCACGTGCGCTCCTGGGGCTGCTGCCTGGAAGTCACTCAGGGCCACTGTTTCCCTCACTTACTTCAGGGCAACAGCCCTGAGCGAGGAAAGGCCAATCTATTTATTTTGCAGCACCCAGCATAAACGTGGTACCTGTATTCATTGATGCATAGAGACTGCCTGACACTTCCCCTATGAAGTTTCTTGGGGAGTTCTCTGCTTTAGCCCCCCACTTGTAAAATGTGGTGACAGTAACCTACATCCAGCAAAGTTGTCATAAACCTAAATGCAATTAAAGACAATCAAGCAAAATGTAATTTAAAAAAAAATCTAAATCATAAGCAGGCAGTGTAAGTAGCAGATGAAAACACAGCCTAGTTCATGAACAAAATAAATCTCAAAACCCCTTTCTTTAAGGCACATGGTTCACAGCTTGCTTGTATAGAGGGGTAACACTGCCCTCAGAGAGTTTCACATCACACTATTTCAACCACAATATAGTAACTAGTTGAAACGTGCTTGAAATGTAATTTTAAGATATGCTTCTGGTACTTTATCTTGCTGTGATCACTTTCCTCAGGAAAAAGAGCTTTGTTAAATTCTCAACCACTTCTTGGCTTCCTCCAAAATCACCAACAAAATGTGTTTTTATGGTATCTCTAGATGGGGATCTGACTCATTTTTACTGAAGGGTGCACCGTTTTTTAGTTTAAGGAGAGAATAAACTCCTGACTGTTAAACCTTTGATACATTAGCAACATTTTTATTCCATCCCCTCTGCTGAGAAATTGTCTTGAACCTAAAAAATGCACCCAACTGGGTCATGTCTTCTATACCACCATTAGCCCTGCTCACTTTTGAAGCCTGGGAAATGGGATGTTTCATCTGTAACAATGGAAAGCCTGAAACCGAGAGGAGCGATAACATCTTGAACCCAGCATCAAGACCTTATATGCACTGCTCAGATAGATAGGAATAAGGTCACTTTTGCATCTTCGGTATGTAGCAAAATTCAGCTACATATAAAAGGCAGTTAGCTGGGGATTTTTGATTTTTTTTTAAAAAAGAACGCAAACTGCATAGCAAACAGGTGATACAATTCCAGAAGGGAATTATTATACCTGTATTTCAGACGTGAATCATAAGAACGGTATACATGGAGTTATACAATAACTTCACTGTTTTGGCAGAGGCTAGCAACACCCTGTCATCTGGCAGAAACTAGGCCGGCAGGATTAGTAGGCCGCTGAATGTTTACATGTCAGCATTTTTAAAATCTAACAAGGTGGAACACATTTTTAGACTCACCAGCAGCTTCCCCCAAGTCCTTTCTAACAAATTAATTGCAAAAATCAAAGCTAATTTCCTTTGAAATGAAGAGATTCAAGTGGAAATAAACAAGTTGCTACTTTTGGGCACTTCTCCAAAGAGTAAATAATACAGTGACTAGGAGTTAAAAGTATACAGCTGCTAAGAAACAGAATGACAGCGAGACAGAGTCAGTGTGATGTTATGGTTAGAGCACAGGACTTGGACCAGACCCAAATCCCCACTCAGTTACGAAGCTAACCAGGTTGGGTTTATAGCCCCTGTCTCTCAGCCTAACCCTCCTCACAGGGTTATTGTTAAGAATAAAGGGAGGATCATATGCCCAAACTCCATGAACAAAACGTAGAAGATAAGTGTAACAATAATCAAATACACGGGGGAAGAAAGGAGAACTTTTGTTTCTGAAGTGGCTGTCTTCACGAAATTAATGTGCGACACAAACAGCTGGGAAGGAAATGAGATTGGGGTTGCTGAGACAGTGAGCGACGGGAGAAATCTTGTGGGAACAGTTGCCATTTGGGACCTGTGAAGCTTAGAATCATGGAATCGCAGAGTTGCAAGGGGATCCTGAGGGACATCTAGTCCCCCCCCACCCCCTGCAATGGAGGAATCTCGACTTAGCTTCTTGACGTACTTCTGAGTTAAGCACGTGCACAGGATCAACATGAAACCCAGCCAGATGGGCGGGGTATAAATAATAAAATTATTACTATTATTATTAGCCCATTTTGTTTGCTGTTGTCGTTCCTCTACTGTTGATATATTACCATCCAGCCTGCGCTGAGGGGCAGTTCGGGAGAAGTGGACAGCCTTACTCGCTAATTATTATTTTTTGGACATTTCGGTTATTGCCCCAATTGTGGTTTGGGCCTGTTAGCCCACAACAGAAAGGGATGAGCAGCTGATTCTGAGTATTTTATAAGCCTAGGGAGCAGGGTGGGCAGGCTGCCAGAGAATGCTTTTCATTTGCATCTTCTCGTTTGCCCTGCCAAAAAAACAAAACCAAACCAAAAAAAGCACCTCTCCCTGCCCCACACTCTTTGTTTACTGTTTCCTATGACAGATCTGAACGAGACACGAAAAACACTTTATTTTTATTTTCCCACCCTCCTCAGCTGCGCCTGTTACACAACCTACTGGATGCTCTCCCACGGGAGTTATAAATAAAAGGCATCGCATCCCCGACCCACTTTGGGAGAGTTAAAACACAATCGAAGTGATTTCATCGCTAATAAGATTGTGATTATTATTATTTCCACACGCGCCCCAGGAACTCGAAGTGAAAGAAAAGGCAGTAGGGCAGATCAGCTGCTTTTAAGATTAAAAATTAAAAAAAAAAGAGATGGCGTGAAATTATTGGATTATTTGTTTTCCGCCTTTTCACTTCAGCTTATTATCAAAGTGACATCCTTTTCTCGCTAGGGGAGAAGAGACATAACCCTTTTCCAGGAGGCTGGGGAAAGAGCAGCAGCAGCAGCAGCAGCAGCAACAAGTGGAAATAAAAAATAAAAAGTTTTCGGTTTTAAAGTTACCCTCACCACCCCACACAAAAAATAATATATACACTCCTGCGCTGCCCAGTGGGCCTGAGAGCCACTTTCCTGACAAGACGACGGAAATACAAGGGCAGCCAAGGCTGCCTGGGCAAAGCGGGGAAAGGGGAGAGACGCACCGCGACCCTGTCGAAAGAACAAAGTACGTTACCTCGGACGTAAGGCGGCCATGATATAGGGAGACGCTCCTTGGCGTTTTCCTACAACTCCCATGATTCCCCGGAGGCCGCAAACTCCCATGATGCCTCTCAGCTGACCTCATGTTGTTGTTGTTGTTGTTTTTAATTTAACCCTTTCACCGCATTCGCTGGTGTTTATTTATTTTTTCTAACTTTTTAAATTTTTATTTTCAATGCAAAATTGCAACAAAAATTACAAACATTGAGTCGGAAATAAAACTATACAAACAAGAAAGAAAGAAAGAAAGAAAAACACACAAAAAAGAAAAAAGCACACATCTACAAATAAAACCATATCTTCATTCTAATCTAGTCATTACATATATTACATTATTATTACATTACACATATTGACTTCCTTTGTTCTAAGATCTCAAAAATTTTACTTTTTCTAAATTGTTGTAGATTACCTCTATCTTTATACTTTTTACATCATTTTTCTTTTTCTTTAACCCTACAAAGCATCATTCATTACATACTGATATGCTTACTCCCGAACAATGTTTTTTCATATACTCTTTAGCACATTCCCATTCTTTTAATAATTTCTGGTCCGATTGTCCTCTTATGAATGCTGTAAGTCTTGCCAGATTTATATATTCTGACAACCTTTTATATATTTTTATATATACCTGACAACCAAAGGAAAGTATTCCTTTATGCAACGACAGCTGCCAGGATGCTTATAGCAAAAATTGGAAAGGGGGGGGAAATTCCATCAATAAAAGAATGGCAAATTAAATTTTGTGAATGCATTTGCTGATGTTTAATATCTTTCCCCCCTTCCCTCACAGACCAGAGTTTTCGAGACTGTATAGAAGGCAATGGAAGGATTTGTTTGTTGTAGTAGTACAGGCTTGCCAGTGCAACCTTAAACATTTTTATTCAGTAGCAAGTCCCCTTTTGAGTACAGCAGGGCTTTGCTCCCGTTATGATGGCGTAGGGTTGCTTTTGGACTACAACTCCCATCATCCCTAGCTAGTAAGAGCGGTGGTCAGGGACGATGGGAACTGTAGTTCAAAAAGACCCCCCAAAACTGCTGGAGACCCAAGTTTGGTAAGCCCTGGCCTATGGGGTTGTAGTCTGAGCTTGGGGCTTGGGGGGACTGAGAGGTTGTGCCAAAGGCTCCACTGAAAATGTTTTTGTTTTTATTTATTTTGTAAAATGTATATGCCGCTTGATTTAAAAAACAAACAAAAACGCACACACGTCAAAGGGGGTTTACAATATGAAACGATAAAATGGAGAAAATCCAGTGTCTTACTTTAAAACACAGAAGTTAAAATACTAAAACAGATTAAAATTACCTAGACTTTGCAAGCATCTGGGTAGGCTTGGACAGCTGTGAGTCCAAAATGACTCCCAGGCTGCGCACATGGTCCTTTAGGGGCACATTTACCCCATTAACTAACTAATTAATGTTAATTAACATTAACTAACATTAGCCCCATTAAGGACTAGGGCTGCATTGGGCAGCCACTCTGGGAAATGGAGAGCCTGGGGCGGGAAAAGGAGAAAGTAAATGAGTAAAAGGAGTCGGGGACGGATCATGGAAGGTCTTCAATCTCTGAGGGAGAATGACCAGAGGAAATGTTGAAAGAAAAAGAATGATAAAAGGTTAATATTTTTAAAGATAGCAATAATAAACTGGAAATAAACAGGAGCTGGATAAGAGCGGGAAAATGGTCCATGAATGCGAAAGGAACAGAGATGGGGGGTGGGGACTTTTATTACATTTATATTCCACCTTTCCTCCTCTTGGTTTTATTCTCACAACAACCCTGTGAGGCAGGTTGGTCTAAGACCTTCTGACTAGGCCAAGGTGAACATTGTTGCCGACTGGGGATTTGAACTTGGGTCTCCTATTTTGACAGGCTAATGTGCACACACTGGCTTGTGTTATGCGTTGTTACGTAAAATTGTAATCTGCAGGTAAAACTTTGGGAGATGTTTATTTTTTCTATGACTCAACAAAGAGTTTATTTCATTCATCTCTGACTGAGGAACATACATGTAGTTCAGTACAGGCCAGTAATGCATCAAGTTCCATGTCTTAATTGTTCTCTTTTAACCATGCATCTGTGATAGGAATTTTGAGGTCTTAGATATATGGAAATGTTCCTAAATGTACTAACCAAGCACGTATATAGATCGGCACAGGAAGACCAACCTGGAACCATTTTGATTCCTAAACTGAGCAAATGTTTTCTCTGCAAGGTCAAAGTGGGAAACCTCCCCATTGTCTCTTTCCCCACAAATCCTGTCTTAAGGGCACATTTAAGATATGAATAGGGTGTGAGCCTGTGACATGGCCCAGGAACTAAGTATTTATCATTACAAAAGACTGGCCAGGCTCCCCAGGCAATGCAATCAAGTAACCTGCCAGACAGGAGATAAACAACGACAAGAGAAAAACAACATTCAAATTTCTGTTTTAAGACCGCCTTTTCTGAGATGTAGGTATGATGTATCTGAGGGGTGGTCTTAGGTTACACCCCTTCTGTGATGTAGGTATGATGTTTCTGGGGGTGGTCTTGATCTACAGGGTGGCAATTTCAAAAGTCTTTATAAGGCCTTGTGTGCCATTTTTCTGGGTTCCTCCTCTCTCCTGCGGGTAAGGGGAGCACCCTGTTGCAACAGATCAATAAAGATCAGGCTTGCTAGCTGCTTTGCTTCTCACTATTCTCTGGTTGGCCTCTGTTATCTTCTCCTATCAATAGGGAACCTATGTAAGGACTCTATATGGGCTCTTGGATACCCCATAAGGGAAAAGGGCAATTTTTGTTTACAACACATCGAGACAAAATAAAACCTGTCTAACACTTCCTGTGACTTATTCTCACTTTGTGTTGTCCAGTTTGGGGTGTGGGCTGGCCAGTTCTTCTTTTCTTTTGACTTCTCTTTTTCTTTTCTCCCTTTCAGTCATGGCAGTTTCAGGTAAACTTGATGCTATTGTTACTGCTGTTTGGCCAGGATAAGTCCCTCCCGACACCTTCAGAGTTTGTTACTCAAGTTAATAGGACAGCCTTGCCCTTTTCCAAGGTTACTTTCATTGCAAAGCTTTCAGTGAAGGCTGAAGAAGCTTGAGATATACATACGGCTTTTGACATTTGAGGTGTATATTTTTAGCACCCACCTTTGTTCTTTTTAAAGTCTGAATAATTTTGTTTTGCAAATTTCAGCCAACAGTCACAGATCTCTCTCGTATCATTGCTACAGTACATGCTTGGAAAGAAGTGATAAGCATTAAAATCCACTTGGGTTGTGGGAGGCTGTGGATTCTCAAGAAAAATGTTTATGAAAACTAGGAACGGAAACCATACGGTATCAAGTTGATAAGATGTACTGTGGTCCCTCACCACACATGCTGGATGTCCTTGACCATCTTAACATCTTGTGGTAAGCAGTCACAGACTTTTGCTTTGCTTTTCAACTAGCAGAAGCAATCCTCAGGTCGTTTACTAGTATTTTCCTGCGTTTAAAACATGTATCCAGAGCTTAAGGAGAAAACTTGTACAGTGGTACCTCAGGTTACATACGCTTCAGGTTACAGACTCCGCTAACCCAGAAATAGTGCTTCAGGTTAAGAACTTTGCTTCAGGATGAGAACAGAAATCGTGTTCTGGCGGTGTGGCAGCAGCAGGAGGCCCCATTAGCTAAAGTGGTGCTTCAGGTTAAGAACAGTTTCAGGTTAAGTATGGACCTCCGGAACGAATTAAGTACTTAACCCGAGGTACCACTGTAAAACACTCTTTTCATGTACTGCTGCTGTAGGGAATGCACTAGCAAAGCAGACAACTTTCCCCACTGGGGGTGGGAGATGGGTGGTCCTGCCCACCTGCCAAAGTTGGCCTGCAGGGATACTGATCTCATACTCTCCAACATTTCTCCGATGAAAATAGGGACGTCCCATTCCATAAAGATAATTTTACTATTTATACCACACACATCTTACTGGGTTGCCCCAGCCACTCCAGATAGCTTCCACCATGTATAAAACTGTAATAAAAATGTAAACATTTTTTTTAAAGCTTCCCTATACAGGATTGCCTTCAGGTGGCCGGGGGGGGGGGGCGATAACTCCATACCCTCCAATGTTTTCCCAATGAAAATAGGGACACCCTAAGGAAAAGTGGGACATTCCAGGATCTAGTCAGAAACCAGAATGGCTTCTCTAAATCAGGGACGTCCCTGGAAAATAGGGACACATGGAGAGTCTGTGATCTGGCCCAGTGGACAAAAACTGTTCTCCACACCAGACCCATTTGGGTCTGGTTTTGGGATGGGATTGGTCTTGGTTGCCTTTTGAATTACGGTACCTTTATTGGAAAGATAAGCAGGGAGTATGGTCCTCATCCTCTTGCTCAATTTCACAATGGCTTTTGATACCATTGGTACCTTCCTGGATCAGATCTATGGACTGGGAGTTGTGGAGACTGGACACTGCACGACTGTTTCAACTTGGGTCTGCAGGGCAGATTTCAGAGAGTAGCATTGGGTGACTGTACCTCAGCAATTATACATTACAGTGGTACCTCGGGTTACAGACGCTTCAGGTTACAGACGCTTCAGGTTACAGACTCCGTTAACCCAGAAATAGTGCCTTGGATTAAGAACTTTGCTTCAGGATAAGAACAGAAATTGTGTAGCGGCGGCAGCGGGAGGCCCCATTAGCTAAAGTGGTACCTCAGGTTAAGAACGGTTTCAGGTTAAGAACGGACCTCCAGAACGAATTAAGTTCTTAACCCGAGGTACCACTGTATAGAATATTGCCACAGGATACTGTTTTGTCCAATGCAATTTAGCATCTGTATGAAGGCACTGTTAGAGGTAATGAGGAGATTTAGGGGGAGATATCATAAATAAGCTGATGACAGCTCTGTTTCTCAGAGCTAGTTACTTACACCTAGTTACATCTGAGTCAAGGGTGTCTGTGCATGACTTGAAGGGGTTGGAACACCAGGCATGTTCATTCCTGGAATGAAACGACTTGGCCACTGTAACCAATGCACTGATAACCTCCAGGTTTGACTACTGTTATTCACTGTGTGTTGGGTCGCCCTTAAGGTTACTTTGGAGGCTGCAGGTGGTGCAGAACACAGTAGCGAGCTGGGACATCTGGCCATGCAGGCAAGATCTGAGAGGAAACACCTGCAGTGGCTGAAAGTTTGCTACTGAACCAGGCTTAAGGTGTTTTTATTAACATACTGTATAAAGTTCTAAAGAATTTGGGATCAGATTACCTGAAAGAACACCTTCCTCCACACAGGCCTGCTAGATCACTATGATCTTCTGAGGATTCCCTTTTTTGTTTATTGCTACCCTGAACAATTTGGTTATAATCAACAAACCCAGCCACCTCACGGTCCACTTGCAAGTTCAGGTCATTTACAAATGTTAAAAAGCGCAGGCCCCAATGCCAGTCCTTGGGGGACCCCACTTTTCATATCCCTCCGTTGAACTGCTCAGCTACTACACTTCTTCCTGTTCTATAACCCAGGGCCGGCCTACCCATGAGGCAAGGTCAGAGAACTGCCTCAGGTGGCAGTATCCACAGGGACAGCAGATCCTCCAAGGAATGCATGGTCTGCTACTGCTGCTATCTTGGGAGGATTAGCCCTAAGATTAATTAAACTATTTGGAGACATAAAAATAAAAAAAATAAAAAATTGTCCAATAGCACCTTATAGACCAACTAAGTTTGTTCTGGCATAAGCTTTCGTGTGCATGCACACTTCTTCATATGCACACGAAAGCTTATACCAGAACAAACTTAGCTGGTCTATAAGGTGCTATTGGACAATTTTTTACTTTTATTTCGACTGCGTCAGACCAACACGGCTACCTACCTGAATCTATTTGGGGACATGTTGACTGGCAGTAGCTGTGACCAGAGCCCATGTCCAAGCACAAAATGCCGCTCAAAAACCACACATTCAGTTTTCAAAAACACTTTATTAGGAACAGCAAAAAAACCAAAACAATGCAATTTTGAAAATAATGCTATTTTCACTTACTTCTTCATTGTACTTATGGAGTATGCATTTTAAACCCTTTTCATTATGGAAACTGTGAAGGTTAAAATGCCTTAAATTGGAACTGAACAGCTTTCTACAATTATTAGACATTCATAATGCAAAAGTACAGATCTTTTTAAAATATATATATATGAAGGTTTCGTAGCAACTCTATATATGCTGTATCACTGTAGAACTAAACAAGTTTTAAGAGGTTATATTGTGGAAAGGTTTGCCACCATTCTTTAGGAAATCAGCCCTGAGTGCTCACTGGAAGGACAGATCGTGAAGCTGAGGCTCCAATACTTTGGCCACCTCATGAGAGGAGAAGACTCCCTGGAAAAGACCCTGATGTTGAGAAAGATGGAGGGCACAAGGAGAAGGGGACGACAGAGAACGAGATGGTTGGACAGTGTTCTTGAAGCTACCAGCATGAGTTTGACCAAACTGTGGGAGGCAGTGGAAGACAGGAGTGCCTGGTGTGCTCTGGTCCATGGGATCACAAAGAGTCGGACACAACTAAATGACTAAACAACAAAAAAGTGGACCCAAAGAGGGACATATTTCAACCACTGTGCTGCAAATTAGTAGTTGGTTTTCTTCATGGTCAAACCCTTATCTTAACTCTGAATGAAAACTTCAGCCTGCATTTGGAAAACAAAAAACTGCCTTATGCTGAATCAGACATTCAGTCTTTCTCTTTAGCTCAGCATTGTCTACATTAACAGAAAGCACTTCTCCAGAGAGTGGTCTTCTTACCAGCCCTGCCTGAAAAAGCCAGGGACTGAACATGAAACCTATTGCATGTAAAATATCTGCTTCTACCACTGAACTATAGCACCTCCCCTTCAAATTTGTCCACATATAACAGCACATAGACAAAACTGTGCTCCTCCTAATTTCTGCATGCAAGATTTGAATTCATGTCCGGGAGTTTCCATGTGTTTGTAGCTATGCTGGGTCAAATATGCAATTGCATATGGCTGTTTATTGTGGGATGGGAGCTCCTTGTGTATGCAAGTTTTTGCAGGTTCCTTGGCATCAAAATGGCAACCTGCTTCTCCTCCCCACCACCATTTCACCTGGATTTAGCCTTTCTGAGAAAATCCCCCGATTAGTTAAAAAATAGCAACAAATGTTGCTGCAACACCCATTCAATATCTGAGCGACATATTTACAATATTAACCGCCCCCCCCCCTTGTCTGGAAACACCTTGCTACTAATATCTCAAGTTTTGATTTATCACACAACAATACCTGGATCATTTAAACATTTCAGGGATTAGAGTAATATTTGACTATTTGAAAACAAAAAGATGGTTGATTTATCCTGTATGGAAACAGATTCTTATTTATAGTTCTGAAATTTTTAGCAGAGGTAAAGACAGAGAAAAGCCTGATCCCCCAATATATGTTATTGGCAAAATAGAAGCAATTCCAAGCATGATATTCTCTTCCCTCCTCTGGAGAAGAAGAAGAAGATGTTGCAAATTGACAGTTGTTGTTGTGGTCATTCATCTATTTGTTAGGCTGGGTGGGAGGGTTAGACTCTCCCTTTTTCAGGCGGCCTTTGCTTCAGTACATTGATGCATCATCATAGGGGCTCATGTGAAAAGAATGAGCTCTGGGGCTGGAAGGTGGGATCCTGCTGTGGCAAGGGGAATAATGCTTGTACAGGAGTTTCAGGTGCCTTCTGAATTTCACTCCGACAAAGACGTAGAGCACGGGGTTGAGGCAGCAGTGGCCATAGGCTATTTTGCGGCTGATGTCGAAAGCAAAGAAAACTTGCCTGTACTGTTCGCAGGGTAGGACAATGTACTGCTGAAAGGACAAAACGTACACAGAACCAAGCACGTTATAAGGTGCCCAGCTCAGGAAAAAGACCAGCACTATAGCAAATATGAGCCTTACAGTCCGGTGCCTCCTTTGAGACCGCTGTCGAAGCAGGATCTTCAGCATCCTTATGTAACAAAATGCAATGATCGCGAAGGAAAATAAGAAGAAGGCAGATTGTTGGCCCAATTCCACCAGCTTCCAAATAGATTCCCCTTCGTAGTCGCAGTACTGTACGCCATTGTGAGGTATTACACGGGTAAAAATAATCTCGGGAACCACAACTAACACGCTGCACACCCAAATGGCCAAGCTCAACAGTTTTCCGCACCTTTTCGTCTGAGTTCTCAGTGATGACAAGGGATCCACCACAGCCAGGTACCGGAGGACTGTCATTATGGTCAGGAAGATGACACCACCATAGTAGCTAATAGAGAAAATGGCAGTCACAGCTTTGCAGAGGAAATCACCAAAAATCCATCCATAATAATTGTACACAATCCAGAAAGGGAGCGTGCAAGAGAAAGTCAAGTCAGTGATGCAAAGGTTCACGATGAAGAGGTTTGTTAAGGAGGTGAGGCTTTCGTATTTCATTACGATGCACAAGACAAGGCTGTTTCCTAGCAGGCTGAAGAGAAAAATGAGAGAATACAGGATGCTGGTAAACATATTCGTAATTGTGGAAACAGACCCCATCTCGCACACATTAGACTCGACTGAAGGATAATTTGCTGGATCATAATCTGGGGTTGTCTCAAGCATATAGTCCATCGGTTCCATCTTCTGGGTGGGCTTGTCCACTTCTGAAGCTGTGGATAAAAACCCCTCCGAGCAAGGAACTTTCACTGCGGTCAGTGGAAAACTGAAAAAGAAATCAGGACACCAGAAACAAATATACAAACTTCAAAACAGGTAGTGAAATTTAATCGGTTCTGCTATTGTACCAAGTTAGATGTACTTAAATATACCTTCTTTTAAATTAGTCTGGATGGTGGTGGTGATAAATAAAGTGTTTGTATTTATTATTGTAGTACAGTGGTACCTTGGTTCTCAAACTTAATCCATTCTGGGAGTCTGTTCGACTCCCAAAACCATTCAAAACCAAGGCACAGCTTCTGATTGGCTGCAGGAGCTTCCTGCATTCAATCGGAAGCCGTGTCGGACGCTCAGCTTCCGGAAAACGTTCACAAATCGGAATACTTACATCTGGGTTTGCGGCGTTCGGGAGCCGATTTGTTTGGGAGTCAAGCCGTTTGAGTTCCAAGGTACCACTGTATATATTTTATGTCCTTCATAGTACATTTCATACACTTAATAGTACATAAATCTGCAGATGACTTCATAGTCATAGAATCATAGAGTTGGAAGAGACCACAAGGGCCATCGAGTCCAACCCCCTGCCAAGCAGGAAACACCATCAGAGCACTCCTGACATATGGTTGTCAATCTTAAAGACCTCCAAAGAAGGAGACTCCACCACACTCCTTGGCAGCAAATTCCACTGTCAAACAGCTCTTACTGTCAGGAAGTTCTTCCTAATGTTTAGGTGGAATCTTCTTTCTTGTAGTTTGGATCCATTGCTCTGTGTCCGCTTCTCTGGAGCAGCAGAAAACAACCTTTCTCCCTCCTTTATGTGACATCCTTTTATATATTTGAACATGGCTATCATATCACCCCTTAACCTCCTCTTCTCCAGGCTAAACATGCCCAGCTCCCTTAGCCGTTCCTCATAAGGCATCGTTTCCAGGCCTTTGACCATTTTGGTTGCCCTCCTCTGGACACGTTCCAGTTTGTCAGTGTCCTTCTTGAACTGTGGTGCCCAGAACTGGACACAGTACTCCAGGTGAGGTCTGACCAGAGCAGAATACAGTGGCACTATTACTTCCCTTGATCTAGATGCTATACTCCTATTGATCCAGCCCAGAATTGCATTGGCTTTTTTAGCCGCCGCGTCACACTGTTGGCTCATGTCAAGTTTGTGGTCAACCAAGACTCCTAGATCCTTTTCACATGTACTGCTCTCAAGCCAGGTGTCACCTATCTTGTATTTGTGCCTCTCATTTTTTTTGCCCAAATGCAATACTTTACATTTCTCCCTGCTAAAATTCATCTTGTTTGTTTTGGCCCAGTTCTCTAATCTGTCAAGGTCGTTTTGAAGTGTGATCCTGTCCTCTGGGGTGTTAGCCACCCCTCCCAGTTTGGTGTCATCTGCAAATTTGATCAGGATGCCCTTGAGTCCATCATCCAAGTCGTTGATAAAGATGTTGAATAAGACCGGGCCCAAGACAGAACCCTGTGGCACCCCACTAATCACTCTTCTCCAGGATGAAGAGGAACCATTGATGAGCACCCTTTGGGTTCTCTCAGTCAGCCAGTTACAAATCCACTGAGTGGTAGCATAGTCAAGACCGCATTTTACCAGCTTCTTTACAAGAATATCATAGGGTACCTTGTCAAATGCCTTGCTGAAATCAAGGTAGGCTACATCCACTGCGTTCCCTTCATCTACCAGGCTTGTAATTCTGTCAAAAAACGAGAGCAGGTTAGTCTGACATGACTTATTTTTCAGAAATCCATGCTGACTATTGGTGATCACAGCATTCCTTTCTAGGTGCTCACAGACTGTTTGCTTAATGATCTGCTCCAGAATCTTCCCTGGTATTGATGTCAGACTGACTGGGCGGTAATTATTTGGGTCCTCTCTTTTCCCCTTTATGAAAATAGGGACAACATTTACCCTCCTCCAGTCTGCTGGGACTTCGCTTGTTCTCCAGGAATTCTCAAAGATGACTGCCAGTGGTTCTGAGATCACATCTGCCAGTTCTTTTAATACTCTTGGATGCAGTTCATCTGGCCCTGGAGACTTGAATACATCTAAACTAGCCAAGTATTCTTGTACTATCTCCTTAGTTATTCTGGGCTGTGTTTCCTTTGCTGAATCATTTGCTCCATATTCTTCAGGTCGGGCATTGTTTTCTTTATCGGAGAAGACTGAGGCAAAGAAGGCATTGAGGAGTTCAGCCCTTTCTGTGTCCCCTGTTTGCATTTCACCATCTTCTCCTCCTCTGAGTGACCCCACTGTTTCTTTGTTCTTCCTTTTGCTACGAACATACCATAAAAGCCATTTTTGTTGCTTTTAACCTCTCTAGCAAGCCTGAGTTCATTCTGTGCTTTAGCTTTTCTGACTTTGTGTCTACACGTGCTGGCTATTTGTTTGAATTCCTCTTTGGTGGTTTCCCCCCTTTTCCATTTTTTGTACACATCCTTTTTAAATCTTAACTCAGTGAAAAGTTCTTTAGATAGCCACCCTGGCTTCTTTAGGCACCTTCCATGTTTCCGTCTCATTGGTATTGCCTGAAGTTGTGCTTTTACTATCTCCCTCTTAACAAACTCCCAGCCATCATGAACTCCCTTTCCTTTTAGTATTACTGTCCATGGGATCTCACCCAGCACTTGCCTAAGTTTTATGAAGTCGGCTTTCTTAAAGTCAAGAAATTGAGTCCTAGTATGCTTGGCTGCTCCTTTCCGCTGTATAGTAAACTTCAGAAGAGGATGATCACTCGCGCCTAATGATCCTTCCACTTCTACCCCACTAACCAGGTCATCAACATTGGTTAGGACCAGATCTAAAATGGCTGTTCCTCTTGTTGCTTCTCCCACTTTCTGGACAATGAAGTTGTCTGCAAGGCCAGTGAGGAATCTGTTTGACCTTATGCTCTTGGCTGAGTTTGACATCCAACAAATATCCGGGTAATTGAAGTCCCCCATTACTACTATCTCCCTTCCTTTTGCATGCTTGGCCATCTGTTCCAGGAAGGCATCATCTATGTCCTCCGTTTGGCTTGGGGATCTATAGTAAACTCCCACAATGAGGTCACTGTTATTCTTCTCTCCCTTAATTTTGACCCAAATGCTCTCACTTTGGCTTTGAGGTTCTAAATCTTGGATCTCTTCACAGGTATACAGATCCCTGACATATAACACCACTCCTCCTCCTTTCTTGTCTTGTCTGTTTCTCTGAAATAGATTGTATCCCTCCATTATTATATTCCAATCATGGGACTTATCCCACCAGGTTTCAGTGATGCCTATTATGTCATATTTAGTTTGCTGTACCAAGAGCTCAAGCTCATCTTGTTTATTTCCCATGCTTTGCGCATTAGTGTACAGACATTGAAGTCCATTAATCATTCCCCCAGTAGGTCTGCATGCTGTTTGCTCCATTTGGTCTATGACATTTGGATGATCATCTTCATCAATTGATAGACTCCTACCTTCAGGAGCACTGTCTCCCTCCCCCACATTAGTCAGTTTAAAGCCCTCCTGATGAGGTTTCTGAGATTTTTGGCAAAAACATTCCTCCCAACCATTGTGAAGTCATCTGCAGAGCCAATAGCAGCAATGACGCCCTCTAGCCAGGGACACGAGGATGGCTCTGAAGTATACTGGAGACCAACCCATTAGCTTCGTTCTCTGACGGTGTCATGGTGGCATAGTGAGCAAGGTGCCAGGCAGCCCATTCACTTGCCTGCTACCCCTGGGCCCAATCTGCACAACTGTGCAGAGGGAGAGGTCATTCTCCTCACTCTTCATCTCCGCTTTCACACCTGGAGAGAGCAGATTAACAGGGCTGTCAGGCTCCAGGAGTTGGCAGTGTCCCCCTCCTGCAGGAGCACAGGATGGCCTCAAGGGTCAGAGTGGCTGGCCATCTGCCAAGGGCCCACCCCACAGTAGGGGCCACACTGGCAAGTGCCCACTTGGACCCGCTTCTCTTCTTCACCATTGCAACCTGCTTGGTCACTCACCTCTCCTGCTGACCCAGGCAATAATGCTGGTGAGAAGAAGGAGCAGTCAATGTCATTGCCTGCATGCTCATTGGCTCTCTGCTTAGCAAGGCAGCAAGCAGGTGGCAGCAACAATGAGGAACAAGAGAAGCAACTGGAGACTCTGGTTGTGAGGGTGTCTTGCCCAAGAGATCTCCAAAACATGGAGCCAACACCTCAGTAGCTTTTGCAGGGGCCTACCTGCAAACGAAGATCATGGCCACTGGGCCCATCACCTCCTGGCAAATAGAAGGGGAAGAAATGGAGGCAGTGAGAGATTTTATTTTCTTGGGCTCCATGATCACTGCAGATGGTGACAGCAGTCACAAAATTAAAAGATTCCTGCTTCTTGGGAGAAAAGCAATGACAAACCTAGACAGCATCTTAAAAAGCAGAGCGATCACCTTGCCAACAAAGGTCCATATAGTTAAAGCTAAGGTTTTCCCTGTAGTGATGCATGGAAGTGAGAGCTGGACCATAAAGAAGGCTGATCGCTGAAGAATTGATGCTTTTGAATTCTGGTGCTGGAGGAGACTCTTGAGAGTCCCATGGACTGCAAGAAGATCAAACCTATCCATTCTGAAGGAAATCAGCCCTGAGTACTCACTGGAAGGACAGATCATGAAGCTGAGGCTCCAATACTTTGGCCACCTCATGAGAAGAGAAGACTCCCTGGAAAAGACCCTGATGTTGGGAAAGATGGAGGGCACAAGGAGAAGGGGATGACAGAGGACGAGATGGTTGGACAGTGTTCTTGAAGCTACCAGCATGAGTTTGACCAAACTGCGGGAGGCAGTGGAAGACAGGAGTGCCTGGCGTGCTCTGGTCCATCAGGTCACGAAGAGTCGGACACGACTAAATGACTAAACAACAACAAACCAAGAGCAACACTTTCCAGAGGCAATTGCTGCTGGTGATGCACATTTTTTGGCCTACCTCCTACCTCCAACCTTGGCCTCCATTCTCACACTCCACCACATGAGAGGTGACTCTGGTCCCTCTCCCCTGTGCTTGTGTGTCGACATAACATGGCATTTGGCCCCAAGAGGACTATCCAAAGACTCAGGCACTAACTGGCATGATCTATGGAGCATCAGAATCACCACCATGGTGACCAGGGGGAACAGCACTACAGAAACAGAATGTAGGTACAAGCAGAAGTAATTTCCACATGAGTCAGTTTAGAAAGAACCGAAGAAGTTAAGAACAGAAACCAATGAAATAGATAGGGCCAAGATAGCTGATTTCAAGATGAGTCAGTTTCAAAGGAATTGAAGAAGTTACAGAAAGCAAGCCACAAAACCGCAGAAAATAGAAAGGAACAAGATACAGCACATACAATGCATCCACGAAATGGAGAAACGTGTAGATCTAGTTGTGCATCTGATTGTTTAAAGAAAGGCCTTGTCATAATAATAATGTTATGAGCTGGGGGTGCTAGACTTGCCCTAAACTCCTGGGATCAGTGGACGCTAGAATTTAATTAAGATCAGAGCGTCAAAACTGTGCTAGAGCTGTGTGTATTTAAGCTGTGTACAAGATGCTTCTGATCAGCGTGTGTCAAAAGCTAATTAAGCTAGGATTAGCCTCATACTGTGATGTTGATGATAATAATAATAATAGTAATTTATTATTTATACCCCGCCCATCTGGCTGGGTTTCCCCAGCCACTCTGGGCAGCTCCCAAGAGAATATTAAAAACACAATAAAACATCAAACATTAAAAACTTCCCTAAACAGATCTGCCTTCATATGTCTTCTAAAAGTAGGATAAATGTTTATTTCCTTGACATCTGATGGGAGAGCGTTCCACAGGGCGGGCACCACTACCAAGAAAGTTCTCTGCCTGGTTCCCTGTAGCCTCACTTCTTGCAATGAGGGAACCGCCAGAAGGCCCTCGGAGCTGGGGACCTCAGTGTCCTGGCTGAATGATGGGGGTGGAGACACTCCTTCAGGTATACTGGGCCAAGGCCGTTTAGGGCTCTAAAGGTCAGCACCAACACATTGAATTGTGCTCGGAAACGTACTGGGAGCCAATGTAGGTCTTTCAGGACCGGTGTTATATGGTCTCAGGGGCCACTCCCAGTCACCAGTCTAGCTGTGAGGTAGTCTAGCTTGGGGGTAATGAGCCATTAAGGGTACAAAGCATCAAAGGAACTCATGTAACATTTGTTTTCCATGTTGCCTCCCATATTTTTAAAGACCTGACTAGTCTTTTATAGACTTGAAGCTCAGTCGCAGGGGCAGTCTATCCAGCGTTGACTGGCAAATGGCTGTTTCACTGCTGGTCTGTGGAGTGATTTCACAATGCCCTATGAGGACCATCCCAAGGCAATTTACTGCCCGAGGCAAAGGAAAAGAGGGCAAATGCTTGCCCTGCATTTGCTGGTTGCTCTGTCTTGCTCCGCAGCCCTCCCACCCCCTGCACTCCCTGACATTTGGCCCAAAGGCTGTTGTTTGGCCAACCTGTGCCCACCTGCCCATATACATCGTCAAGCATGGGGCACGTAAAGACACAGCTGGGCATAAATCGGGTTTGCAGGCCCTGCCAATCAGCTAAGTGGCAGGAACTGCAAAGGTTCCCAGTCAGCATATTGGAAGCCCCAGTCATCTACTGATGGTCAAGGTATCTCTGCACAGCACTATGTAAAAG